AAAAAAAAAAAACGACAATTTTTGATTAAAAAAGAACAAACATAAATAAATGATAGACCACGACTCACAGTTAAAAGGTAGTAGTTTATATCAAATATTGAATATATCGGCCATTGACAAAACCATGTGGTGCACTTCTTGCGTTTGTAATTTAATCGCAGAAGTGCTTCTTGTTATTATCAACATAACAGGTAATCGAACAAGTGATAGCCCCAAAAAGGTCAACGACATAATTTTTTGTCGTAAGAATAGCTAATAAATAATGTTACGGTCCAAAAGCAGTTTTCAGAAACGCAACCTTCTCGACAGGAAGCCATTGCCTATAATAAGCATTGCTGCTTTCTACCACTTCCTGGTTAGGATTACTGAAGCCGATTTGACAGTAAAAACCTTACCAGAAATCAAAAACAAAATGCGAGCTCCTAACCCACTGTCATGACCTACATGACTTCTCAACTTTTTTTCAATTTCAAACTTAGTTACCTGCTTGCAACAGCAAATCCAAATTGCTCGTCGTCGTTTCCTTACTCACGGCCATCTTGTCTTGGAAACTTTATACAACTAGATCAATCCGCGAAGTGAAAAAGCAGGAAATGAAGGAAAACAAGAAAATAGGGCAAGGTACTTTTGCTGTATTTAGTACCCAAATAAATTGATTTGTAAAATTATCGTACAACATTTCCATTACAAAAGATATCAAGTTATCTTCGCTTGGTAAAGTATGCTTGAAATATATTTCAGTGGTCTTAGCTCTGACCAAAACACCTGCCAATGCGGAGGGGTCAAGGTGATAAAATGCGTGACAAGGCCCCTGCTGTTGGTGCATGTGGGTCAGTGAACACAACGTGGAATTTAACAGTAGTAGGATCGATCAAAACTGTTATGATGTTGCTATTCGTTACAGTTAGAAAACCGCTTCATGTTGTAACAGTTTAAGGACGTTAATTTTATATCATACATTTCCTCCAAATTAATTGGGCTGATATATGTTAATGGAAAACGAGTTTTAAAACTTCTTGAACGGGTCTCGACTGCGCTTTATTTTCATTTCTAAACCTACCTTAAAACGCATTGTTTGTGCATATTTACTGTTATGTAATAGCTCGCGTGGGCTACTTTGTACAGCCGTCTTTTCACAAATTCTATAAAGAGCAGCTATTGGGTGGCTTCTGAGGCGTCAATTATCAGCTTAAACTTATTCAACTTTTCTGACAACCCATGCCAAATTTTCACAGTGAATGCTTGATGGGTATTTTTAAAAATATCTTTAATTACTCCATAGAAAATTCGCAAGTCTAATTTGATGCTTTTAATTTCGAAAAAAAAAGTTTAAAATTTTTATTTATTTAATTAACCCCTCCTCCCCACCCCACCTACACTGAACCTCTTTGTACTTAAATAGGTAGTGACTAATCAGTAACTGGATTCACCTAACTGTGAAGGTTCATTATAACTTTTTTATTTTACAAGTTTCCACGTTCTATACAGTTCTGTCAAATTACAAAAATAAGTCAGAAAGAACAAACCTGACAGCTGAAAATGTCACTAAATGATGTTACTGAAACAGTTTTTTTTTAATTAAAAAAAAAGTTTAAATCTCTGAGTACGAAAAAAAAATCAAGATATTCATCTTCAACTGGTTCACTCTTATTTTGTCAGTTACAGTGGAACTTTTTTTTTACAGCTAGCACCCAGGAATGCAATTAAGTGTCTACAGATATGGGTTCAACTAGACCCACAGAGAGAGAGGGAATTAACACACAATGAAGGCAAATGAAGCATATTCCATATTCAGCTGTATTTCATAAATTACTTCCTTATTTTGAAAGTGAATAAATAATGATAATTATACATTTTTGCTACCCCAAGACAAGTCATATCTGCAAATGACTACCCTAAGCAAAATGTCAGGCCTGCTGCAAATTAGCAGTGAATTTGCAGCAAATATGCTGCATTATTGTAAACTTTTCATTTGGCTAAGGGTACAGGTATGTTAAAGTTATTCATGTCCAGATATGGGTTATCCATTTTTTATCACCATTTTCACAAGTCAACAAAAATCTACTAAGACTAGACTTTCTTCAGAAGCATCTCTTTCAGGGGGTACGAGATAAAAGGCTAAAAATATAATAACCTTTGGCAGCACACCCCTGGGGGTGATCATTTTTATAATTTTTTAAAGGGTATGGAAGGCATTAACCCCCTCCCCCCCTACCCCAGTTTGTAGACTTGTGAAAATGATTATAAAAATGGATTTACCTTATATATTCACTAAGTAAAAGCTAGGGCACTTACCAAATTTCATTCTTTTCCTCCTCGTTCTGAGCTGCCTTTTTTGCAGGGCTTCAGGGTTCCAAAGATCACTGTCATCGTTACTCAGAAGTCTCTCATTCACATCAATTCCAAAATCTTCCTTGAATTTGTTACATGAGCTCGAGCTGGAATAGCTGTCTGTTTCGTCAAAATAATCGGAGTCTATGCCATGCAGGTCTGCATTGTCCAGGTATGTAAGTTCTTCTGGTTCTTTATACACTATGACTGAAGGCCCATGGTCTTCCTGTGAGTAAAAAAAAAATGAAATGGTGAACTGATGCAAGTATCACTTCTGATGGAAACTGAAGCATGGTATGCTGTCGGAAATGTGATATAAATGTAATTTTCCAAAAGACTTGTGGATATTTATCAAATTAGGTATTTATATTGACTTTACATTATTAAATGATATATTTCTTCAGTGATAGAGTAACAAGTACTATACTGAGAGTACAAGTACTGAGAAAGAAACTTCGCTGAGCTGTTCACTTCAAAAATGGTAATTATTTTGAGCAAAAATATTCAGTGTATAATAAAGTGATGACCTTAATATTTTGAATTATAGGTTTAGTTTTAATTGATATATATGTATTGTACAGTATCACCACAGCAGTTTCGTATTTTGCAACAAATTCTCTCTTATTACCTGTTAATTAGCAAAAAAATCTTTTTGAAATATAAAGAAATGTTATAAGTTAAAGATAATTCTCAAATTCATTGAAACTGCATTCAATTAAAATGTACACAAGTTGAATATTTAAATCATTTCTTATACAGAAAAGCAATCTGTGGTGGTGGAAAAATCTAATTGTGTTTGGTGAGCAACCCGTCTGTTGAAATCACAATCACAACCTTGGATGTGCACTTCACCACAAATGGCTTGAGCAGACAAATTTGTTTGTTCGACTTGTTGAATGTCCTTGAGTAAAGAGATTAAAAGAGATAAGGGAGCCACTGAGAAAAGATATGGCAATATTAACCATAGGTGGCACTTTCATTCCTCCATCACAATAGAAGGTACTACAATGACTTGGATTTTATCGAGACAGTAATAATGTCTTACCACCTTGTTTGTTACACTGTATAGAAAAATAAGGCAACCCATTATTATGAGTAGTGTCAGATATTTTCGTTGTGATATACTTTTGTCACACTTTTCAGTCTTCATATGTCAATGAGAAATGCAATAGAAAACTTTGCTAAATAAGTCACCTGACACGCATTATCTCAGAGACAATAATGTAATGTGTAATCTGTTCAGCCGAGGTAAGAGGTCACGGGGTCAACACTGTGTGTTTAAATAATAATACAAACATAGCATCCATATTATTTAGTAGACAATGATTTATAATTTTTTCAGAAAGTTGGAATTAGATTGCCTGAAGAAGTGTGATTTTTGAATTTTACTGTTCTGCAGCAAAAATGTTATTTTCTAAAATAGGGTTTTAACACATCGCTCAATGGATCTCAGTGACCAGTGCCATTTTAAAAAAATGTTTTTCTCATAAGCAAACAATATCAAACAATACCACCTTATAATAAGCCACAGCATATCACACTAGTTCAGTGTCCCCGTGGTTTATGGCATGTTAACTGGGGCACACTGTATATCAAGGGGTCATCTGACCCAGTCCAGTGACTGCTGTTATCTTATATAGGGTTATCCACCATCCTCAGTGTCCAAGGGTCTCCTTTCAAACTAGAAATAATATTTTATAGCCCATGCTAAATATAGAGGTGTCAGGAAACTCGGGGTACGTCCATTAGGTCGGGTGTCTCACTCAACTCCTATCATTTTGCATTACGTGAAGGATGAACCACACATGATAAGTCACCTGTGATAATTGGCCATTTATTTTGGACGAGTTATTTTCTGTTGTGGAAAATTCAAAGTGCTCAAAAGTAAAATATACTATCCTATTTTATTCTTTAATTATTTTTTCATCAAATGATGGAGTTTTCTGTATTAAATGATTTAAAGTATAATTTATAGCTCATAGTATGTTTCTTTTTAGAGAGTTTAACAAATAATTAGAATTGAAATCTAAAAAAAAAGAAGTACAATAAAATGGCATAAGCACAGGAAATCCCAGACAAAGGTATTTTGAATTGATAAAAAGTAGCTTATAGCCTCCAAGGCACTTAAAACCAAACAGTGGTGTTCTGGAAATACAACCACCTTGTTTATTTATTTTATCTGTCGTGAGAACTCCCAAAAAGCATGTTATGTATATAAATATAAAACTGCAAGCAAGTACAAGCAGACCCATTTTCAAACTTTTTTGTGCATTTTTTTATGTAATTATAATCTATGTTATTGCTCGGATATCACTTTTAATTGTGGAGGGGGGGGGGGACTCTTTTTTCCCTCAATTACGACTCCATCTTTGACAAGACATATCTTTGAATCTGAATCTGTTTGTTTAAATTGTTTAAGTAATACAGGATAAAGATCAACAATGGACTTAATGTCTGCAATGATCATGTAGTAGCCAGACTAGCCAATATGTACTACATAGTAATGTGAAGGATGCCCCACTTCAACCTACACATCAGAATCTCATTTCTTCCCAGCATGACAATTAAAAAAGAATTATAAACACTTAGGACCCAATTAAAGTCCATGTGATGTCATAAAGAACTAAATTTTAAAAGATATAACAATTGTGTCAAGCAAAGCTGCAGTTTTCAATGTCTTAAATCAAATAAACTTGCTTCTTCTATTTTCAGAACTACATGAATGAAGTTTTTACATGCATAAAATCATAATAATATTTTTGCAAGAAATGCAAATGGTTTTTTAGGCCCTTTTTTGTTTTCATTTAACCAACCTTTGACATTGTTAAATAAAGATGAAGTGATTGCTTTTAAATTCATCACTGAATGCAAGGAAAAAAAAAGAAAAAAATCTTTGGTGATATCAAAATATTTTTCAAAAACATATTTGGAAAGCAGGTATGCTAAAGGGGCATCTACAGCTGTATAATGAAGTACTGGGGTAAAAAAATGCATTATTTAAATGCACCTATCTTCATGTATTTCAAGAAAATGTACTACAGATCTTTTACATAAGCAAAATATATTACACTGTAATAATGAAGGAACAGGAAGGAGAATATTTGTATAGAGGCCCCAGATGTAAATACAATCTTCTTAAACCAGGAAAAATCTACAAAACCAGGAAGTTAATATTAAGTAAAGAAACAGAGCTTGTGATTCATTTCGGAACTTTCAAGCAGGGCCACATTACAGCATGCAGTTACATATATAGATATCCAGGGGACATATGGTTGTTTTGTAGCCCAATTATCTCGTCTAGAATTCAGATTTCTTTTCCTGTCATACGAGACCTGAGGGGTACAAAATAATTTTTTTCTCTAGACAAAATCTTTCTATTTGTCAGACTGTTGTTATAATTCAAAAGGTAATGACATGTACACATTTTGACTGCTAATAAAGCTGCAGGTGAGGCTGTACGGTTGCATTGGTTGTACAATTTCAGTCCTTACAGTTATAATACATTTACCTCCCTCTGAAATAAATAAACATTTTATGTACTTATGTGCAGTTGTAGGGCAATGATACATGGAAACTGATGAAAATCTTACAAAGTTTATTCGTATCCCTTCAGGTTTAAAAATCAGTAAGGTCTCAACTCAACATTTATCTAATTTGACTTTCTTTTATTAAGCGGCCTGGATGTGTGCTTGGTTCTACCACTTTACCCGCCCCCTGTATTCAATGGCAACTATGGTAACATATGATTACTGTCATAAAATACGGAACTGATACACTGTGGCAAGGTGTGAGGGTTGCAATCACACTTTAACATAATCTGATGATCCATGTGTGTGTGTGTGCGTGTGTGTGTGTTCAAAAACAAGAGATATTCTTAAGTAGTTGGTTGATTTTGGCATCATCTTCACAATTAAGTTCATTTCATATTTCAATACTGAGTGGGCATTATCTTTCTAACTCAGTACAGGTTTAAATCTTAACTTTAAAACCATGCATGAGAGATCTGATTAAGACAGGGACAACAGAATTGATTGTAGGTTATGTTAATAACAACAAATAATTAATGGAAAAGTCATATGATAGTTCAAGACTTGCATAGGCTTTGCTATTTTTATATCTCCACCAAATTGTGCAGTGCAAGAATGTACCAACTACAAGCACAATATATAAGCTGATTTTTGTTTTAGTCAGTACTTTTTTTATACTGTAGGCAATTGCAAAATGCATATCTCAGTTAACATGAGAATGTACTTGCTTTTATCAAGGAGTTATAACTCCTTGCTTTTATTTTCAAGAACGTTTACAAAAAAAAATAAAATAAATAAATAAATAAATAAAATATACATACCACAGGTGTGTATTCTATGCTGTCTCGTCTGATTCCAAAGAAAATATCATCAAATCCAGGTAAACTTGGAATGTCCAAAGCAACAGCAGCCATGCTGAAGATATAATATAAAACCTTGTACGGGAAAATGTTCTACCGGTATCAATCTTTCACATAATTAAGAAGTTGGACATGTTACAGTAACTCCCATGTGTTCTAAGAAGAGTCAACTTTTGTCTGAGACAATATAAAGATAATGTGTTACTTTGGTAGTTTTATTTTTATTCAATGGCAACTTCAGTATGAGCAAAGTTCTAACTCAAGGTTGCTAATATTTAACTTTTCGGAACACATTCAATAGTTCATAAAGTTCTTATCACAGAAAAACAAAGAGAGGTCAGAAATGCTTAGCATGTTCATTGTCAACCCTTTTATTATTTGAAGCTACAGAATTTATGTGTTTGAGAATACATTTGTAGAGAAACTCTGGAATTTTAAACTTTTATGCAATTGATTATTTAGGTAATTTATAAACAGAATCTGTTCATAAACTAATATTTGTATGTTCATATTTGTAGCACTGACCCATTGGGACTTTCCAGCATAATAATAATTGTTGATTGCAAAAGGAAAGCTATATTATTGCTTTCGATTTACAGGGCCGTAAAAAATATAAATATGATTAAACCCATATAAATGTATGCTCAGCCTTGAAGGTTATGTGTACTAGTATATACATTTATATACTAGTAGCCCTGATTCTGAAGATTTATCTCACTTCAGTATGAGATGTGCAGATTAACCTGTTGATATTAACAACATGTCTGATCTTTCTACAACCTGCGTAAGCATTTAAAGTAAGCCATTAGCCTGGCATTTCATCATTAAATGTCCTGTGTGCTCGGGCATTTCGTTCATGTTACACGGCACTGAATATTTTACAGATGTACAGTACACTGTGACATCTATGTACATGTATGTTGTTGTCTGTGACCTCCTCGCTATTCTGTACTGCCGCAGGTGTGTTGTACCTGTCAGTATAGCATCCCCTCTCCTACTCTACTCTACTCAAAATATCATATCAGGTGCATCTTTTACCTTGGTGTCAATATCACCTGAGCCTGTTGCAACTTTTAAGTTTAAAAACTCTTGAGTGATGTACATATTAGCTATACTGCATTGTAGTACATTCATCTCTCTTCTCTCCATATTCTATATGGAGAATTATTATCAGAACAGCATTTACCTTGACATCATGGTCACCGAGCTGTCACATCTGACTCGGGTGTGAAGTCAGTCTATTTTGTGTCAGCCATGAAGCAATAGAGTACATAACTTTCTTTTCTAATGGCATGCACAATACAGACAGGGGTGCAAATGCTCAAAAATTGACTCTCAACTCCAAATATTGGCCCGTGACTCCAAGATTTCTATGAGGCTGTATGTTGTCCTATGTCAACATGTCTGGTCCCCCCGCTCTGAGTCCACAGATGAGGTAATGACTCACCTGAGCAGATCCAAGATTCGATCCAGACACATACACACACACACACACTGCTGCTAATATGTTACATATACTCGCCCAACTGATAAAGAACGTAATCTAATCATTTGCAGAGTTTCAAAATTAATCACACTGAATAAATATTAACTAATATTTGTTGATCACCAGACCTTTAATACTTGTGTCAATTTTTGTAGAAATCATCCTGAAAACTAATAAGTATCATGACGCAGTCTCCATAAAAAACTTTGACAAGTCTGTTGTAATAAAATGTTCAATTTTCAATTATTTTTTTATGATATACAGCCAACAAATCAACCAATCGGCTTTCAATTGTAGATCCCGTTGGATCTTGTTTGCATAAACATTTGAGAGGGATACCATTTATTGTTTTATATTCCTTAACCTCAGGTGAAAATATGAATCATATATAATTAAGTTCTATATTATCATCATTGTATGTTCTTGCTCAAGTTTCACTATGGTAATTATCTGTTAATGACATATATAACTTTGAAGCTTATGGAGATATTAATTGTTATCATCAATGTCATCAATAGGCTGGTTTGACAATTGTATATACAATATACATTGCCAACCCTGGGACATGATTTGAATGTTAAATAACACATAATCTTCACATTTTATGACACAACCCACTAAGAGACATTACATTCTAATGTATTATGATTACCATTACATAACTTTAAAATCCTTTAATTCAATTGGATGTTGTAATACTGCATTTTGAATGAGAAAAAATTATTGAATAGGTATTGGAAGCATCTCTTCAAAGGTTTACTATGTCTAACAATCATACATAAAGTGTAATGCAATATTTGCAATCCATGGAGACATCCTATTTTAATGACATGAAGGTCACGTCACGTGCATGGGGCCTTTTTTGTGTTTGTTTTTCATCCATACAGCTTACACTAGGTACTTGCTATTGATATAACCTAGTTCTACCTGCTGATAACATTTTTTTATTGGCGACGTGTTTACCCCACCTGTCAACCAGGAAGATGCCGTGTAGCTTTTTCTTTGTCTGCCAAGGGGATGGGGGTAGGGGAAAGGGGATTCATCATCACACAGCACTTCCTGTTTTTGAGTTGAAATTTTCCATGATAATTTGTGAAGTACGATTCCTTGTTAAGCAATGTTAAAACTTGAATTTAAGCACCCAAAACTGAAAAAAAAATTGGTTCTGAAAGTATGCATCCATTTTTACGTCTGGTTCAGATAAAAGTAATTTTATACACTGTAGAGCAATGGTGTTGATCTTGCAGCAGTACATGATCTGTCTATATCAGTTACATATGTAGCAGCATGAGAGACTGCATGGCCACGTCTTATTCCCAATTCTTCCCAATTGTCTATTGTGACCATGTTTCATGTACATGCATTTGCACATGTGCAAGTCAAAAAATACTCTGTTTATAACTATAGTATATAAATTTTTTTTAAAAATTCAAGTTATGTACGTCTCAGTCCTTTTCTTCAATGGTATATATTTTTTCAATTAAGGTATGGGTAAATACCAAACTGACATTTTTATCCACATTTGATAAATTCTACTAAAGAGACAATTGATAAAGTCCACATCATAGCTTGGATACAAAGATCAAAAAGATGAAGAGGTTTCTACATGTACAAGTCCATTTTTAGTTCTATGTCACCTGCTTTGTCTCCTTGGATATATATATACACTATGAAGAAAATAAGATGTCCCTTTCTTTAGTTGTGCAATAGGCATTTACTAGTATTATGTATAGTATTATCAGGGTGTCTTTTCAACCAGATCAGGTCAGTGCCCAAACCCTATGGACATGTGTCTCTCTACACAGGTGAATCAACAGTGAGGTGCACAGACCGCATACCTGACATACCTTTATATCTGATTTGAACCAATCAGATGCTGTAGAGTGTCTCCAGTTGACAGCTAGGACTCTGTCGATGTAATGGAGATGTCATTAAAGAGGAGATGCCACCAGTGTAGGACTTCTTTGCTTTATATTCTTGTTGTATCTGAAAATATACAGTGAAGCTTAAGAGAAGCTTGCTTTAGGTTTTTGAGTGTCTTTTAATTGTTATTTCATTTATTATATGTAGGTCTGAATACACATAGAAAAGTTATAGTTAATTAAGATTAAAAGTATGTTGAATCAAAAGATTATGTAGATTTAAAAAATGTAATATGTTTGATTTATTTGTTTTGGTAAAAGTGTTAATGCTTTAAAGTAAAAAGTGAAATAATATACATATATATTGTTATACCAAGATTCATTTTCCCCCATTAAACTACCCCAGTAATACTACAAACATGAACTGAGCCACACATTATACAGGTTCAATTGTCCAGGAATAGGCCTATGTATATATACTGCACTCATGTTTAAATATTAGCACAGCTAATCTTCTTCATTTTGATAATCTTGGAAAAAATTTGTTATTGAATTTGGATGATTACTGAATTTCAAATTTCAATGATTGCAGACAGCAATTATCTTGAAAACTGAATACCAAAAAAATAACAATATTCATAAAGCTAGCCAGGTCATGAAAATTTCTTATTGATATGAACATATTTATGTATTTAAATTATGAGTATTTAACAAAATAAATCTTAGCGGTAGCAATCTTAGTGTAGGTCTAAATTTAAACTAATGTCTCAGAGGTATGAAATGAAAGTGAAACCAATATCTGGTTCAGGTGGTGAAAGTAAAACCAAAAGAAAAGAGAGCATTCAGATGACGGACTGGAAAATCCAATGTGTAACTTGTTATGAGTCATATCCTCCTCCTACTCACATGTACTGCGGGCAGTCATCCATATAATAGGTAACGGAGGTGGTTTTACCAGAGTGGGATGATTGTGCAAAACTTGTGTTTTTGGAATGTAGAAGATATAAAAAGAATAAAACTTGCTGTTATGTTTTCTACTGAATCATAACATTTTATTGGTATATGTGGCACAAATGTGCAGTTTGATCAAAGTAATATTTTTAAATAGAACTTTTCTTTGCATTGATGATAGCATATGAACCTGTCCACATTTGAATATGCTTATCAATCAAAATGCATTGTTATTGTCATTTCTGTCCCAGAATGGTCAACAAGTCATACTTATTTCTAGAAGATAACTTGTTTCTTTATGTGCTGTGACTGTCACGTTTTGCATTGTGTTGAAGTATTTGCACAGCCTTGTGAAGTGGTTGCAGCAGTTAATGATCACTTCATGAAGGCATTATCTCCTATGTGATAGGGATATGATTAACCATGATAAGAGAATGTAATTCCAACTCTCAAAGTATGAAAAAAAAAAGAAAAAGAAAAGAGAAAAAAATCCAAAACCAGTATGTATGTGACACAACTTGGAAATTGTAAGTACATTGAAGACAAATGAACCTTTCCCATTGTTATGCTTTTTTTTCCAGTTCAAATTACTAATGTGACAAAAGCAGTGCTATTTTTGGCTATTATACCAAGTCAATTTTTGTATGTGTACTGGTTTTGAACATAGTATTAAAAGTCCCCTTTGCTCTGAAAAACAAATGTCCCACCCAGCTCAGCTAGGTAAGACACTCCAGTTGACACCATAAACATTTTATAATATTTACCCTGGCATGAAATTTACAATTTACACTTGTGATAAGATGGGACATTATTGGGTCAGTCATGAAAGTGAATAATGCAGATCAACAAACTTCAAGCCAGAAATATTTATATGACTTAATTTGTGTATGTGTAATTAATCAGGCTAGGTGCCTGAAAAATATTTATATGACTTAATTTGTGTATGTGTAGTTAATCAGGCTAGGTGCCTGCAATGTATCTGGGATAACGAAAGTTTATAGATGGCAGCTAGTTCAACTGGAGTCTGTACTCACATGTACCTGGTCACATGGATATGTGTATATACAAATGAAAGTACACTACTGGGTACAGGCAAAGCCAGAGGCACCATATGCATGCTGCCAACTTCTATATACAGACTGTATTTATGCATGTGGTTTTGGAGACTCGATCAACAGGTTTCAACTTGTGGTAAAGAAGCATTCCAGAACACTGGATGAAAATATGTTACGTTAAGTTGAGTTAGCTCAATCAATTAATAGTTTTGTTACTGCCTTAACTTTCATTACGAACATGGCAGTTTCTGCCACAATGCCTTTATATATAGCAACCTTTTAATTAATTAATTAATATATATATATAGACTGACCTGAGTGAACATAACGGTTTTCATAATATTCAGCAGTTTATTGGTCAAGCTCAGGCACATATATATATCTCAGTCTGTTATCAAATATTTCAGTGCTTGAAACTGTAATATAACTGCAAGACCATTGTATTCCTGTTATCAGGGAGGTGTTCAATGTTAAACCTGATCCCTTCTGCCCCCAATAAATGTTATCTCTCAACTTTATCATTGTGTATTGTTGCTGACTTTATTAACTGCCTGCTTCACATGTTATATAGGATATGTTATCCTCACCCCGAATACTGCAGCAGTGTACTCTGAAGTTTTTCATTATAGATTGTTGCTGACTTTATTAGCTGACTGCTTTACATGTTATATAGGACATTTTATCATCACCCCGAATATCACAGTGTACCGGGCACATATCATCAGCATTCCAAGTGGTTGCTTCACTTATTATTATATAGGATATGTAATCATACCCCCCCCTCCCCCCGTATCACATACAGTGTTACAGGATTCATATATCATATATATCTTCTGCACTCCTATCAATGCCCCTTGCAATAATCAACCTCATAAACTCAGGGTTACATGTACCAATGTTCTGTTATTGATACTAACAATAATATTCAATTATTGCCACTTTTCATGTATACTGAGAGTGGGTTTCAATTTAAGTACTCAGACCTTGCAAATAATGTTTAAAACACTCTTCAGTTCCAAACTGTAATAAAACTTTTATCCAACTTTTTTACATGAACATTGAGTAATGCTTTTTATATATCTACTCACATCAATAACCCTGTGACGCTAAATTTCAGTCAAAATTGCTTTCAAATATTCTTGGCACATTGATTGAACTATTGTTCAATATCAGTTGATGGTGTATGTGTGTGTGAGGGGGGGGGGAGAGGTCTGTGGACAGAAACATATATATACATTTTGTACTTAGTATATGTGCCTTCTATAAGGTCAGCATGACTCTCCAAAAGGGCTAACAAAAATGACATTTCATCTACAAGTCTGTTTACCAAGTAAAAGCACCATATGACTCAACAACCAAATACTTGTGACCATATTCCATGTACACTTCTTACAAGTGCAGCATGTATATACTACATACCAAGTCAGAATGAACCCAAGGCTCTATGAGAAGGCTTGATGCCCTAGATCTCATGAATTCCATTCCGCATTGTCCTTTTTATCACACATCCTGCCCTGCTCAACACTACAGCAATATTGACTTAAGACTTTTTTTTTTGTGCAGCAAGTTTGGGGTTGTTAAAAGGAACTGCAGGTCATGTGACAGCACTGTGGTGAAACAGGATGTAAAAACCTGGGACCAACTAGATTTTTGTCATCGTGTTATATGCTAATAAAACACAGGAGACATTCTCGGCCTCACTGCACCTATGTCAAAGTGATGCTCAACCTATAAAACTGACAGAAATGATACATTATATAGAGAGAATTATTCTAATATATGTACACAAATGCATTAGAAATTAAGTGCATGTGAGCTATTTTAGAAGTATGCATATATTATTGTTTACCATTGCAAAACAATTTACAAATTAAGCTCCATATACTGTACATACAAATATGTAGCATGCTTAAATGATTGTTAACTTGGAGTGATTGCAATCATGTTTTTAATCAAATTATTTTGAAAAAATGTTTAAAAGCATGTAATTCATTCTAAAAAAAGACTTTATCTAGATTACAATTATTTAATTCCAAATCACAGGTGGATTCCACACACTCCCTTAAAAACCATCCTAAGTGATGTGGTGTGGCCCATTTTAAGTGAGTAATTTCTTTATCTGATTGAATTTTATTCGCGTGTACGTTGAAGCACAGGCAAAATGTTTTTAAAATTTTACAGATCCGCCCTCGATCCCAGCTTATTGAAAAGTTTAAGTATTACAAGTCTACATACCGAGACAGCAACACGTTCTCACAGTGTGGCTCTATTCATTGTATAGGTAAACAAGTCTGTGTATGAATAGACTGTCCCAGTATTACCTGAATGATGAAGGGGGAGGGGTCATGAGGTTGAGCCCATGAATCGTTAAAGAAAACTTCTCGATCTAGTACCTAAATTCTCATGCAGCCTCACCTGAACTCATAGGTTGATTCGATGACGTTGTCCTTTGTCCCCTGTAACCCAAAAGTTTGGCAATTTCTCTACGACAAACTTTGTCACCCAGTTGTAAATATGATATTACTCAAGACGCTATCGAGTGGGTGGGTCCGTGACCTTCTGTTAGCGGTTTAGGAATGTACGATGAAGTCGCTGAAAGTCTCTGAAAATCTACAAGCTGTAAGGCCGCAGCACTCTCATACCATATTAAAAACCAATGTTGCAATCCGGCAAGTTCTTTTCCACCGGGGAAATCCTCGAGTAAAGTAATAAAATGGAATTGTGACTCATAGTTGCCCGACTTGTCACAGTCACCTGACTATTGTAAATAGCATGTGAGGCGATCTTCTCAACGACCGTGTTTTACAAAGGCGAGCTGCCCTTCTCTCTAGAAAAAACTGTCCTTCCACGCAGGGAGTATGGTTTAAAAGTCCAAAAGATTTCGGATACACTATCACATCACGAGACGCTGGAAATTATGTTGTGATAAAAATAGAATCTTACTCGTGAATTTCGAGCTATAGCATGGGACTTCCCCCGGTATTTGTTTACACATGCCAATCAACGACAGCTATTGGTCGTTGGTCTAAGGGGGGCGGAGCATAGCGCCCATAAAAGGTAATATCAACTGACGTGGCTAATGAACGGGCTTTGGCGGATAGAAAGTCTACAAAAGAAAAGAATGTTTGTGTAATCCAAGGAAAAGTTTAAAATTTCACGCATTCGTGTTCTGTGAAAATAGATTATAATGGCTTACATGATGATGAAAAATAAAATGGAGATTTATAATAGTATGTTGTTTTATAAATGTTATTGAGATCTCGAACACTCAGTTGAGGTTCCATGGTGTAATGGTTAGCACTCTGGACTCTGAATCCAGCGATCCGAGTTCAAATCTCGGTGGAACCTATCAGATCATTTTTCTTTTCTTCCTTCCTAGAGGCTCAGATGGACACAAAAGGATACCCAAGCGGCCAAGGTATTTCTGTTTTTTTTCCTTTATCTTTTATAAAATTCCCCCAATACTGCATTTTACTCATTCTAAAAAAATTATCAGACAGAAATATAACTTCTCTTACAATTACTGAAGAAGTAATTCAAAAATTAAAGTCTTTTAAGTATTTTTTAAGGTATCATATAAAGTTCTAATATGCTACTTTGTAACCAACAGCATAGAAAACAGTTTACACTATTCCTGAGTTATGTCAACAGTATGTTGTTTTTGTCATTTTTGACTATTATTTAGTTTCAACAGGCTCTTCCAAAATTATCTTTTCAATTGCAAAGTTGGATTCCATATGCTCAATTTAGTTCTACAATATACAAAATTATATCTGTTATATATATATATATAAATAGGTGATTTTATCAACTGTCATCATCTCCACGTCGACGCATATTAGCTTTTTTATCACTAATCTTACGCTTTTTAAAAGCAACAGTTTCTCCAGTGTCTCTGACCGTTTTCAAAGAAGTCACTTTCTTTTCTTTAAACTTTAGTTTGGGTTCATCATCTGCTATATCAGGCAGTGGAATCTCTTCATATTGTGGCTGTTGTGGTAATTGTAAGTCGATTTGCTCCCTAAGGTAAAAAAAAAACATATTCATTTAATGAAATTTTACAAACAGATGGACCAAGTTTAAGTAAGATGCACTACTTTTTGGCAAAGTATATGTAACAACTACTTGCGCTTTACTCATGTAAATCATATACTTAACCAGATACTTACTCTTCCACCACTGCCGACTCCCAACTTCCATATGCAGCCCTAGCATTTCTGTCCTCCACTATCTTTGGCACTATTTTCTCTGATGGCATAGGAATGCTGTCTAAGGGTATATCTGCTAGATCTATAACTGGATCTTCCTTACTTTCACTATTTTCATATTTAGTATCATCTGACTGAAAATAAACACTTAGCATTTTTAGTTTGCAAATTTCTCCCTTCCAGCACCCCCCCCCCCTCCATTTCCCATTTAATCTTTCAGTAAACAAAGCAAACATTCTTAAAATTTTGAAGGACAACTGTTACCTATAAGTACCTATAAGTACAGTCAAAGAGTAACTGGTATACTTGCCTCTTTTCAATAAATTTAGTTTTTATAATAAAAAAGATAAATCTTATTTTATTCTTACTTGATCATCTTCCACAGGTGCCGCATCCCCTTTCTGCTGCCTCTCCTGCTCCTCCAATGACAGGTACTTCTCTGGAGCCTCCCAGGTTGATTCTGAAATCATTCAGATATCAGGGTTTAATTTTGGCCTCCATATCATCACTCTCACCTTTTGCAATCTTTATTATAAAATTAAAACTATGGAACTTCTTAAATACATATTTAATCATTTGTGACTACATCTAATTCTACATTTCTATGATTCTTCTACTGTTGAAAATTGAACCAGAATTTTTTTTTATTTTATTTTTTTTATTTATTTACATTTTTTTAAAGATTGGCTTAACATTATTAACAATTGTTCAATGCTAACACCTCATCCCTTTCCCAAGAAATATCAATTAAGAACTTATCTCACCTCCAGTTGCTATATTCCAATAATATGTGTACCCCTCATCTGACTTGGCTTCATACCACTCTTTGATTTCAGGGACCGTACTCTCCGAGGCATCTTCTTCTGCATCTCCTGAGGTCTCTGGATTAGGTGGAGGGGCGCAGGTCGCCACTGATTCTAAATAAAGTATAAAATAGGTACACATTTACCAACTCTCTGCCGTCTGTGTGCTTTACTCATAACCTGGAGGTAGCAGAAAACTTCTGGGTCATGGACATACCTCACCATTAAGGATACCGGGTACAGACTATACTCTATAAAACTGTTACTAGTACTTTATGAACTCATTCCTACTGAACTTATTGCTCTATGTAGATCGATCCAACTCAGCAGGGTCCCTTGCTGAATGCAATCGGATTAACAGATAAACATGCCTCCTCCTGGCTTTGAATAGAATACAGATAAGCTGGTGATTATACAAGTACGTTGCAAGCACCAAGTGGCATAGTTATCTCTTAATATGATTGCATTCAGTGAGAGTCCCCATAAAGTTGGATCGATCTACAGATGTAGTACAACAGTTTCACTGGGAATGGGTCCTACGGTTCAGAATATGGCAGGATTTCTATTTAACATGAACAAATGACACTTTTGCCCTAGCCATTTTTGAAATAATATTCATACCTGTTTTTAATGGAATTCTCACTCCATACTGCTTTGCTAAGTCAGGATTATCTATCAGATCTTTTTTAAATGCCTCCAAAGCAGCCTGGAATTAAAATGAATTTCATAATTAAGTTATCAGCACTATGTTCAAAACTGAAAGCTTATGAATGATCAAAATAAAAATTATTGTAAGAACACTTGGCCAAATATACAAAACCTAAAAATTTGAACTACTAGTTCGCAGTTTCTATCATTAGCAAATATACATACATTATTTCCATGATCACATTATTACATATTTAAATACTATTTCATCAGTTACCACCATATTAAAAATACTTTTAATACAAACCAATTCCATTTCCTTGAATGCATCTTCTTCAAACTGTTTCTTTTTGGCATCCGCAACCCCCTTCTTACGCAACTAAAAGGAAAATTCACAATATAATTACATCCCTCACATAGCCAATACAACCTGTCTCAAGCATATAAAATATTATATTTATCAAAAGAATACATCTCATATAATTTAATTTCCTCTATAATTTAGGAACATATAAGAATAATGGAATTGTCAGCAAAGACCAGGCTCTCCGTAGAAGCTGTGAAAACAACTTTTATTGAAAACTACTTATAAATTAATAAACAGTCTAACAGCAGCAACTAAATATCACATTGTTATGAATATTGATGTTACCTCATCAATCTTTTTCTCCACATTCTCTTTGTGTCGCTTTCCTTTTTCATGGAAATCTATACTCTGTGAAAATAAAAAGAAAAGTTGGTATATGCCTATCAATGTGTTTGAAAGAGTAACTATTCAATTTATGTTTCACCTTTTTTGTCAAAAAATTGCAAAAAATATTTTAAAGCTGGTGATATTCAAAGACATGAGAACAAATAATTGCACCAAAATACTCCTTTTTCCCAATTTCAACCTAACCCCCTTCAAAGCACTGTTTTCACCAAAAGTAATCATCATCATTATGAATTCCTCTTCAAGTTTGATGCTCATATTTCAAACATGGCCAATTTAAGTCATATAATGGCTTACAGTCACAAAATGTATTTTACTTTGATGGGAAGAATTCACCCTGTATGTCATAATCAGAAATCCATTACCCCATTACCATCCATGTCTGACTTTAATGAAACAGAAAACTGATTATTACCGGTTTATTATCAGCAATCCAACATTTGCAGTATTCACAAAACTTCCTGGGATTGGATTTCCAGTAGTCAGCCCTGAAATTATGGCATAAGAATTGAGACACATTTACCATGTATTAAAATAGAACTCTACAGATCACGATTTGTGTTATATTAACTACTATTTAATTTAATTATATATGTTTTTTTTTCACAAGCATTTATAAGATGATGATCACAGAAAGTCTTCCTCAACTTGGGGATCAAATCAAGGAACCACCATATACTTCATGATTATCATGGACGTACAGAAACCCAGAAAACCTAGCGATGCACAAACGATAACCGTAATATACATGTAAATTGTACCAACCAATGCAAATTCAAATAATTGCTGAATATAAAATAAACTTCAGCATGGGATGCAGATACAGCTGTTATTTGGTATGAATTGTAGATAACGTTTTCATTAAATACGTTTATGTAACAATTAAATGAGACACCGCCTGAATAAAACGTGATCTTTATGAAAAGTTCCCTTACATCTTCAAATGCGTGGTCTGCTATTCCCCGGAAGTTTTGATCTTAATGTATGGGCATGCGCACTTTGGTAATCGCATTGCATCCTGGGAGGCCATTTGAGGTCAGAGTTTAGCTTTTGCAAAACTTGTGTTGATTGGCTTATCAAAACGCGTCTGTTTTCATTTTTTGTATAGGCGGAGCTATGTTGTACCCAATCATGGATCTTGATGCTTCCACTTTCACTAGTGATTGACAAGCGTATGTCCAGGGCTTTGTTGTTGATAAAATTGTGTAGCAGGTGCTCGTGGTTTAGTTAAATTTTGGCGTTATTTTACGTAATTTTAGTTTTTCTGAAAGGATTTGTGGTGGCAGCCACTGGAGCGGGATGGTGAGTAGCATTCTTTCAGGTTAAATTTCATTTTTTGGAGATAAGGAATTAAAAAGCAGTCATTTTACCGGTGTCTGGAGTCCGTCACGTCCACAGTCTGACGGCGTCTTCATTAAATTGTCAAAATTTTATACACCGATTTTATTATTAATTTCTAGATATTTCATATCTCCAAAATGTAGACCTTCTCATTCTCTAAATGTAGATAAAATCTTTATAATATAAACGGCGTCTAGATCTCAGCCATTAAATTCGAAGAACTCCTCCCCCCTTTTCCACAAGCTGGGAATTCTAAGTTGTATGAAAATTGAATACTAACTTGAAATTTAATAAACATCGTCAGATGAAGAATGTCAGCAGTTGTTAAATGATTACTGATCGACATGTTTCTGTTCAGTTTTTGTCATTATTTTAACCATACCAAATTGAATATCGGATTCAGCAAAATAAATGACATAAGTTTTGTTTTTATGTGATATTTCAGTGAAAATACATTATGTGCGTTGTTCAATGGCTAGAGACGGATGTGTCACACCTGGTGTTACTTCTAAATGTTACAAGCACTTGCTTGTCATTTGAAATCATTAATCATATTTTCCAAGGTGTTAGTGGAAGATGTTAGTTTTTAACTCTCTACAGAACACTAGTTAATAGCAAGAATAGATATGGCCGTGTCCACTGCCAGCTTGGAGAAGTTTTACAAAATGACCAGAAAGTTGTTTGGCACAGACTTGCACATATGTTGCTCACTTTTTTGTATTAGAGTAAAATGTCAACATATTGGATAGTATTGTTGTTGATGGCATGGGACATTTATACTGGACCTACTAGTACTTTATTTTTGTCATTTTTGCAAAGGGAAAGAAACCTGATCTGCTTTAATCCAACTTTATTTTTCTTATTCTAGGAGCAGTCTGATGCAGGTGAGTAGTGCTCCAGTATTTTGTACCCTGAATGTATGGCACTTAAAAAAGATAAAAAGGAATCAATATTTTTGTTCATTTCAAATTGACTAGAGCCAGTGAAAAAAAAAACTCTGACCAAAGTGTAGTTTTGATAAAACCTAAAGAGTTCATACTTAATAAAAGCCGCTTTATTTAGCATTTGACTCACATTTTGCTGGGTTATGTTCAACTAAAGAATATAGCCCTGTATTTAGTGTTGTGGAAATTTGTTATTGCCTGCTTCAGACTGGGGAGGACATGACATCAAGTCTGGCGGGGACGGGGTCGAGACCATGCTGGGAGACTTTGATAACGACTCCAACTTTGGATCACTGTCAGTGAAAAGTGAGGAGGCCTTCAATACTACAGGACTGGTGGTAAGCTTATTTTAAAATTACAGAGAGTTCAAGTCTTGATTTTTCAAAGGCCCAGACATTTGGGTGTCGTAGTTATACCCCATAAACCTCCCCCACCCCACCTTTCTCTTTATATAGAACTGTGTACATTCTGCACTTGCATTTTCCAGATTTTTACAGGCCCTAATCATCTATGAAAAAGACAGAATTTCATGTCAGGCTTATAAATAAAATCCCAGGTTGGGTGATGACCATGTGGTACAAGGTAGTAGTTAAAGTTGACCATGCCTGCACAGATAAAGATGATAATATATTCCACCTGAATACATGAAAACATAAAATTCTTATTTCAGGAGGATGAAGAAATGGACTACAACATGTATGAGGAGTACAGTGACAGCTATAATGAGAGCAATATGACATACTCTGATACTGAGAGCAAGGAAGACTTTGGCAGTGGTCAGCAAGTGACCAGTGAAGAGAATGGAGGGTCCTTCATTAATAGTGGACGTAACTTGTACATTTATCCTTCAGGCAGAGAGGGCATGGGTAAGTTGACTTAAGTTATTATTTTAGGTACAAGTTGTTGTTTTAAGTAGATATTTACTTTTAGTTAAGCTTAAGTTGTGTATACATGTTGACTCAGCAGAATTGTTATAAAGACACCTGTCTAACTGGATGACTGGGAAATGCTATTTTATGAGAAATATGTTATTTAGAAAACCAACTAGAAAAAGTATAAAATAGTTATTTGATCCTTTGCCTTGTTGTCAACATACCCCAATTCTTCAAGTCTGTCACATGTTGGGAACTTTTAATTATGAATTATCAGTTTGAAGTTTGTTTGATTGCTGGTACTAGTAGCTATTTCAGATCTATTGCAGTTGCCATGAACTGGCTCGATATCAGTTTTTAATCTCATGCCGAACAGTAACTCTAAGAATGCACATATTTGAAATGGGAAATGATTTTAAACATCTTCAACCAATTTATTATTATTATTATTTACTTCATTTAAGAAAAATGTTTACACATACAAGATACTATTTTAAACTTCTAACTTGTAGCAACCTGTGAGCGTTGTGGCACAGTGGGTATCAAACATGCTTTCTACTCCAAGACCAAAAGATTTTGCAGCTTGGCTTGTTCTAGGAGTTTTGCCACGGCTCTGAGAGAGGGGCCGCAGTCTAATCGCAGGGGTGGACATGTGCCTGGAGGAAGGATGGGTCCAGTAAGTTCACTTATCTATTTGAATTAATCCATGATGCTACCATGTTTTTTTATAGCATGGCAAAAGTCCTTTTTCTGAAATATTACCCGTCTTCAGCAGTTTTTTTCCCACAATTGTTATCCAGGGAAACATCTGCTGAAGGAAGGGTGGTACTGTTTTACATTTAAATGTTAGTAACCCGGGGCCGGTTTCACAAAGCAGTAGTTAGTTAGAACAACTAACTACTGAACTACCTCGCTAACGAGCAAACTTAGCGATTTTCGAGGGGTGTTTCACGAAGCAGTCGTTAACTCATCGCTAAGTTCAGTCGTAAAGTTCGGTCGTTAGTTCTCTCGTTACTCACCGTAGTCTCGAAACCGTCTGCCGGAAGTGGAACTCTTGCGTAAAAGTGTCACGAAAGCACTAACTCTCCAATTTTTGGTGGCTGGAAATGCATAAGAACGTCTGCTTTGAGGTCGTCGTAAAGAATCTCCACCACCTTTTTGCCGCTCTTTTTGTCACAGCTAGGCGCAACCTCTCGTAAATTGCATCATCGTGTGTATATTCTAATAGATTCTGCCTTTCATGAAAACGTCGTAGTCTACCTTGCCGTCTGGCGGTACGGTTAGCAAGAAAGGTAGCCGCCATATTGGATACAAAGGCAAACGACAGACAACGGTAACTAAGCAACCTTTTTATTTCGCTCATTACGCATGCGTACGATGAAACTCTAGAGTTAGCGACTGGTCTGACCAGTCGTTAAATATCCATGGTAACAACGAGACAATAACGAGCGAGAGAACTAGCGACTGCTTCGTGAAACGGCACTCTAACTAGCGAGAGGCTAACTACCGATCGCTAACTAACTACTGCTTTGTGAAACCGGCCCCAGTACTTTTAGTTGCCTTGCTACACTGTTATTTAGATAATGCAAAATGCAATTTTGAGATATTTCTTATTTTAAATTTTTCAGCAAAAACTTGCTTCTAGATTAAATGCTGTATGTTACTTTTAGTAATTTATCTTCAGACTGGAAGCCCCTTGTGATTCTCAGATATTTCTTAAATAATTACCCATGAAGATAATAGTATTTCTGTAATGTTTTCAGCTGAAAACTCCTTCCAAGAAGAAAACACCACCCAAGCCTAAACCTCAGATTAATACCATTCCATCATCTTACAACAAACAGAGTAAGCAAAAGCTTTGTTTTTGAAAAAATAATAATAATGGGATAGTTGCATTACCTTCTGAGAGTGTATAATAGCGATGACCATTGTAGCTAAAGTGGTATATTCAATTTGTGTGAAGGGATGTATGGAGCATGTAAAATGAATTATTTCCATTTGTATTAATATTGTTGCTGCTATTCTCCCTTTTGTTTTTCAGATGCCATAAAGTCTTTTGACTGGAGTAACTATTTAAACACAACTTGTGCTGAAGCAGCTTCTATTAGTTATTTCAAACATGTAAGTTTTTGATAATGTAATAAGTCAGTACAGAGATTTTTTTTCTCAATTATTTGCAAATATCATATTATTTGACTCATGTCAAACTGATTTGAATAATGTAATTGTCAATTGTACAGATTTTTTGTCTTGCTATATAGTGATTTTCTAGTGTTCATACTTTTATTTTTATCAGAGTGAGTGATCAAATGAAATAGCATGGCTGACATGTGCATTGACTTTCAAAAGTTGATTCACTTTGGCGGAAGGGTAAACAGTTGAATACAAGTGATTTTTGTGTTTTAAAAACTTCACTTTATTTTCTAACAGCAATAGAAAGCTAAATGTGATCCCTTATGGCTGTGCAATATTTAAATTAAACAGTTCACAGTAAAATGTGCAGTTTTTCTGATGCTCTCTGCTCTCCCTCCTGTAGGCTCCCATGTCAGATAGCTGGGACAACATCATAGTGGGGATGAAGGTGGAAGTGATCAACTCTGATGTAGATCTTCCCAGTACTGTCTTCTGGATTGCTACTGTCATCAGAATAGCAGGTGGGTGACACTTTGTTCTTTGGAAAAAACGAGTTGTACTAGTATTTTTAGTCATTTGGCTGATGTATGTCAATTTTATTTTGGTTACTTCATATATTTGTTACCATCCCAAAAATGTTGAATTTACCAATTAAAGGATTATTATATTTCTCAAGTTGGGTTTTCATAAGTCATTTATTTAATTTGATAAAAAACTTAAGTGCTTTCATTAAATCTAACTTGTAAAATTGTAATCATTAAAATGATTGAAATGTTTTATTCAAGTCAGATTGGTGAGTTTTTACAATTATTTTGGCATGGTCCTTCTTATTGTCCAAGGATGGTCTGTGTATGTGTCTACACATAATACATGACATTTGTTATACTAAACAAATGCATATCCAACTGAGCATTGCAGTATTAATTGCCACACACATTTCCCCAGGTTACAAGGCACTGATCAGATATGAAGGGTTTGGTGCTGATTGCAGCAAGGATTTCTGGTTAAATCTGTGTACACAGGATGTTCACCCAGTGGGCTGGTGTGCCACGATTGGGAAACCATTGGTGCCTCCTAAAAGTGAGTACTTACACAGGGGCAAATCCAGAGATATTTTCTGCCAGTCTTCTGAATTATCTTTGTTGATCCAACCTCCATTTTTGACTGCCTTCTGACAGAAAAATTAGATGATTTTCAGTGTAAACTTGAAAAATTCTAACCATATCCGTGAAGATCCCTGAAGATGTTCTCCATCCTCCCTTGCCTTCAGAATTGACTCAATCTTTTCAATGGGGTAAATTTTAAATTTTACAAATACTGTGCTTTTATTAAAATCTCAAAATTTTAACATTCCTGTTGAGCAGTAGCAGCAAACTTTGAAAAGCAGGCTACCTAATAGCACCCTGAGCTTCAGAGATAACTTGACACTAACCTCTTCACTATAGCCTATCTTCATCGTGTCAAGTTACCTCTGACCACATTCGATTGCCTCCGCCGCCCGCCAATCAAATTTAAAGCCCGCACTCAATGACTCATTGAACGATCTAGCCAATGAACGCGAACGAGTCAAAGCGCGCTTTGTTCAAATCCGGACCAATCAAAGATAAGGCTGAATATCAGGGACTTGCCGTAACCTGTGGGCAGCACGCAAAATACATCATCCCTCAGTAGATAATTATGCAGGGCATGAAACTGCTCTGGTTTCAATTCCGATATACTCCATGCTTTCTTTGTGTACGGTTATGCGCTCGGAACTACTCGGATGTCTCCGCACTCGACAATAACTATGTTGTTAGTATGGAGCTTGCGGAATCAGCCGAGGATTGCCGATTGACGGTCAACCAATCAGCGTTTTCACCAAACTTTGGTGAAAAATTTTGAAACATGGATTCGATTGGCTTATATAAACTAGGTCAAACAATTTTCGTCAGAGGTAACTTGACACGATGAAGATAGGCTATAGTGAAGAGGTTAGTGTCAAGTTATCTCTGAAGCTCAGGGTGCCTAATAGTTATATTCCATTGATAATTTTCTCTGTTGAAAAGATCAAGTCATTTCCATACTTTTTTTTTCCAAATAGTATGACATTAACATATTTACCTGTCTTTGTTTGCCAACTGGATTACAGAATGTTCAAAACATAAAATGTTTTTATTGCTTATGTTAGATACTAAATCAACAATCATTTCCACCACCACAGAAGTAATCATTACTTGAAAAATTTAGCATTAGTCTGGATATATAAATTTTTATGTTCATATATCAAGTTTTCCCATGTTATGATTAAGCCACCTTACAGTGTAATGTGCTCCGTTATATGCAGCTATTCAGTACAAGTATGTGGACTGGAAGGAATTCCTTGTGAAGAGGCTAACTGGTGCCAGGACACTTCCTAATAATTTTTACACTAAGGTCAGTACATGGGCATGTGCTGCATTTTACTTGGTTATTTTACATAGGCTCTAAACTGTAATTTAAAACTGAAGATAAATTATAAGTGCAATCACCTATATAATTATTAATTTTCTTTCTTTTGCTGTGTTCATACACCAGAAATCAGCAGTTGGTATTAAAGTAAAAGGAAGAATATTTGATAAAGTCTGTTACCCATAATAGACTATACATACTGGTGCAGTGTTCCTTTTTTCTCGGACTAAGGTGTGTTTGTAGTGAGTTCATGACCTGCAAGTCAATTTTCTATGAGTTAAAGAAAAATGAGTGAGATTCTGCTTATTCAGGGAGGTTTAAAATTTAACCTAATCTACCTGCATTTTTTTACCTTCACAGGTGCTAGAGAGCATGAGCAGCCATAAGTTCAAACCAGGCACAAGACTAGAAGTCGTGGACAAAATGTGTGTGTCAGCCATGAGGGTGGCGACTGTAGACGAGATCATAGGGGGACGTCTAAGACTTCAGTATGTGGACAGTAAGGTAGGTAGAGATTTTGTATTTGTTTTTTTAGTGCTTTAATGTTTGTAATGTTTAATGTTTTATAAGTGTTGTGGTAATGTAAAGTATTTTTACTGGCACCATTATATATATTTAATTATAATAGATATGTATTTTATACACATACTATAATATATATGTATTTTATACAAAGATATTATGATATGTATTTTGCAAAGTTGGATGACATTTCACTAAATATTATATATTTTAGAATAAAAATTATGATTTCTGGTTTCACTATATTTGTATATTTGTTGAGGGTCATTTATACCAATAAAGTAAGGCATGCCCTATTATTTATTTCAGGATGAAAATGATGATTTCTGGTGCCACTACAGATCTCCATTGATACATTATGTAGGCTGGTCATCACAAGCTGGTCATAAACTTCACTCCACACCTGGTAAGACATCGCTTTTTACACTGGGCTCTGGCCTCTCATTGAGGCCATTCAGAATGAGAAGAGCCGAGTGCTAGCTAGGCCACGACCTAAATATGCTGGGAAGACCGCTTAATCCTGTTATGGTCTCTCTCTGTTGTAGTCATTACAGTTTTTCAGTAGTGCTATGAGATCTTGTTTCAACAAATTATTACCAAGTTTATGATAAGAATGATGTGATTTTTTCTTCAATTATGGAGGTAAAACCTATCTCAATATTAGCTGTTGACTGAAGAAGAAACAATCACATCATTCTTATAACTTAACGCAGCTGATGAAATTCTTCTCCAAGTTTATGATAAATTGGTACAGAATATTCATATTTTAACAAAATGGCGGATGTTCGTCTAGAGAATTGCTTTGCTGGTACCAAAAACTTTCTGAGTAAACTTCTATTTTTAAATATCATCCATGTTGAAATTTCTTTCTGGTGTATTAAAATATGACTTCTGCATTTAGAGTACAGATCAAAAGCTGCAGAGAAGGCCAGGACTGGGGAATATGAAGAGGGGGATGCAAGTCCTGATATGTTTATAGAGGTGGGCTTTCTTCTCCAAACTTTTTTGGTTTTACACTGGAATCATAGACACATGATTGATTGCAGTTGAATTTTTTTGGAAGTAATAAAAAGATACCTGACCAGATACTGAAAGTAATGGAAAGATTTCAAACATTTTAATCATTGGTCCTATAAAGGTGAAGCATGTATTTTGAAGATCACAGTTAAAATGTAATTGTCATATAAATACTAAAATAAACAGCAATCTGTTCAAACTTTCTTCAGAATAATGTTTACCCAAGTCATTTTTGCCTAGTCTGGCATGCTATGTATTTGGTATAATATTAGTCTGTTCGTTATATTTCAGCATAAGGACATTCCAAATGGGCAAAGGTTTGAAGCGGGCATGAAACTGGAAGCTATAGATCCTCTCAACCTGTCCACCATATGTGTAGCCTCTGTTATGAAGGTAACATCATCTTTCCAGGAGTAAATTGTGTGGTTCCTGTTGAGTTTTGATGGCATCTCTCACTGTGAAGGTCTTACTGTCTCAACAAATTTTTTTATAAGATTTCCACCCATAGGAAGCCATTCCAGAACTTGCTTCACCAGATGGTGCTGCAGAATAGAGATTTCATCTAAAAATGCCACTTTAACTGAATAAAGTGTATTTCATGACAGTCACATAACTTCTCTAGGTATAAATAATAATAGTTTGTCAGCATTCTCTGTTCTTGTGCCTGTGAAAGCAAGAACCTCAGACTTCTGTGTTTATCTCCAGGTGCTAAAGAACAACTATCTGATGATAGGCATAGATGGGTCCATGGCCCACAATGGTTCTGACTGGTTCTGCTACCACGCCTCCTCGCCCTCCATCTTCCCTATGGGATTCTGTGAGATTAACAGCATTGAGTTGACCCCTCCACGAGGTGAGTAAAAACAGAAAAGATCTTGGGCACATCTGTGAGCCATGCTTCACTCAGTTTAATTGAATTTGATGTTTTTAATGTGAATTCAGTTTATCTTTGTCTTGGGTTATTTTAGTTTGTGCTTCAAAAATTAACCTACTACCTCAAACATTTTCCTTGGGATTTTGTGAGATAAATTACTGGCTCGAATGCATCAAGGTCGGAGAAGATCAAAGGTAATGGGTAAACTTTGATGGGTAGAAGACAATGGTGTTTTGTAAGTGCTAGGTCACAGGGCCAAGATAATCTTTCACAGTGCTGCCCAGGTGGATTGAGCTGACTTGAATTCTGTGACATACAATGGTTATTTGTATGGTCCATCATATTTCGAAGTCTCACTGACCTATATTTAGCAAGCATGTTCTAAATTATTTTGAATTAAATAACAGTAAGCTTCCAGAAAACTGACCCATAACTTGTATTTTTCATGTTTCTAAATTTTAGTTTACTGCAGTTGAAGTGTAATAGGGGACATAAGGTAGTTTCACATTTTTTTATTTGAATATATTTTAGGTTATAAAGGTCCATTCAAGTGGTTTGATTATCTTAAACAAACCAAGTCAAGGGCTGCTCCTGTAAGGCTGTTTGATAAGGTAGGTTTTATTTATAGGTTATATGTTTTCATAGGTTATCAATTGTTTAAAGGTTATAAATGGCTTGCGTGAAGAGAAAATACACTTTCTGACAAATAGAAAATAAAATAAGAGGTAAACTTAAGGCATTTGAAAATGTCCTTATTAAAAATAGGTATACTTTTATGTTACCTTTAAATATCCTGCAAATGTGTTTATCTTCCCCAGTTTAGAACTGAAAACTGATAAAAGTCCTCTAATTAAAAAACCTGATGATAATATTTAATTCTGAAATGGTTGGAAGCCTAGTGTGTGTTTCAGTGTATGGTGAGACACATAGAACAAAGTTATATTATTAGAAATGGCACAATTCTTTGAATTTAAGTACAGGGGATATTTGAGCCGTGATTTTTTACTTTGAAAAATAGCCGTTTTGTTCAGGAAACTTTGTTTTGGCTCAAAAATCAGAGATGTTCTGTTGTATGTTCAGACTTTATTATTCTTTGGCTTGTAGGAGATTCCAAAGCACGGTTATCGGGTCGGAATGAAGTTGGAGGCAGTTGACCTTATGGAACCAAGGTTTGTTAATCCCTCCTTTAGTACACTATACTGACAATTGTAGTTAAGTGAAGATTTCTTGCTTAGTTTTTCCATTTGTTTGTCGGCTATATTGCTGGACCACTGTTACTGTGGTTTGATGTTTTAAGTTCTTGAGATTGCACTTTCATATTAAAAGTTCTATAATTGATAAACTGGAGGCATGTAAATCTGTTAATTTGATTGCATTCAGCAGAGGTCCCAACCAAATTGGATCAATCTAAGTAAAATGATCAGTTTCATAGGGAATGGGCCCTTAGTGTGAACCAAGCTAGTACCTAAGATTCATTGTGAAGGCACCCATTGATCTAGCCTTGTGTTCTGTGTTGTCTCCAGGTTGATCTGTGTGGCCAGTGTGACTCAGATTGTGGGCAGGTTGTTAAGGATCCACTTTGATGGCTGGGAGAAGGAGTATGACCAGTGGATAGACTGCCAGTCTCCAGATATCTATCCTGTAGGCTGGTGTGAGATGGTGGGCTACCACCTGGAGGGACCCAAGACTAAAGGTAGGATATGTGTTGTGGCTCACTGTGGAACTTGGGTTGTGATGTTATGTATTGTGATATGTTGTGATGTATTGTGTTGTGAAATGATGTGATTTAATATGTGTTTGATATCTTGTTTCAAGTTGTGATGAGTAGTTTTCAGTTGTGTTGTGATATGTTGTGATTTGATGTAATGCCTTGTGATATGTTGTGTTGATATGTGATGTGATGTGATGTGATGTGATGTGATGTGATGTGAGTGATATGATTTTATATGTGATGTGATGTGAAGTGTTGTAATATATTGTGATGTGATGTGTAGTGATATGTTGAGTTGTGTTGTGATGTGACCTAATGTGAAGTGTCATATGAGATGATACAAGATGAGGATAGCGCAGTGCAGTGCAGTGCAGTGCAGTGGAGTGGAGTACAGTATCAGCCCATGTACAATGGCTGATATTCCTATGTCCAGTACTTATTAACATTACATAGAAGATGTTGACTAAGATGAGCCTGGCACTGGCACAGGACATATATCAGATTTGTTGTGGGTCCGAAGAATATATTATACCTACTAATAAAACTGTTGGTCTCCTGATTAATATCATAATGGCGACTCAATCTTTACATCCTCTTTATTACTGTGACAGAGAAACAAATACTGATATTTATAGCTGTACTATATCTTTTGATTTTTTCCAGAGACTTATGTGCCTCTTCAAACTGTATCAAAGAAAAGAAAAACTAAGAACCAAATATACAAAGGTCCAAGAAAGAGTGAGTCAAATTTGCATTGTTGATGGGAAGTACTACTTATTTAAGATGCAGAGCAATTTTAACTTATTTAAACATTGTTGAATTTATTTGATTATTTTGTAAGATTCTATAAATTGAATTAAATGCAGCAATATATATGTAATATTTTTGAAGAATCTATGAATAATTATGTTTACAGAGAGGAAAACTAGAATGGGCCTTGGTGGAAGAGCTTCCAACGGAAAGGATGTCTGGGACCTGCCATTACAGAATGAGAACCTCCCCCCTCCGCACATCCCCCTTCCTGCCGAGACTGTGGCTGCCATGTTACCCCCTGTTTGTGTGGAGGCAGCAGAAAAAGGTAACTCATGTCTGTGGCTTTATTTTTAACAAATGTGATTAGGTATTTGCTTGTTATTTTGTGTTTTATGGATAAATGATTGATTTAAAATAGTTTTTTTTATTCCTTTGATATTAAGATTTTAATTTTTAAAAACCATTACATTTTGATAAATATTGAAAGAAAGAATGTAGGGTGTATTATTCTTTCAGTAAAAGAAGAGGCATCGGGCAACATGTCTGACTCCCAGGGCAGTACCAGGTCCATGCCACAACTCAGCCCAGTTATCAAGGTGGAGCCAGGAGTGCAAGATGAGCCTAACTCTGGAGGAAATGAACAATATACAACTGACATGAACAATACTCCCAATTCATCATACTACACCAGTAATAAGATATCAAGTGAAAACGGTACTCCATCTGGGGGAGACTCCTCAGCCTTACCCACAATCCCCAGCGCCATGACAGCTAGTCAGGCACCAGAGGGTGGCGCCACCGTCAAGACACCAAGCTCAAGTGGCGGCTCTCTCCCTGGGAGTCCCACACGTCCAGTAGGGGCGGAGACGCTGTCCCAGATGCTGTCCCGCCCTCCAGCTCAGACCCAGCCACTCCTCTCTCCCAAGCCTGCCACGCCCCACATCCCCAGGGTGGTCCCCTCAGGGGATGAGAGCCCCAAGGACAGTATTCATCTGACCACTAAACAGCAGACCATTCTGCCTGAGAGGTGGACAGTGTTTGATGTTTGCCAGTTTTTAAGGATAAATGACTGTGGAGCTTATTGTGATAGCTTCAGTAGAAAGGTAAATTTGTGAAGTCTTTAACAAGAGGAATTTTGTTCAGAAAAATCTGCAGAATTACCTTGAATTATATCTGTGCACAGCTGAAAAAGTAATCTGTAACAAATTCATATTTGTTAAGTGATTCTTAATTCTTAATTCAATTTTGCATCAGTATGCTAATTTTTGGAAAGAATGAAAATATCCTTTACCTGAATGACAGTGTGATACAGTTTCAAACTTTTAAGGACATGTACTTCAATGTATAATTCATATTTTACCACTAAAACACTAAAAGAAATATCATAATTGATATCAAAATATTCCTTTCATTTCTTTCAACATAGAACATAGATGGGAGAAAGTTTACCACTCTAACCAAAGAGCAGATTGTGAATCTAACTGGTATGAAAGTGGGGCCTTCCCTGAAGATCTACGACCTGATCCAGCAGCTTAAAATGAGAATTCTGCAGCAAACCCAAGAACCTTCTTCATGAAACCAGCAAAAGAAATGGAGTAAGAAACTGCACACAGATACTCATAAATGGGGGTATTTGCTGGAGTTGGCTATGTAGCTGACAACTTGAGAGGCTGGAGCAAGATGGCAACCTCCGTTAGACATTAACGAAGCTGTCATGGACAACATTAAGTCACAGTAACAGCAGACACCCCAAGAAGCCAAAATAACAGCTCAATGAAGTATAATGGACACATTCTGGGATGATCTGTGCATAGAGTGACTGAACTGGAGTTGGAAAGTGTGAATTTTGAAGTTATGTGACTTGTTTTTGTAAAAACTGGAGTGACTAGCCAACAATGATTGACGGTGACAAGGGATAGCCCAGCAGTGAAAAGAAGCGTGTTGTCATGGGGAAGCTTTTTTTTTACTGGGAGACTAATAAAACATCTGGACAGTTGTGTGTGTTATCCATGCTACTGTTTGGATTGCTGGTTAGTTTGGTGACTTGTACATGTGCCTTAAGGAGACAAGATGGCTAGTTTATAAGATGGGGGAAAAGTAAGAAGGTGGCAACAACGGGTTAGGCTAACATTTGCACATAATATTTTCCCTGAAGCGGAATTTTTTTTATTTTCATTAAAAGAGAAGTTTTTGATTTATTTCACAATTTTATTTTTGTTTGGTGAAATATTTTTTCTTACCAAAGCAAAGAACAAGACAGTTTGACTGAAATCATGGAATGTAATTCTCTGAAGAGATAGTTGGTCTCTGTTTTGCTGTAGAAACCAGAAGTTACTGTGGAAGAAGTTGTCAGTTGTGAGACTTTGTGATATGAAGGCAGTGAAGTGGACTGGATCTCATTCACCTATGACGTTACTCCAATGTGCTTTCTATTTACGCGAGCCATTGGAGGTTGGGTTCATACAACTGTTTATAAGTACATACTACCGTAGTATTTGTATAATAGTACCAATCATATCTGAGTAGGGTATGAAATGGATTAATTTAGATAATTACAGAGAGCAGGGCTCTGATTTTAAAAGAGATGACATCACATGCCGATCAGAACATTTGCTCACTACAATAGGGCCATTCCACCACATTACCCTCCTCCGTAACTTCCTTTTCTCACAGTTAAACTGTGTCACTTCAACAACCCATATATCCCAAGATAACTAAGCGGCAGTCGCTTATGTTTATTAATTTATTTTGTTGTTTGAGGATTATTGAGGAAAAAATCCACGGGGGGGGGGGGGGGGGTAATCTCTGGGATGGTCCAATAACAGGCATTGATTGTTGAGGTATGGTGTGTAAATTTGAAGAGAACAAATCTTACAAGAGAGAAAGAAAAATGCCACCAGAACGGTTATTTCAATAATGTAAAGACGCGATGAAAAACACTTTTTGTAAGTATTTGATATTCAGATGTATTAACATAATTAGGGGAAATGTTGACTTATTACTACTTTGTAATAAGACGAGTCATTATTGGTGCCAACGGAGGGTTTCGTACTTGGTAGTTAAAGTTTATTATAATATCTGTTACAGTTCATGTAGATATCAACTTAACGTGTTAATACAGCCCTTTAAAGCTGAAAATATACTGATCTTTAACAGAAAGTCTTTGTTGTTATGTTTAAAAGAAATCGATGGCACGTACTGTTGATTTTTTCAAGTGTTTTGAAATTTGTGTTGTTTTTGCCTTGGAAGACGGTTCTTCCATGGGATCCGAACATCGTTTAATAGCATGCTTACTTTTTACGACGTTTCTTACGTAATTTTTGTGGCTTTTATCCTAATATAAATCTGACTATTCACACAAACACCTAAACACAACTGTGGAGTTCCATGTTTTTTTCTTTACCTGGACTGAAAATATAACATTTCGGTTCGTGGATACGACGATGTACGTCAAACATTTAATCACTTGTAAAATATTTTAAAAAGAAGTAAAATGAGTTCTTGAACTTTACTTAATGCAATACAACACCTTTGGAGGAAAACCAATAGTTCCATTGTCAAGAAACATCTTTACTGCCTGGATTTCGATCGCTGTTGCTACGCAACGCAGAACGGCGTCCTTAACATCCCCATGCGCAGAAATCTCGCCCAGGGTATGGTTTACCTGGCTTAGGTGAAGATGCGCTGGTTGAACACAATTTTTATCGTTCTCTTGGTCTCTTTACAGGGACCCGAGGGCGTCCAAGGGCAAGGTAAGAAAACGGTTTTTAACCTTAACATCCCATAATTTTAGGGTGCCTTTCAGACCGTTCTTATATAGAAGGCCAGTTTGCGTTAAACTGGGCACATGACTGAGACCCAAAGACAGAATTAGTGAACAACGACAACATATAAATATGCTTATTTTCCCCACCCCACTATATTTGGGAAATAAGACTTTAATTTCGTGTTCATTCATAACTTTTTGACTATTTTTTTAGACCCGTTGATTGAAGATAATATTTCTAAGACTCAATGCCAGCTTTTCCACAAAATTTTGGCAGTTTCTCACTGTTCCTATTCTTAAGTCGACACAATATCCTCCAGTCTGGTCGTCTGTAACATATTATTACGCGAAACAAAACTTTGCAAAAAGTAGGATTAGTGAATTTGTTCCATTGGTATATCTTCATATCATTTCGGTAGGATTAGATTTGGGGAAATTGGGGAATACATATATTGCAATTGCGGACCAGGCGATCATAAAAAAATTGTAGACAAACATCGTGAATTTGCCTTTACCAGTTCTAAAAGAATTACCTCGGGGGAAAACTTAGACATTTTTGAGAAACAGTTCAGTAAAAATAGTGTTTGGAATACGACAAAAGTGCTTTACACAACCACTTTCGTTTTGATAAGGAAAATCAATCCTGTATAAAAAGGAGTGTTTGTTTAATCAATTGCCCACAGCACAATGCTGAAATAACCACTGTAATTGTTGAAAAACTTTTCATGCACACTTTGAATTATTAATAAAGCAACAAAATTCAGCAGGTTTGTAATATAAACAAAGTTACATCCATAGTCTTCAAACAACGCCGTAAATGCCACTATAACGATTATAGCCGCATTCCGTTACGAAAGTATCACGTTACACTGTGAAATATTGGAGTTTTGCTTTTGTTTGAAAAAACTACGATTGCTATTTTGTATCAATCATTAATCTTTTGTCAACAATCATGACAAGAAAAATCGATTTTAGACTTTGTCATGGCAACTCTTGCGTAAAATCGATGACATTGCAGTGTTTTACGTCTTGACAATTATTCCATGGCTCGTGGATTGCGTACTTAATGAAATATGAAACTCCGAAGTTTAAAAAGTGTTACGGTGGTGAGTGTTTGATTTTCAAAGATGAATCTAAATTTTGAAAAAAAGTTGAAATATGTTGGTCTGATGTCATGAGATACAGATAGCATTTCTATTAATTGCCCAGTAATCCATTTTACGACGCTCTCGCTCGCTGAATTAATCGAATTCACTTTTGCTTTGGCACCCTCTGCCTGGGCCGCAGATAAATCATGTGCACATTTCTCCAATGCAGTTGTGAAATGTGCCAAGACTTAGCCAAATGCATATCTGTGTATAGCCAGTGAAAAATCAATCTTTGCCTCTGGTATAGGGTGAAGCTTTTGCTAGTTCTCTCGCTGGCACTTCCTTGCAGTTTTCTCGCCATTGCCTTTGATATTTAGCAAACAGTTATTAAATTTTCGAAAATTGTATTGCATACAGCCGAGTTCGCTCAAGATGTTCATTTTTTAACGCAATGGCAAACTCACATTTATACAGGTCCATATTTATTTAAAATCCTAATTAAATGGACCAGAACTCCGACAAAAATATGCGAAAACAAAATTAAGTATGCAAAAAAAAATCATAAGTTATATTTAGAAAAGAATAACAACAATAGACTATTCTGGTTGATTCTCATTACAGCCGACGGAGACATTCGCCTTAAAGACGGAGATACTCAATACCAAGGCCGCGTTGAGATCTACCATAATGGGGAGTGGCGGAGGGTATGTGAGGAGGGGTGGGGACTTAATGACGCCAAAGTCGCATGCAGACAGCTAGGCTACGAGGGCACCCATACTGGTCAGTATTACATGCTCAAAAATAGTTTACCTTCTCTCTTGGGGACATATCTGCTGCTAAAGAACAATGTTTAAATTGAATGCATTTAAAGGGCCTGCGCTTTACTCGTTAGTTGGAAGATTACTTGCAAAAGCCAACTGGTAACTGTATCCCATGCTCCAGTCGGAAGTTGCCAAAAATAAGAGCTAATACAGCATTTTGACAAACAAGGGATCATTTTTTTTTTTTTTTTTTGGCGACTTTAAGGTCATTTGTGGTCAAATTGTTTGAAACAGAGCCTCTTTTTTAAAAAGCCCTTTTTCATATACCAACAGCGTATAACAACCATAACCCCCGAGGCACCGGGTCCTTTTGGGTGTCTAATCTGAACTGCGCCGGTACTGAGGACCGCTTGGCTCAGTGTTCGTCCCTAGGTTGGGGCACTATCAGCTCTTACTGCGGCACCGGAGACTACGACGATGCTGGGGTCATCTGTAAAGCACGTATGTAGTATAAAGTAAACTTTTGAAAGAAAGATAAAACTTTAACCATGCATATATCGGTGAGATTTTAGATTAAGATTTTTTTACAAATGCGTATTTCAAACAAATTACTAAGAATGAGGGGAACTTTCATTTTTCATGGATATGTGGAAAACAATTTTCAAGGTTTTGTTTATAAGACCCCATTCCCATACCTAGGTCGATCTAACAGGATCAACCCATCTCCTAGGAGTTTCTCGCTAAATTGCTTTCAGATTAAGCGACTTAGATGTCTGGCACGCCTACTGAAGCTGCTAAGTGATAGTTAATTACCCCCTAACAGCTTCATTAGGAGCACCAGACATCACAGCTTAAGCTGAAAGCAATTTAGCGAGAAATCTCTAGGAGATGGATCGATCCTGCTAGATCGATCTAGGTATGGGAATGTGGTCTAAGGCTTCTCTTCCACGTAGCCGGCGATGGTGCCGTTCGCCTGGTGAACACCACTAGCCCCTACGAAGGCCGTGTTGAGGTGTACTATGCCGGGGAGTGGGGACGTGTGTGTGAATACAACTGGTATTACAATGATGCCAAGGTGGTTTGTAGGCAGCTTGGATTTAGTGGGGCTCATACGTCATTTCATTCCTGGAACCCCAGAGGCACCGGTAAGTGTGAATGCCAAAAGGCTCTCTATTTCATCACTATGAGCACTTACAGAACAGATGGACCATGGACTAACTGATCCGCCTACTAAATATGGTCGACCCCATTTGAAACCAGCGCCGCTTAATCCCCCGGTGGTTTCCCCACATTCACACACGCCGTCGCTGCAGAGACCTAGCAATTAAACCTCGAAACCGAGATTTTTATGGCGAGCATGTTGAGGCGGAGAGATCGTCAGGGAATTAAGCGGCTTGCTTTTTTATCGAGGTCGGCTATATTTAGTTGGCGCATCAGGTAGTCCGCGGATTATTTGTTCTTTTCATGAGGGTGCAGTCAGAATGGATGACTTATTGATCTGCCGACTAAATATTTCCGACGCCACTAAAAGCAAGCCATTAAATGGATTAAATCTCGGCTTGGGGTTTTAATCTGCAGCGACGGCGCGTGTGGACGGGGGGGGGGGGGGGGGGGGGGAACCATCAAGGGACTAGAGGCATTGCTTTTAAGTGGATCGACCATATTTAGTCCGCTGATCTGATAGTCTTGTCATGAATGCGCTCTTAGTAGTGTACTGGTGCCGCTCGATGTGAAAACAGGCTATTTTTCCATGAACTGTTTAGTGTGTAATACACATGCTTTTCTAATTCAGGTAAATATTGGATTTACAACTTAAACTGTGGAGGAACAGAGTCCAATATAACCCAGTGCACTCACGGTGGAGTTGGCGTTGTTAATTCCGGCAATTGCAGACAAGACAACTACGACGACGCTGGGGTTATATGCCACGGAGGTGAAAATTTAAGCAAATAACTATTTTTAAAATGTTGGCATCTTAAACTTCATCATCGATGTATTACCAAACCAAAACGTTTGAGAAACTTACCCCCTTTTAACCTGTTTTCAAGTTCTTAAATGTTTATCTTACCGTTGTGAGTGAAATTCTCCAGTCTCTATCTCCATCTCCAAACGCCTTAAATACTAAATATGATTGCTCATTCTGATCCAGTTAGAATCGAATTTTCTAATTTTGTTTGAACCTGTTTCTCTACATAGTACTTGGTCGTAGTAGGCTCCATAAGTATCCCATCACCTAAACTTTAGTCACAGATGTGATCAAGTCAACATAGAATAGCAATCAAGCACAGATGTTATACGGTTACTCACAAATTAACTCCATATAATTCCCATAGTAAGACCCGTGCCTTTTTTCTTCAATAATGCAGCCATTATAAACATCAACTTTTATTCCTGTCAAATGGTCCACGTTATCCAGGGATGATGGTCACTGGGACTGTCCTCCCACAACTCTCAATGCAAAAAGAAAGAACGTGGGTTCCAGAATGTTTGATATAAAAGTCGTTTTTTTTATCTTTCAGAGGGTGATGGAGATTTGCGTCTTATTAACTCATCAAATGCGTACGAAGGTCGCTTGGAAATCTTCTATTCCGGGAGATGGGGAAGAGTTTGTGACTACGGCTGGGACTGGACTAGTGCCAACGTTGCGTGCAAACAGCTTGGTTTCACCGGAGCCCATACACACGTATTTAATATGTCACCGCGGGGGACAGGTGAGTATTCAAAATTTATATGGAATATCTTACCTGGACACTTTAAATGTCAATATAACCTTTATATGCATTGACACTAATAGGTGTGGACAATCTAGATAACAAGGCGAGCATATTTAATCAAAATACAATAATACTAGTTTTGGGGATAAGATTTTGATGGCTTGGAAGTCTCTTAATTTTCTAATTCTATACATTTTTCTTTCTTTGTAAAGAAATTTGATATGACGCAAAAGCTGGCTATGGCATTAGATGGAAACTGATTGCGTTTGCAACGACTTTGAACTACTCCGGGGGTGGGGGGGGGGGGGGGGTAAATGACTTTAAGTACCAAGAAAATATATTTTAACATTTCGACTAGAATGAGTATTATTGAAGTACTTTGAGCGAAGAATTCGTCCCTTGTACGTTCGTTTAAAGTCAACAGACATCATCTATAATAGTTTTGATGAATGACTATGCAGTTTCTCTAATGAAAGATTTCAGGTTTTGTAAAGCATCCTTGAACAGTTTTTAATTAATTAATTTTGCTCATTTATTTTTATTTATTTATTTTGGTGAGCTGTCTAGACTACCGGTAGAGGTCAAAGGCCTCACTATCCTTTAAAGGAATTAATTTTTGTGTTTATATTCTTAATGTTGTTTATTTTGTGTTGATATCTTTTATTTGGTACTTCGTGTTGCTTAACAATACACACATAGACCAAATAATGATGTGAACAATTTTGCTGTTCCGATAGGTTTTAAATGATAAGAACGGTTAGAAGAGCTGGTTAATGATGTTATTCTTTTCAAACATCAGGTATATTCTGGATACAAGATTTGAATTGTCAGGGATCTGAGGCGTCCCTGGCGGATTGCCTTCATGACGGCGTTGGTAGTGTCAGCTCAACTTATTGTTCCCAGACTGCGTCAGAAGACGCCGGCGTTCTGTGTAAAGGGCGTGAGTAGACCTCCATATGTGAAACAGGTGTACCAGGAATGGAAGTCTTCTAGGAATTGTAATCCACTTCCCATTGCTTTGTACAAGTGACATTCGTCCTATATACTAACCCAGTACTCCAACTAACCTAACCTGTACTAATTATATGGGAACCCGAACTTCAATTCCTAGGACTCCCATTCCTGTCACTCCGGCGTGACAGGAATGGTAGTTTTGGGAATGAAAGTCTCATATATGTTTACTACAGGTGAGGGCCAGAGTGCATGAAGAACTAGTTGGGCGACCCACTCAAAAGCAAGCCGACTAACCCTTGATGATCTCCTTCCACACGCACCGTCCCTGAAAGGGGCCGAGCAATTAAACCGAGATTTAATCCGTGTAATGACGCGTGAGGAGGTGGTGAGACCATCGGTGGATTAGGTGGATTGCTTTTAAGTGAGGTCGGCCATATTTAGTCCGCGGACCAGTTAGCTCGCGGATCATCTGTTCTGAAGGCGTACTTAGTAGTAGTATGGGGTTAGCTTATGGTAGGAATGTCACCTGAACAAAGTATAGGGGAACGGACTGCGGGTCTTAGCGAACTACTATCCCTGTCACCCCAGTCCCCTTCCGTCTCATAAAAAAGTCTCTAAAATCATCTTGCCGTCTTTCTTCTTTTTAAATGAATTCGAAGGGTAGGCGTAATCTTTATCTATCGTAACAAGTCTTCATGAGGATCACTGCATATTTTTTGTTAATAGTCTAAAAGGAAATAGTCTAGGTGTAAAGTGTTTTTCACATAAGATGTTTGAAAGGGAAAAATCAAAATTACTGCTTTGTGCATTATTGTTCTTACACGCTGTTTCTTTCAATTCGTATTTCCTACAGCCAATGACGGAGAGGTGAGATTGATCGGCGACACCCAATATTTTGGTCGAGTTGAGATATTCTATGCAGGAGGCTGGGGGAGAGTGTGTGAAAATTGGTGGTCCCTGAACGACGCCAAAGTGACCTGTAGACAGCTTGGCTTCAGTGGAGCGCTGAATTACTGGACATCTTGGATACCGAGGGGGACCTCTAGGGTGGTACTTGGTACTGTCTGTCTGTGTGTCTGTCTGTGTGTCAGTCCGTCATTCTGTCCGTCTCCCTCTTATGCTGAACATCTGCCGCTCTCGGTGCTTGTCTGTTTGAGTATTTGTCTATAATCTGACCGTCTGTCTGTTCTCCTAGAAGTGAGTTTGCTTCTCTCTCTGTCTCCTAGAGCTGATTTAAAAAAATAGTCGCTCAGTGCTTTATTACTGCCTGGCCGTATTCTCTAAAACTTGTAACTCATATTTATTTGTAACTTCTTTGGTGAATGGTCAATAATTTTTGTATTATTATTAATATTATTATTATTAATATTATTATTATTATTATTATTTATTTATTTATTTATTTATTTATTTATTTTTTATAATACTGGTACACCTCAGGTCATTCAGTACTGTTGGAGACAATTCATGCACATGATATTATGATATTTTGTAATGAAATTATGTGATGTAATTGTGTGTTTATTGTTATGTAATGTGTAATGAATTATTTGAATTGGATGTTAAATTACAGTTTAATCGAACTCTTAAATTTAAATCCTATATTCTTTATGCCGTAATAGTTTCATGTAATTAAGCACCACACGAAATGCGATATTAAAAAATCTCTTTATTTATTTATTTATTTATTTATTTATTATTATTATTATTATTATTATTATTATTATTATATTTTTATGGATGATGAACTTTCAGACCAACTAAACTGTGCCGGTACAGAAAGCAGACTGGACGCCTGTACTCACGGATGGATAGGCTACCCCAGTTCTACTTACTGCTCACAAACCTCTGCCGTGGACGCCGGCGTTGCCTGTGAAGCGCGTGAGTATACTACACCAACTCTGCGGGGGCTCTCACAAAGTGCAATCAGCATAACTGAATGACACGTCCCTTCTTCTTTCCAACTTTTTCGTATTATTACCAACTTCTCTGTATTCTACTTATAAGTTAAAACGCAAATGGGAGGCGTGTATTTTATTTTATTTTATTATTTTTGGTTGATGGTTGAAAGGTTGATGGGTGAGAAGGTGCAGGAACATGCTTCTGTACTATTTAATGAGTCACAGAAGCCAAAAGGTTTCAAACACTTAAAGTCCAGGATTTCGTTTTTCAATAAGCATAATTTTATTTCTGCGTCTATTTAGAATTCGAAAAGATGTCGAAAATGTCCTTTCTCTGTAAGGCAGGTTTTGAAAGCAAACTTTTTCTTATCCTTGCCCTGTAGCCGACGATGGCCAACTTCGTCTGGTGGACGGTAACGGCTACAACAGCGGCCGTGTTGAGATCAAGTTTGCCGGAGTATGGAGGCGCATTTGTGACTGGAGATGGGGAAGCAACGACGCTGCGGTTGTATGTCGTCAGTTGGGGTACAGCGGATATGTAAGGGCCGCAACAGGTAAAGCAGAAGGTCTTATGCTTCTTCAATAGTTATACTACACTGGGACTTCGCGCCAAACATATTTTTCCTCAAAATAAAAAGTAAAAAAGCATATTTTCTTACTCGCGAATCATTGCTCTTGGATTAGACATTTTTCGAACATTTCTAATGAGATAATTTAGATAAGAACGAATCAATATTTATTTATAACACCATTTCATCTTGACCAATCACAAGAAAGTGTCAACATCAGATAATTGAATTCGAGGACTTTTATCGTTTTTAAGTCTGGATAAGGAAATAAGTAGCTTCGCAGGATACTTTGACATAAAAAATATGATTTGAAAAAGTTTACAAAAGTCATTTCGTTGGGGATGAAGAGGCGTGCGCACCCGTGCTTATGTAAGTTTTTAGACAAATTAACCTATGCATAAGTTCTTTAGGTCAATTTCGATCTCCAAGAGACTGCAACGTCAAGTGAGGGGCGGATCCAAGATTATTTGAAGGGGGTCCGGAACGACAGGTCTCGGATTTGAAGCCGACCGTCGCCCCCTTATTGTGGGGTGTAGGGCCTGCTCAAGGGCCCCGAAAAAATTTCGGTGTTTTGGAGAAGAAATAGTGCCCTTTGGTACGGTTAAGAACTATGATTTAGCTAGTCCAAATTCTAATGTAAAGAGGGGAATATTGGTGTGATATAGTTTTCAGAAACCGGAAGGGGGGGTGAGGACCCCCGTGACCCCCCTCTAAATCCGCCACTGCTTATGTATACACATCTGCGCGAGCTGGATTGAGTTAAACGATGAAAGTTGATCGTGTCGCCGTGTCAAAGGTTAAAAATGTTCTTTGAATCTTCAGAAACGATATGACCAATTTCTTAAATACTCTTTACATATTCAATGTTTCAGGTTGGTCCCCCAGGGGAAGTGGGTTATTTTGGTTGTACAATGTTGGCTGTCTGGGATCAGAGACCAACCTCACGGACTGCACTCACGGTGGAGTTGGGGTATATAGCACCTATTACTGCGGGTCAAGCAGTTACGATGACGCTGGCGTTTATTGCCAGGGATATTTACGTAAGTGTCTGTCTGTCTGTCTGTCAGACGATTGGCCTGAGTCTTTATGCCTGTTAGACTCTTTTTGTTTTGTTCCTCAGTTTGTCTGTGTTAATTTTTTTTCTTTCTTTCTTTCTTTCTTAGGGGTGTTCCTTTATTCTCAGCATTGCATGGAAAGGCTGATTACACACGAAGTTTCCTGCAAAAAAAGAATATACTTTTAAGTTGTTCTCTAGTATATACATGTATTAATATCCTCTTCGAAAGTGTCTCTAGGCACATGCTTATGCTTTCTTACAGGTTAAGTCCTTGGCGGAGGTCGGCGCCTATGAGTGATTTTTTTATCGTATATCGCATTTCAGAAGCTGCTTTAAACAAACAGTTGATATTTCTAAGTATAAAAACGCCCATCATGATAACTGACCTGGTGAATGGCAATTTTTTTCAATATTTTTTTTAATATAATTCATTTATTGATAGAATATTTAATATTCATTACCTTGACCGATTTTATCGTTCATTTTTTCACAACAGCGGGTGTAACTCCCACAACTGCAATTACGACCACCACAACCACCACAACAACGACAACCGCTGTAGTAAGTTACGTTACTTGGGTTTTTGGTTTTTACTCAAGTAGGTTTTGTAGATTGTTATGGACACCTATATGCAAAATTTCATTGATGTTCACTTAATAATATAATTAGCCAGGGTACATACAGTTGTTCTATCTTAGGTACTTTTTCTTTAAAACAAAACGTACGTCAAGAGCCGGAGGATTAAACTGAAACTTAATTACTGTATGCATTTCACCTGCATCGCACAGTATGAGACTATCCAGAGGAAGTCAGAAGCCAGAAGAATATTTGCCAATGATGTTACTTTAGTTTTACACTAGAATATTTACTATTTCATTTCAGACCGGACCTAGGTGTTATTCTTGCTTAGGCACCTCATCGTGTAGCGGATCACAGAGCACTTGGTATTACTACAGCTCTTACACCACGTGTTCTAATGGATATGTTTGTCATGTGAGTCACTATTTCTCCCTCTTGCACGCACACATACGTAGGCGCGTGAACGCACACTCTCTATCACTCACACACGCACACACACCCGCTCGCGCCCACACACACACGCACGCACGTGCACACACTCCTGTATGCACATAATACGAGTATGTGCCCAAACAAACACACGCATTCGCACACCAACAGTATCTTACAGTAATACAGGTAAATAAAATTAACATATTTTATATCTTTGTCTTTTAATTATATAACAACCACTGTTAATAACAGTGCCCACTAAATATAACGATCCGTGTTAGCATCAAATACTTTCCGCACAAATATAAACGATGTAAGTTACACTCAGCGAATAAGTTGTGTTTCACCAAATATCAAAAACGTTTAGTCAATTAAGTCGGTCGGTCAATTACAATTATCCTGGCTTCGAGTTGTACCTAATCTAGAGGTGAGCTCAACCAAGGTCAATAATTGTATATTATTATTATTATTATTATTATATAGATACTTTCTTGCAGACTACGGCCTCGGCGTACAGCAGTTACAATCTCTTCTACAGTTCGTCCTCCATTGCCTACAGCTACAGCCGCGGGTGCCGAAGTCGGTCACTTTGTACCAGTCAGGAGCTGCAGGGTAATACTTGCACAGGAAGTGGGACCAGTAAGGTCTGCAGGCAGTGCTGCACTACTAACTACTGTAATAGTGGTAGACTGGATACGTCCCAAAGCAGCATCAACAACAGAGGGCGCGGTGTCCAAAGTGACGGCTTTACCGTCTTCTGCCTGCTTTTGTTCTTTGTCTTTGCCTGAGAGAAAGACATACAATGCACGCTTTACATCTAAATTTAAAATCAAAAATTTAATTCCTCTACTAATTTCAACACTTTTAGATTATTCAATAGGGTATAACAAACTTAAAGGCATTCACCGATATATGACCAAATAACCATTTTTGATGACGATTTTTTGTATCTAATTTTTAGCAACTCCTCGTTAAGGAGAAAAGACTGTTAGAGTTCATTCCCATTTACACCATCGTCAATCGGTCTACGTAGATCGATCCGTGGGTAGCATCAAGTTCAATCTTCTCAACAGACGCATTTCAATGGTCTTAAAATAAGGAAGGAGAGCTCCCATATGACATGAAGGACCTGAGTACTGACTTGCAGTTTAAAACTAAAGTGATTATTATAGGCATTACCTACCATCTACCAGGGCGACAGATTGATTTTCCACAGATATTCGTAGTATGTCTCTAGATAGATAGATAGACGGTCATTTTGGTCTGATGTCAAAAATGTCGACAATAATAACTGCGGCCCTGGTAGAGGGTAGGTATTACCTTCCTTGTCGTTGGGATTTTTTTTATCACAAGTGCGCTTTGGGGTTGACTTTCTTCTACCCGCCTCCTTAGGTCCTTTTTTGCACCAGTAGACCCAACACCTTTAGATTCAGGCCTGTGTTTGACAATACATATGTGGTATATATGTATATATATATATATTCGTGGTAAAACGTTGTTTTCTGTCTGAAGGCAGCTGGTATGAATTGTTTACCCGTTAACCATGCGTTGTATTAAATTACATTTCCAGGTAGTATGTTCGCGTGACGGAGGGACAAGATGAGCAACTTGTTCACGAGAACTGAACATGAGGAATATCCCAAGATATCATTTGGGATGGGCCTAGCTAATATTTATCAATAAAGATCGAATTTTCATTGTATAAATGATGAGGTAGATTTGGATGTTTTATGATTTTTGATGTAGTTTTCCTTTTTTAACCAAATTTCGCATGTTTCGAAACGTAGATGTAGCTGTTTGTACATGTGTTATTTTTCGGCAGATTATCTCAAGCGCAACGAATCGAAAATGCAGGTAACATTTGGATAAAAATGTTCGTGTGGGAGTGAGAAGGACAGAAATAGATAGAGGGTGGAAAGACGAAGAATCGGATTGATTATGATCAGTGTGAATGGTGCCCAACCCGTGCAGCACGACTGTAACACGCACGAACCCTACACACTATGTCAACAATCACCTGAGAAACATAATAATGACAATAAACTTTATTTAAAGAGGGCGAAACATGTTAAGTGCATACACTTATCTTACACATGGAACTTCTTATGCTAAGAAATCAATTCGTGGGGCTTACCTGTAGAGGGACTTTAAGACGAAAGACTTTTAGCACTTCAGGCCAGTAGCCAGGAGGTTTCGGGGGGTTCGAATTCGAACGAACCGCCCTTTTTGCCGGGAAATGGTCCACCCTGGGTGAAAATTATCATGGTACAAGATGATTTTATGGTAAAAAGTCCACTTTTTCAGAAAGAAATCCTTTGAAGTCACTGGCTGCAGCCTGTTTGTGCACCATTTACAAGCTTTATTAAAAGTAAAATTATGATTTCCAAAAATAAAAAAATTATATAAATAAATAGACTTATTTGTTCACTTATTTGCAATCCATATAATAGGTTGAAACTGTACAATGCTACAAAAATGATACAAGAATATTAAACTAAATTAAGTTAGGTATAGTAAGTATTAGTTATAACTATATTTCTTAAACAATACTCTAAAAAGGGCCTTGAAAAGAATAACTTATAAATTTGTTCTTTAACGTTCAGTTTTGACAATTGGAACTTATAATTAACTTGAGTAAGAGTTAAGATATTAGAACTAAATTGTTTTTGTTTTTAAAACAATTAACTGGGTTACAGACACTTAAAAATTAAGAAGACAGTAATTTATAAAATATTTCTGAAAAATATCAGTTTTAACTATTGCAACTTTAAACTTGTTTCTTCTTAATGGTTCTACCTTTCTTTCATGCAATAAATAGCCCATTTTATCACTTTTTAAAATCAAAAATGCGATCTGCCTGTTTAGTTTACTTTGACGGCGAAGTCTCATCGGTCAAATTTTGCTCTGTAATTTAGCAAATTATCATACAGGAGCTGAATGCAAAGTTTTTCACGCCTTCTTCAAATGGATATGATATAATAGATATCCGGTGTCCTCGACTTAGAAAGATCAGAAAAAGAGCAGACAAATTACAGGTATGCTGTTCTCTCTATGATTGTGTCAACAGTGATAACCTGACAACTATTGTGGTACTAGGACTCACTGAACAAATTAAAAGTGGCTCTACCGGTACCCTCTACTAGGGAGACAGATTGGTTTTTCACAAGATATTCACAGATATATCTTTAGATAAATAGACAGTCATTTCATTCTCTGCCTTTTCTCGGCTTTTTCAAAATTTCTCTATAACATCTGCCACCTTGCAAGTGAATGCAATACCTGCGTTACTTCTTGTACCCCACCAGGTGGCTCACCTGCTGCAGTCAGTGCCAGGGGACAGTCTTTTTAACCATGGGTGCGGTAGGTGCATGATGTTGGTGCTCTCGTTTCAAATTCAAACAAGTACGTGATACGGGTGCTGGTTATATTAATACATGCGAATATGTAGGCCTACACTTTGGCATTGTGTTGCAAACAGGCTTTGTAAATAATGCTATATTGATTATATTTATGATATTGGCTGTGGTTGCATAGACAAAAAATGTTTACGGTTGTGACATTCAATTTCAATTATAAAGTATTTAGTCCGGCCGGATGAAATAATTAAATTATGTAGTAAACCTCATACAGGTGCGTGTAAGTGTCGAATTAAGAAAGTGCGTCTTTTTTCATGCATATCCCCACAATGTTGACAGTCCCTTTTTTTAAGATTCTAAGCATGCGTATCATGCTCCTTGTATTATACAGTAGATGACACAGACGTAAAACTATTAACATTTCTTCGAGTTCACCCTCCCCCCATTTATCGCCCCAGTTTTCATCCCAGCTGTTCTCTCATGGAGGGCAGTTTTTCTGTCTTAGTTTAAAAAAGATTAAATACTACTGATCCGTAGTGCAGTAATTTCATTTACAAGGTTTGACAATGGTAAGCAGATGACGTAGGCTTAACCCTCTCTTCTCTTAAAATAGACAGATTGTGTAGCGCCCCACGTGACCCCCCATTCACGACCCCTATTGACTCATTATTTATTCAAGGGTTGACACAGAATATTGAACGCTGAGCTTTCCGTGTGCGCCTGCCATTAAACCTACTACAGAAAGAGATGTCTGGGAGGACCTCTACTTATGACTCTAAAGGCGTCCGCGGAGAATAGGGCCTAAAACACGACCTGGTGATTCACGACGGTTGGAAGAGGAAGGCGATCGCGCTTTGTGATGCCGGCTGAGGAGACAATATGAGGGTTCGGGCAACATGGATACCCCGCTTGGCAGCTTTAATAATCATCTTACCAGTACTGTGGATGCTTAACTTCCTGTCTTTCAATCCGTCGACCTTACCCAAAGGTGAGTTAACGAGCATTCCACACAGCGTTAATTAGCAACGTAAGACATACATCTTACCAGTTAAAGCCTTAATGTGTCGTACGTTTTGAAATTATCTACCTGCTACTTAAGAAGGCACACCTGTGCTACCTTAAACCCTTGTGTATCAAGATGTATGATATCTACGACATGAGGACGAAGAACAAAATCATATAGACTAGACAAGATGGGCTTTGTATCTACATATGTACCTGTGTGGCTTAAACCGCGTACCTGGGCACTTAATATAGTACTTCAAAGTCACCATGATTTTAGCGTGAACTTTATAGTGTTTATCTTATACACAACCAAAGCATACAAGTCACCAGTGCTACTCTGCGGTATATGTATAACGTAGTGTTTTGAAGTAGTCTAGTTTGTTCTGTACATATTATTCAAAATCGTTTTTTATTATTCAGTTCAACCGTGCTCTCTTTGTCCACGCAGGTATTTCACTTTTGCATACATTGTGTACCAATGGCATGGATGAAACCTTGTCCTTTACGGACTCTTTAAGGGGTTATTTCCAGTGGTTATCCCAGTTCATCTATTTATCTTATATTGAAATTATATCATGGTGTCTCGTTAAAGATAACGTTGTCCTGAACGTGTCCAACGATGAATTAATAAATAATTATTTTAAGGTAAAATATTAAGTCTGTTGCAAATACATATTTACACTTGAAATTTCTTTTTTTTTTAATTTTAATGGATGCAACACCTGCTAACACCTGTTTTACACTTCATAAATCAATACTCGAAAACTGTTAGTTTTTATGTAAATAGGGCTAATTAGATTATATATTAAACATTTTATTTCAATATTATGATCACCAGTTATGGTAAATCTAATGGAGAAGAATAACCAAATTTTACGTTATGATTTTTTACAATTTAAGGAAATTATGTGTATTAAGAAATCATTAAAACTGAAAATGGCATTTATATCCCAAAAAGATAACAACAATACCAACCGGGATATCATGAAACAGGGGTTCTAGATATTAAAATAAATATAGGAATAAGACTTATTCGTCCTTATCGATTATTTATACCAAGCAGTATTGGGTTTTTAATAACTTGTCATGGTATTAATCCGGCATGAGAATAACTATGAGTTAAAGCGCATTTAAATTTAAGGTAGATTGTTTCCCAAATATTTCGATTTTTGTCAGTGTTATGGTGTTTGGGTGGAATTATACACAGTAACGTCTAGGGGTGACTTGGGGGTGAGCAACCCAGTTACAGGACACCAAATGGCACCCACCAAGTTAAGTGACCTTATTCTAAACGGGTGACCTATTTTTTGGCAAAACAGAACAAGTAAGAAAAATCAAACATAGGACAGGACACGTCCAGAAATAACTTATAAGTTCAAGAAAACCTTATAGCTGTCAGGCTGATGTACAAACTAGAATACCCGGCTAAGTATTGGTCTCTCTCTCTTACTATGCCATAGTCGTGATAGGTGAGAGAGACAGCTCATCGGTTTTCTGTTGACTGAATATCCCTGCCTTTATATTAAGATAACCTCAGCCCAGCACAGACCTTAAGCTCAATGTATGACATTATTATCAATTATAAACAAAGCTATAAGCATCCTTAAATATTTATAAGTATGAAAAAACTAGAAAAACAGAATAACATAACATCTCACTCTGATTAAATCTGGCAAAGATGACGTCGTAAAATCGTAAATCCTATTTTTTTTTCGAGTTTTAGTACTCGGTAAGATTATGTGCTGGGATGATAGTGCTGGGAACTTTTGAGGACGCCGGGAAATGCTGAGAGTTTTAATTAATTTATTTGTTTTTGGTGAAAACCAAGTATACCCGTGGCATGATGATTTGTCTTTTATCTCTGTATGCCGCTTGTCGAAGCTGACATTAGATAACATGTAATGCTACACTCACGACCTGAGAGTTGAAGCTTGGGTGGGGTTTGTGAGCTTTCAATGTGGTATTGGTACTAGGTCGTATTCACAACCAAAGTTGATCCGCGGACGAACTTTCCTCGGATCAATTGTGGCAGTCCCACTTGAACGCCTACCGCGCAATCCCCGCACGGAATCTATTCAGTGTTTATTACGGGATAATGCGACAAGCTTTCAAGTGGCTCGGCCATATTTCATCCGTGGTTTGTCTGTTTGGTAAGGAAATTGGTTTTATTACTTTTCAAGAATCGTTTTGGGTTGTCTTTCTTAGGTTGGAAATCAATTTAATTGTGAACCTCTCTCCCTCTCTCTCTCTCTCTCTCTCTCTCGTGTTGAATGTTTTTGTTGTTAATTTCGACCAAACCCCATGCCTTAATATACACTTAGTAAATATTATCCGCAGTGCAAAAGTGTTATTTATGTCTATTTTGAAAAACTTTCCCAACCGCCATAATTATCTGTGTTATCCCTCCGGAGATACTCGTGATGTACAGCTGTGCTATATTTTCTGTATAAAAATATACAACCTCAATGACAACGACGCTACGTATGGTAAACTATATATAATTAGCATCTTTATCTTTGTCGGTTTATCGAAGCCACAGTTATCGGCAAAGAGCATTTGAAGTCGTAGTGGTAAACAGTGATATGCGGATTTCTTTTAGTGCTTCTCAGTCTGTGATAGAATAGAATAGAATAGAATAGAATAGAATAGAATAGAATAGAATAGAATAGAATAGAATAGAATAGAATAGAATAGAATGACAAATTAGCACCCTCTCAAAAAATATATATATAAATAAATAAAAGACAGGAAGAAAAAGGGGCACAAAAATCGATCCTTATCTTTATAGTCTGTGGTTTTAGAAGGCACTTCGGGGGAAAGTGGTTTTAAGTTTGATAGACATAGACACGGAACAAAGACCATACACGATCTTTTTACATAGTTTTTGTTTTCAAAACATGTAGGCCTAATGATAGAAATTCCAGGCGTCAGAGTTTCTATCATCTAACAACACCTAAGGATAGAGCCACGAAGCAAGAATATAAATGTTATTACGTCCCTGATTTGACTGTCCGATATGCAGGGCATATTGCTCCTGTGATGTAAGTCAAAGACGCCGGCATATATGAAACTGACTAGACGTGAGATATTGATGGTTGAAAATCCACCGAATAACTGGAAAAATAGTGACTTCATGGACTCTGTGTATAGTCAGCTGCAACTGATAAATACGTTCTAACAGTTTCAAATTCGCGGTCTTGGCGCTTAGATCGATTTTGTTTTGTGGGTCAAAACGCGTGTTGCTAAATTGAACAATCGTGTTAAATAAACGCAAGTGAATGATTGATTTAATTATTTCATCCGCTTTTACCCAAGACCGTGCCCATCACTGTTATTACTTAAATCGTTATGGAGTAGAAATCTTTATGTGTTTCCAGCGTTCACTTCAGGTTACTCTGGTATATAGATCAGAAAATAGGACCGTTTTGACCTAGGACCCCATTCCAATAGGCACTATCGGTCTACATACATCGATCCAACTCTGCGGGGATTCTCCCCGAGAGCAAGCTGTTAAACTGAATGACACGCCTCCTCCTGGCGTAGAATACAGAAAAACAGTTGAGTATGCGAGTACGTTGGAAACTAGAGGAAGCGTGTTAATCTGATAATCTGGTAGCATTCAGCGAGAGTCCCTGCGGAGTTGGAACGTTCTACGAACACCGATGGTGACTATTGGAAAGAGACCTAAGACGCACGCTGTATGGTGGGTCCGGGTTTTAACACCGGGATGGCGTGGGTGGTACTTGCAAACGAATTGTCTTAGGGTGCTTTCCCAGAGATTAAGATCGATCTAAAGATTAAGTTTTAGTCGACCTAATTCCCTGGGGGTTCAGGCTAAATTGCAGTCAGCCGAGCGGACACCATAGTTAATTACCCCCTTACAGCTTTTAGTAGGCGGGACAGACGCTTAAGCCGGCCAAGCTGACAGTAATCTAGTGAGACTCCCCACAGGGATTGATCGATCTAAAAATCTATGGAAATGGGGTGTTATTCTGGTGTTAATGTGGGGTGATCTGAAAATGCATTGTGCTGACATAATGTTTTGTGTGAAAGCCCACGTTTAAATAAGGTCCCTTTTTTTCGATTCAGTATGAAAGTAAAACGACTTAAATCTGCCTTGGCCTATACTTATTTTCACATTCATTTGAACATGTAATATGAAAAAGAAGGAAAAAAAAGACCGTAGAAAATTTTGGAATTGAAAATAAATTGGGCACGAAAAGAATGACAATCTTGGGGGGGCGTCAGGGACACGCATGCACCTTTCAGCAGTGCTTCTGTGATAGTTCAAAGTTCCAGTCACATTTTATATGTCACATTTGGTAGTCTGTGATCGTTGTATTAACGAAACTCGGCTAGATATACACTACGCCTTCTACTCTTACCTATATCTTAAAGAAAAGAGAAAAATGATAGGAATTCGATAGGCTGTCAGGTCATGATAGAGACGCAAACAGAGCACGTGTGTGGATGTTGATTGTGTGCTGTTATACTATTATGTATACTGCCTCTATCCTATTCTAGAATTACACTGTTACATACACCGTCTCTATCCTGTGCTTTAGAATTACACTGATAAATTCACTTCCTCTATCCTGCGTTCTAGAGTTACACCATTTTTATTCACTGTCTCTCTCTCTCTCTCTCTCTCTATCTCCTTGAGGGTGTTCTTTTCTGAATCCCCGAAGAACAAAGGCATCATTTTAGGGTCATATCAGGTTTATTTTCTTCTTCAGTTGACCTGGGCTGTATAGTATTACCTTACTGGTTGAACACGCGATTCTGTCATTCAAATGTGACACAACCACGCAGAAGACATAATACTAAATGTCTTACTTTATACACCTGTAACAAGGTTTGGTGTCAATATGAAAATGCATTGTTTGTTCAAGAAAAATCGCTCTTTTCTAAACGAGTGTCGAGAGGTTTTTGGTGAGGGAAATTCATTCCAGCAATGTATGGTTTTAAGTAACTTAAATAAACAAAATGGCACTGAAAACTTCTAAAAGACCTAAAAGACTCCATGATGTCTATTTTGCAACTAGTTTGTATCAAGTGTATCAAAAACTTGCACTGAAGAATTATTTCTATTTGTTCTTAAGTATGAAGATACTTCAGACTAGTATCATATAGATCATATCTTTGTAGAAAACCCAATGTCTAATTTCCTCTTTGTTAAGCTTAAGTATAGTCTACATAGCAAAAGCACGTGTACTTTGAAACTGCCAGGACTGAGTCCCAATGGTTTTCAATGGAGTGTGGATTGGCATTGGGGTACGTTCTGTCCTACACCAGGGGTCTCCTCTGGCTGTTACATGTTTGGACAAAAGTCGTTCATCCTATTTTGTAACAGATAGAGGAGATCTGTGTAGAGTGTAGAAATGTTCGGTCAGTTGTTAACAAATAAATTCTTCAGCATCAATTTTTAAATATGCACCAAAGCCACCTAGTGTTACATGATTATAAAAAGGCTACAGGTGATTTTTTAAGTCGTATATTGATACATGTTGAACGACACTCAACGTTCCCTAGGATTAAAATATCAGGTATTTTGTTAGGCAATGAAAAGTTCGGGACAATTGAGAACTGAAGAGTTTTTTACTATTAAGAGATATTCATCATTATGTTACAGTCTGCGTCGGCAATAAACCTCGACAATCGTATTTGTGGCTTAAGTCAATGCACATCTCTTTTGTACACTGCAATGAAAATACCCGTGGTGTGTTGATTCTATGATTCCACAGAAGATGTGGAAGTAACGTTCTAAAAATCAATAACGACCTATTATTTCTCCGCAACGTGTCTGGATATCCTTCCCTGTGTGTTCCCCCTATTAATGTGGTTTGAATCTATACTGATCGGTATTAACAAAACGGCCTTATTCCTTGCAACTAGAGAGAGGAGACGCATGCTTACACCCCCCCCCCCTCCATTTTCCCCTACCCCATCATGCAATATTTCTATTAATCCCAAGTTAGGCTGTTAGAAATGGTTACACTGGGATAACACAGGTAGATTGCAATCAAGCGCCTGCTATTTCCTGATAGGACTAGAACTGGTGTTGTGAGAACGGGTATGAACGCGTCGTATTCCTGAGCACAATCACTTAAGGAAGCCCTATACCTGCTAGCTGTGCATCAAAAGATCAGATATTAGCATGGTTACCGGGTACCTAGATTATTGTCTACCCAGTGACCATAATCTACCCGGTAGATTATTGTTGTCTTATTACTAAGCGTGCGTTTAAATGATTAATGACTTACTTCACTCTTGCATCAAAGCGCCAGTCAATGATGAGCAAACAGTTCACCGTTATTTCATTAAGAGTGCAGCTTAATGATGCGTGACTTGAAGCACTACAAAGCAAACTGCAACTACTCTGTTTACATCGTCATTATGCATTGGAAACAAGGTTTGAAGCTCGAGTGGGAGAGGGAAGCTGTATTGTTATTATAGGTTTAGTGACAAGATAAAACAACCTCTCAGCGTGGCATCGAAGGCTCTGTTTCAAGTGCATTCAGAGGTCTCTCTCTCTCTTTTACACACACCCACACACATGTTCACTACACACACACACACACACACACACACACACACACACACATCACTACACACACACACACACACACACACACACACACACACACACGTTCACACACACACACACACACACACACACACACACACACACACACACACACNCAGCGTGGCATCGAAGGCTCTGTTTCAAGTGCATTCAGAGGTCTCTCTCTCTCTTTTACACACACACACACACATGTTCACTACACACACACACACACACACACACACGTTCACTACACACACACACACACACACAACTCCTACGCATTTAGGAGAGATTGGCAATCGTAACTTCCTGGCATTTGAAATCAAAAGGGCTGTCATATCACGTTAACAACAATAGAACCACGGTATGAAATACAATAATGGAACCCTTTAATTTATTTATAGATTCACATAATAACAAGCCGCTAACAATATTTGCAACGAATGGTTGTATCAATAGAGACATACAAGACTGCTCACAATATGACAATAAAGTGCCATAACGTGTACTTGGTCACATTTTGAACATAGAAGTAGACGCTTGAATGCAGCTTCTCGCTGTTTATCCCTTTTGTTTACCCGCAGATCATATAGGAAAATATGGTCCAAAAGCATAATTTAAGACTTTATCCTCTTTATACTAACGATCGATAGTCTAACCAGCTGCTAACTCAAATATACGCTGGACTGGTTATATTTATGTGTAAAGAAATTCTAATTTTTTTAATTGGGTCAATACCCAGAAAGGTGAGTTTTTGAGAAGAGGTATAAATTAGTTATTTCAATAACACTTTCCACAACCTTCAAAGTTATAGGCCCTAGACAATAAAATTCTAGGAGATCCCTTTGATCTGAAAAGAAGACGCTCTGTACCTTTACCGCTTATGAAAATAATAACTCCTTATACCTTGACAAGTGCTCGTTTTTGATGAATATGAATTTGAACAAACAGTTATTCAATAACTGGGAATGCAAAGTTTACTTTTGATTTATATTAAGCCTTCCGTAATAGAAAATGTGTTATAATCTCTATACCAATATTTTTGTTCGAGGAATGTGTTGAAGGCAGCCATGTATGCATATGAAAATCATTACATGGATGGAAATGATGTGAAAAATTAATAACATTGGAGCTTTTGTACCGTGAACAAGTAGACATGATCGACCTTTCCAAGAAACTAAACAAAATTTCGAACGGAATCACGAACTTGATGCATCAACCTTCTTCGATTAGCTTATCTGACGCCAACATAGAAATATCGTCTGTTTTGTTTCAAAAATAGCATTTTTCTGAAATGGATTTATTTGCCATCTTGTTATTATTGACTGACAAGTAGTTTGTTTCAGACATGAATATGTCCATTGCCGTATTACATGTATAAATACAGTGTTCACCATAGCGTAGATCATAACGATGCCATATAATACACAATAAGAGACCATTGAAGTCCGTTCTTGATTGCCGTGCCAGTTTATTTTTAAAAATATCAAAATATAGAGTAATCTATTAAATTTTCAAAGTTAAAGTAAAATATTTTTAATCCATATTTTTAATTTTCTTTTAGTTCACCCAATACAAATTCATAAAAATTCTTACGTGGCGAAATTTTGGCCCGCAATGTATACTCCATGAAACGATTATTGATCGCGTTTGCATTTTTTTCCCACCAACACTCTCACTTCCCTCCACATTTATAACACACCAAGCAAATTTTTAGTCGTTCCAATGAAATTTATTGTTATATCTCGTTTTTTATTGATTTTTCTTTAATATTTTAAGAACAGCTTAAATCTTTTAAACATGCTAATACAAATAGCGGTTACAAATCATACAACTCGCTTCATTTTGGAAAAATGTCCCATAAAGGCTGTAACGTATAGAAAAATGGCACAGGGGATTATAAATGTTTTTTACCTATCTTGTGATGCACTTTATATAATTCTAGAGGCGTTTCCTAAGACTGTACTATTTTTTCTCTGTTTATTTCTAGAAAACGAACTTATCTTGGAGGAAACCAAGTTGCGAGAACAGATTGCTGAACTGAAAAAACAACTGGAGGAAAGACGCTCACTGCAACATGAGACCCCAGGGGTGATAAAGGTTCCCGAAGCAAAGAACACATCTCCGGAGCAAAGGTTTATTTCACTTTCACAAGATCGCGCCCTACTACCATCACATTACTGTAACCAAAATAACGTTATGGTAACGTTCTGATAGCGTTATGATAACGTGACCATAACATTAATACAACAAAACGTTATGGCAACGTTACATTAGCGTTCTGTGTTTGCTTGGTAAAGTATACTGCCCCATGTGAAAAGGGCCTCAGTGCAATAGATTGATCCAATGTATTACTTGTCAAGATAAGCATTATACAGAAACACTTATATTTAAACAAGCACACCTTTGGACAAATTGTTTTGGTAGAGTGTTGATAAACTACACTACACGCATGCAAGTTGTCCTCCCGTCATTTATATATATAGCGGTAAAATTGGTCTTATCACAGTGCACTCCGTGATGGCCATATCCGGGTTCATGTTACAGTTTAGGGCACTTTGGGTTAAAATATTCCGACTGTTTACGAGACATACAGACCGATCACGGTACTCGAATAACAGCCCGTTCACAATGAAACTATTGTTTTACGTAGATCGATCTAACTATGCAGGGACTTTTGCTGAAAGCAACCAGATTAACTGTTTCGAAGGCACTCGTGCAATCACCAGCTTTTCTGTATCTACTCAACGCCAGGAAGAGTTAATCTGTTAAACTGATTGCATTCAGCGAGAGTCTCCGCAGGACGATAGCTCATTGAGAATGATCCCTAAGAGGCACGTAAGCCAGCTGAGAGTTACCGACAACAGGACATCAGAGTAACCGACATGGGCAGTTGACCTCATGAGATTATCGAAAAAGAACGTTTGGCGGATCTTTGCCGTCCTGTCTAGATTGCGTCCTGTCTAGATTCTGCAAGTCTTTTCGTAAAAAAAGAATAAAATCTGCAATGAAAAAGAAGTTTGGTAATTAGTGTAATATCAGATTAATATCAATAACGTTTTGAATATGCGTCTTAATGCTGTACCGTATAATTTATGTAATGCATTTGTTTGCTTGCAAAGCTGATATAAAACGTTTTAGCAGTGCTTTCGATGTAAGACATCGTTTTGTGATCATTATAACCTTACCACTGTAACTGCTTTTCAGTTTATTTTATTGTTTAAAAACTTATGTTTAATCATTACTTTACAGACTACCTGAAGCACACGTAGAGGTCGCCGCTGAGAGCCATAACGTGGCAGCCCACAATGCCTCCAAAGCCGCCCACCATGCCGTCCACGCAAATATCAAAAATGTCGACAGTTTCCCGCCAGCTGTGAGACTGGGACAAAACAGGACAGGAGGTATGACAGGGTTGTCGTAAAACAGGGTTGTCGTAAAACACATAAAAAGGCGGGATGCAAAAACCAACATGAAATCTCCCTCTCCTTGTGCCCCTGTAAATGGATATTTCTTCATTTGAGATGCTCTCTCTCTCTCTCTCTCTCTCTCTGTGTGTGTGTGTGTTTAAGATTTCCTTTTCCTTTTCATACACTATAAATACACCTTATATAAAGTTATAATGCTGAAGGTTAAGGTTTGCTCAGAAAAAAATGATATTTAACCGGCAAACCAGGAATAAAGTGCTTGCAATTGATTAACAAATTGTTTTGAGAACTTATCATATTGCCTCCTCTCCACACTTGATTGGGGACATGTCGAGATGATGTATCGCATTTACGTTACAAATTAAATCTAGAGACCCTTTTCAGAGACTCATAAATGTTCTTTTGATCATGTTATATGACGTTTGCACTAAAATGATTTTTTTTTAATAAGCCAAACACGTTTGGCTTTAGATACGGGTCCTGAAATCTTAACGGTAAATGGCTAGATTTCAAAGGCTTAACACATAGGTTCGTGACAAATAATTTGCATAATAGGCTGTCAAGCCGATAAGCAAACATCCCAAAACGTGATGGCAAAATCAGAAAATTGGGGGAAGCGGTACGTGTGACGTCACGCCTAGCATTCCACGAACGCCATAGGCAAATTGACAAATTGAAGCAATAAATGAAGAACTTATCAGGACAAAATTACTTAAGGTTTCATTAGGTTATATTACAAAATGCGATTCAAGGACGGAACGACGGAAAGGAGAGACATTTGTTAATATATCCAAGACGTGACAAGATAATTAAGATACGTTATCTCTCATACGGGACGGTTTCATTATGAGTGATGACGCGTCGTCTCATTCAACGTTTGAAGTTGTTGGCTTAATTTAAATCCTGAACTCATGTAAAGAAAAACATTTGGACCGAAAAGGGTAATTGATAATACGGTTATTTAAGTATAAATCTACTCTCCAACCACAGGGGTCACCAGCTATTCTGTAATCTCTGACAAAATTTCAGAATATTTTTCAATTTTGTATCCTTCACCAGAGAACCTGAGTCGGCCCAATTTTTCGGGGGATTCTTGCTTAAGAGCAATCAGGGGAATCAACTTTATTGTCTGACACACCTCCTCGAGCAGCTTGGCTGTGTTTTGCTATTGTGTGCTGATTAAGCTGCATTTTAGCGAGGATTCCCTGCAGAGCTGGACCGACCAAGCTAGTACGATTTGTGGATCTGAATGAACTTGAACTCCGTATTTTGGCCTTGAGACGATTTTAAATTATTCACTCCTTGTTAGGATCTAACTTGATGAACAGAAAATAACTTCTTAACGTGACGCTTGATATGGTCGATCATTGAAATTAAGTTATTGCGTTTCCTATGTAATTAATGGTCCAACTAACGCTTTGCCTGTTAGCACGCTCCCCAGTGTCCTATTTATTGTCGGATTTTGATGAATGCTACTTTGTTAATAATATATTCTCCATGGGCCGATCAAGTTGTTTTAAAGGCGGAAGGTTTCAAAATAACATTTTGTATTTCCTAAGGGGAAGGGGTGATTGGAGGAGTGTTTGAGCAAAAGGTGGACAAGGGCGATTATTTCACGGATAAGGTCGCTGATTTTTCAGTTTTCAGTCACAGTAGAATACCTAGATGATGCAACGCCGATGTCCCCCTGATGATGTTTCTTTTTTACAGTGTCGGTTGGCGGAGCAACAAAAGGATTATATTGGCTTGTCATGTTTAAACATTGATTCTGTTATCACATGGAAGAAAACGGAATTATTTGAATGGCAGGTTCGATATATGAAACTTAACCAAACAAATTATCGCAGCTGCTACCTGCCCTAAGCTACGCATACAAACATATATACCAGACAGTATAAATCAGTAACTGATGATAGAGTCACCCAGTGCGTTTTGACAATCGCCAAAAGATATCTTTGATTTAATAAAATATCAGATGTTGTCGGTCCGTGTAGTTCCTCAAGCATGGATGAGAGGCTTTCGTTTCACGCTTAGGGCTCATTCCCATTCTGCTTGCTACTCAACTTAATTTGTTAATTTCATTGCATTTAGCCAGAGTCCACGCGGAATTGGATCGATCTACGTAGAACCATAGTTTCACTGGGAAAAGGCCCTTAGTCTTGTGTGGGAGGATTTATTAAAAGTGTGTGCAATTATACTACATGTTGCATGGTTAGTGATTATAACCTGACTGGATAAGACCAGGTCCTTAGAGATAAAATACCTGTGTATACCGCCTAGTTTTTATAGGTATTTTGGTGAAATAAGTTCGGAATTATTTAAAAGCCAAGTGAAGCCCCACAGATTTAGATGGATCTTGTTAGCACGATGGGTTTATGGGAGCGCAGTCTAACAGAGGTGTCGAGCGGGGACATATCATATTATCTCTTGGTAGATAGTTTTGCATTAGAGCACAGGTCGAGAAGTCGTCGTGGGCTAGTGAAGTTCTCGAATAAGTGAAACAGGGGTCGGTTTCATAGAACAATCGCTCTGCAATTCTTTTTTCTATGGCTTCGCTGGAAGGCGTTTACGTTAGCGAGTTTATGCTTTATTAGACAATCCCCAAATACTTTGGCCGTCTAGTCAGGCAAAATACGCATGCATTCGTCTTTGATTCATTCACGAAAGATCGACATCAAACCTGCCATACCATTATCCCAAAGTCTCATCTACAAGACAGCGTATTGCCGTTATACTACTAGGGTCTGTTTCACAAAAGAGCTTTATCCCCAAAAGTGTCTTAACTTTAAGACCAAAATTTCAATTTTGTTTGACCTAATATCAATCAGTTGTTTAATTTTAAACTAAAAATGAAACGGTGCATCTGTTTAAAGACATGAAATAGGGATTTCATTTAAAGATAATTCACTATGGATTTATCTTTAGCTAAAGTTGGCCAGAAATCTTTGGTCTGAAAGTTAAGACCCATATCTTTTGTGAAACGGGCACCTGTGCGTTAATTTTCCCACCTGTGTAATGTTATCAGGGTAATAACACATCGAGTCTGGCCAGTCGCTCCTGAGGGAGCACTTATGCCCACGTTTTTTTCCTTTTGCAAGGTAAAAAGACCTAATTTTACACCAGTTGAGAAATATGAACAGATGGTTCGATTATAATTGACATTACTTATTTATGAAAAAAAGAAGAAAGTCTGGGAATTGATTAAGAAGAGATAAATTGCGCGATGGCGATTTGAGACACGTGGTGTGACTCAAATATGTGCTTTGTTTCTGTCAGTGGCGTGACGGTGTAAGTAGAACAGAATAACCATCACAGCTGTAGTGGAGGTGAAAACTACAAAAAAGAAAAAAAAAATTGACACAGGTGTCGGACCACATTACACTTAACATGGTTTTAGTGAATTGTTAACAATATCAAATGTTTTCTGTAAACGAAAAAAAATATTAGAGAAATCATCAAATACGATTACTATACTGCTTAGTCGTCGTAATATTATGCATGTCATGCCTAAATGCCAAAATGAAATATGGACATTTTAACATTTCAGAGATTTTTACATTCGGGCTTAAAGGACGTTATTTAACTTGACTATGGATAATGACAGATTTCCATTTTTCAGCAACCGTTGTAGTTGGAATTCCGTCTGTGAAACGAGAAAAGGTGTCGTACCTTTCTGACACCCTGCGATCATTAGTAGACAACTTAGACGCCGGGAGCAAAAAAGACGTTTTGCTCATCGTCATGGTGTCGGAGGTGAGTAATACACTAAAACGCGCGTTCGCAACCGCGACAACTAGCTTTACATACCCTCCACCAGGGTCACAGGGGGATTTTTCACTAGATATTCGCAGATATGTCTCTGGCTTATTCATGTCACGTTATGTACTGTGTCCAACAAGAATTTTTAGTACAGAAATGGCGTCATTTCTCAGCTGGCCTCTGTAAGAGAGTAGGTCCTATGCTTTACAGTTGCCGCTAAACTATAAAATTGCTAAGCACGAGACGGCAAAAAACGCTTTCAGAACAGCGGACTAACAATATGGCCGACCCACTTGAATACCTGTTGCGGGGAACCTATTCAGTGTCTTGTCGGGAATTTTAAACGGCAAGCTTTTTAGTGGGTCACCATATTTGATCCGCGGATTCGTTATAGCGCATTTAGAACAGCGTTAATTGCTATTTCTTGCATTTTGATAACTAGCCACACTTTTCCTTAATTTCCAGCCGTTTAATACAGAGTATGCTAAGGAGACAGCTGAGTCTATTAACGGTCGGTTTCCTGACCAAGTCCGAGATGGTCTGATTGAGGTCATCTGTCCGCCAGCCTCGTTCTACCCTGACCTTGATCACGTGGACACCCTTGGAGACACAGTGGAAAGAGCAAGGTAAGCTGGCGACAAGATTAGATCTCCAGTCATTACTCCGATTTACAAAATGGCTTATCCCTGGGGAAAGCTTTGTGTTAATAGACAGTGCTCAATAATCCAAAGAATTAATTCAGTGACATAAAGGGGACATTTTTTGTTCTTTTATTTATAGAGCATGCAGACTAGCGTCGGAATGGGAATCATACGTGATAGCCCAGTCTCTAGAGTATAAATGCGTAAAAATCACGTGTAATTTCAAGGAAATGAAATAGCCATGGCCAGTAATTATTGAGTGCGATGCGGTCACGAATTTAAGAATGACAACTCACCCACGGGCATTTTCTGGTTGGGTCATTAGTCTATCGCACGAAAGAACCTACTCATCATATTTTGCGTGTCACTTTTGTTAAGTTTTCAAGACGACTTTGCTGGCGCATAGAGCTTCACCTTTATCGCGTTAAAGTTAATCCCGATTCACACTATTTATCGCACGTGTTCTGGTCTCGTATGTCGTCATGATCAGAAAAGTCTCGTATGACGTCAGGAAATGGCGACAGCCTCGGATTATGCCCATTCCTGTCGTCTGCTTCAGTAGGCTATATATTCAAAGAAGAGAGCACTAGTCACAGTACTGTGGTTGCATTAACTATATTAAGTCGAAAATGCATTACGTTTTATCAGATTTTATCAAAAAATCTAATTATAATTCAAAATTCAGTTAGCGAGATTCAATTAAAGTGAGTACGTTGCATTATACAGGGCCCCAGGCGCTGATGACAAAATAGACTGAGAATTTTTTTTTCTGATCCAAAATCCTAATATTTTTCAACTGAATACTCTTTTCAGAAATATCTTCATCAACCCTTCATGAACCCTTTCTTTGTAAATCTTAAAATAAACTATTCCGACGTGATAATTATGGACATTGTCGGTATACCCGAGGCGTTTGAGTAAAGGGGATATCTTAAATTCTGTATTTATGGAAAACTGTGTGGCAGAAAAAGTCTTCATCCTTTCGAGCAATTTCAGATAAATTAACACGAAGCGTTGGCAAGCCTTTCTCGTGAAAACAATAGAATACTAAATCGCTCCTTCCTGCCCTTGAAGGAGTAATATCCACGCTAGGGAAGTGATCCGTCTCTCATGAGAACAGGGAAAGGAAAGCATAATTGTCACCTGCACCTGAGACCGTTCATGAAGCTTCCGTCACGCAGAGCGCTGGGTCGGTGACTGGAAGCGGGGGTTGATAAGAAGACAAAGTGTATTTCAACTGTAAACATTTGCCATATCACGCACATAACACGAGATAAATATGTAGATAACTTGCTTTTCGGCTGTTGAACACACACAGTGTCACGTACGTAACACGCGTGTCGGTCATTGTATGAGCTTAGGCTTCGTTCACATGCGATGTCTATTTTCTAAATTCTATTTTCTTATAAGTTACTATAAGTAACTGGCTCGCGCTGCCAGTAATTACGCGGCGGGATATTCAGGGCACAGACCGTGATCATAAGATAGCGCGAATAGAAAATAGAATTTAGAAAATAGACATTGCATGTGAACGAAGCCTTAGTCTCATGACTTCCGCGTGCCAAATGACATCACCTCCGGCTGCTTTAGATATTCGAAGCTTAACGCATATTTTTTCTATAGGCCAGTACATTTCTTAAACAGCATTCTGACTGACATTCTTGCTTAGTCTGCTCTGATATAGGAGTAGCTTCGTTAGCTTTTTTTTGCCGAGTTACAGGAGTAACAGGACCGGCTGTATGCTACGGCATGCACCTCTGATGGAGGAGCCCAGTGAGCTCGCGCATACTAAAAAGGTTTTCGTAGGTGCTCAGTACTCTCTGACCACAGGGCTCTCTAGTAGTCTGTTACATTATTATTGTATGCTAAAATTTTGTATACTATTTTACAGGCCCTTCAGAACAAGTTGATATGCGGACTAACAGATCAGTGGATCAAACTTATTGGCTTATGGTCCAGTCTGTTTCTGTTCGATTCTTGAAAAAATGTCTTTAAAAGAGTGCTGTGTAAATGAATCCATAGACATTCTCGCAGAAAAACTACTTAAGCCATTTTAAACAAAGCTGTCAAAGCAAGATGAATGCCGAATCGTTGAAATGATTAAATGGCTGATACTCAGTGGACTGGTCTAATTTGTCATAGATTCGATCCCACACTGACAAGAGGATAGATATTGACGACTGTGAACATTAAAGCAATTTCCGTCTCAAATGTGGCGAATTGCATCATCTCCATTAATTTAGGTTTATCACGTTATTCCTTTGCCCCTAATGTTATAAGGCATGCAAAGCTAGAATTGATCTCCAAGGGTAGTTAGGTTAATGACCGTCATCCCGTTGATCTCAGCACGAGATTCCCTAGTCCTCTTCAGTTCTGGTTTGCAACGGATACATGAGATAGTGACTATCCTTCTTAAGGCAACTGTTTTCAGAAAACTACTGGAGGTACAATTCATGCTATTGTGAGATCGACATTCGCTTTCCACCCTCTAGTACAGCCTTAGCTAAGCCCAAGAAAATAAATCAACATTCGGATAAGTGGGTTCATGTTTTTATTTTCGTTCTCGACCGTAGCGTCTCTTTCTAGAATTGTCCTTTGCGATTTGACCGCGCCGAAATTGGGTTGTGCCAAAGATGATGTGCTCCTATGAAAATGTCTGGGTTCCTGGTGTTATGTGTACGGAAGCTGTCAGTGTCCAGTAGTTGGCACGAGAAACACTCTTACTCTTACTCTTGCATACAAAAGCACACAATACGCATGCAGCGTATCGACCCTAAAGCCCTTGTTACACCACTTGGAGAGAGGATTTTGGCCCACTCTCGCCATGTTGAGGGTTAAATAACATCATTGCACAAGTACGTAAGATCCTTTTTTCGCCAGTGCTAGGTTCCAACATATGTTGCATCTTAAGACTGAGTAATGTGAATGGTTTTAGCCATTTTATTATTTAATTTTTCTCTCTCCGTTTTCTGCATATTGGTTTTATGATTACCGTCCATGGTTTTTTTTTTTCAGATGGCGAACAAAGCAGAACATTGACTACGCCTACTTAATGATGTACGCTATGAAGAGGGGTTCGTATTACTTACAGGTAAATCAGAGGGAGAGGGAGACATTTTTTCTGCGTTTTTCGAATATATTTTGAGAAACGAATGTAAGATTCAGTAAATTTTTATACGATTATGTGAGTATTTGAGAACTCTTCCAAGGTTTTTGTCTAGATCATCACCCAAATTATTACCACAATAGTTGCGGGGTTCCAAATGTGTCCTTTCTTCTGATGTAACTGTTAGTTATTTTAAGTACATGTAACAGCGCAGTAGTATCATGCAAAATAATATACTCGGTATGATAAAACACGCCCAGACAATTCTCTTCTATTCGGGATACTTACAATGTCTAACATTTCTTTTCTCATTTTTTGCAGCTTGAAGACGATGTTATAACAAAGCCAGATTACATGTTAAATATTAAAAAGACGATATCTGGACAAAGAGTCAAGAACTGGATACTTATAGACTTTTCCTACTTAGGATTCATAGGTCAGTTTTCACAGATATTTCGAAGAGCCACACCGTAAAACGTACAACAGTTCTTTCAAAAGGAAGCAATTAAATCACGTGCATTAAACCTCCCTCCCGCTTCTTTGCGCCTATGACCGACGTTGAGAAAAAGAGGGGCCTAAGCGCCCCCCCTCCACCTCCAGCCAAAATACTACGCCTACACTTTCTAAGAGAGCTCAATAGTTGAAAGTTGAGCTGTTGAAAAAATACATATTAGTTAGACTTGATATATACTGAAATTATCGACAGACGGCGATATCGATTGGAGCACGAAAGAATAATTAACAATTAAGACCCACTCTGATAATGATTTAAAGTCAACTTGTATTGGACGGAAGTTTTGTGTCAATTCTTGTCTGGCAACAGTAGGTACGGTTACAATTAATTACCCTTTAGAAATCACTTCATATTATGGCGGTGATTCTGGGCCTGGGTACGCTTTACCAAAGTGTGTTCGATTTCATGTCAAGGGTTGTTCATGCTGTCAATTCAGAAAAGGAAAACGCTACGTCATTTACTTACGTGGTAAAAACAGACTTTTTAGCCTTAAAATGCCCCGATTTTTGGTTGACAAAAGTTATCATTTTAAGTATTCTTTAAGCTTAATGTTTATTTATAAAGTACTGAGAGATTATTCTCTAGTTCAATTTTCTCTTTATGTGTATAAATTTATGCATGTTGTATTTCCAGGTAAACTATTCCACATGCAAGACATTGAGCTTCTTGCTCAGTTTTTCCTGATGTTCCATGACAGGCAGCCCGTTGATTGGCTGCTAGAGTATTACGTCACCACAAAAGCGTGTTTTCTAGATTGGAATGAGGTAAATGCCAATTTAAAACCCTTTATCACTATTTTCTTTTCAAAAATTAATGAGTTATACGTAATAATGGCTTCCAGCTGTTTATACATAACTTTATGAATTTTGTTGTAGTGCTTCATTTAGTCATCCCCACGTATTTGTATACGCAAAATTTATTTTAAAAAATAAATTATTTACATCCAATGTTACAGAAAAAGTGCAATGCCGAAAAGAAAAAGATGCGGCCCTCTTATAGACCGTCCTTATTTCAACATATGGGATATTATTCTTCTTTAGCTGGTAAAATACAAAAACTGAAGGTGAGTTAGTGTATGAAAATATAATATATCATTCATTTGTGTGTCTTCAAAATTATGGCGGTAGTTACGTCAACTTCTCAAGTGGTAAGCCTTTTGAGATCTTAAAACTTGAATTTATTTGCTCATTTATAATCCATTCTATCACCTTCTCCGTAATATATAGAGGTGTAGGTGGCAAGCTAGAATACACTTTGGTTTACGAAAGACGCTAAAAAAGAAAGGTATCAATAACGATATTATATACTCTCTTCCAGGACCGAAGATTAATTATGTGCATTTTTCTTCAGCACGAAGGATTCTTGTCGTGAATTAACCAGAGATAAATCTGTGAAGTTTTAGTGACGGATTTATCTGGTAGATTGTAGGCCTGTTAAAAAAGTGAAAAAGAAAAGACTTGTTTTTAAAACCCAGCTTGAAGCACTGTGGCAATAGAAGTATATATATATATGTCTATGTTCTACTTTGCTAATGCGAATACATATTTTCTCTACAGGACCCGAGATTCGGCCAAAAAGTGAAGGACAAGGGGTTCACCCCCCATACTGACAACCCCAAGGCAGAGGTCAGCTGTACTATAAACCAATACAAACAATACTCTATAGCAGGTGCTTACGTGGGACATTCCTTTTTCTGGGGAATACCGGAGGGAAATGAAACCTGCGATTTTAAATTCCAGCCCCCTATAAAAATTAAAAGGTATGTAAGGGTTTGATTTACTGTGCTACACAGGAAACACAGAACGTTATTTTAACGTTACTATTACGTTAACATTACCAAAAACGTTATGGTAACGTTACAGTAACGTTCTGTGTTTGCTGGATGAACGATTGAGTAGTTAAATTCATTGCACAAAAGGTAGATCTTTGCAGCTTAACGGTTACCTTTTTATATCCAGGCACTTTTACATCCAATGTTTCCTGTAAGGTGTCTGTTTATTTGCCAACTTGGTTGTCTAGTTTTTACTGTGCAGGTGTCACGTTTGCTTTTATAACCCCGGCTGTATGACATTTCAATTCTGACACAAAAATTTTTCTTCGTATCGTGTAAAATGGATGTTTCCATTTTCTTTTACCCTAGGTTCTTTTTCAAAAGCGGGAATCTCGAGCATCCAGGAGATAAGTTTACATCAAATACAACAGTGGAAATGTTGCCCGCAGAAAACGCCAGCGCATTTCAAGCAAAATACCAAAAAACAAAAGACAATTATTTTATAGTTCAAAAATTTTCCAAAGACGGAATTGCAGAGGGTTCTCTGGACGAGTCATTTCCGCCTGTCGATATACTTAGAATACAGCTGAGAGGACCAACAGACGCCTGGGCGATACTTAGTGAGGTAAATTGTAACACAGTTTTGTTAATTGGTGGTTACAACGCAATTTTATTGCATATACCTGAAATTCTTTGTTAAATTTAAGATCCAAAATTGGATCCCAAATTTCACATTCTTCCAGAGTGGAAAATCCAAAACAGATGAATGGAATAAAAATAAAAAAATGACCAGAATTTTAAAAATCATTTAGTAATAATGCGTCCATCACTGTATCTCTGAAATTAAATGAACATCGTTCCAGCATATGCTAAGAACACGTTAGCGGCAACAAAGAAAGCATCAGAGAAAGTTAACAATATAAAATATATAATGTTAACGTTTGTCTGTTCTCCATTTCAGATATTGATAACCCCCCACGCGACCAAACGGTAACACCACAGCCAGGCTTCTGTTACGATGCTCTTGGGACGATGCCGGGAATCTCGTCCTCTCTCTCTCTCTCGTGATATTTTTAAAAATGATCTACCATATTGACATCAGATGTTTTTCCCATTCGTAGAATGATCATAGCGTTAATCAAAAATAAGTTGTAAGCACTTCATGTTTTCTTTGATGCTTACCTACTGGAATTAATGTTGTAGTGCATTGATATATATATATATTCCAGATGACTGATATTGTGTGGATTCAGACTACTGTAAAATTGATGGTATTCAACAGCGGGTTAATAATAGCCATCACGTAATACTGCACCCAAAATATCTATACCGATGGGTGGGTGGGTGGGTAGGTGGGTTATAGTGCTGCAAAAGAGCACACACACACACAAACACACACACACACACACACAGTCAGAAGTTACAGAAGGACACCCATGTGATATATGATAATATAGAAAACAACAAACTGCACTATAGAGGAATTTAAGATGGAAACGGTTACAGGCAATGCGAGTTGCCGAACCAAGGCAGCAATAGTCAATTAATAACGCAAGTCTTCGGGGCGCCATGATGTCGTTTGGGCCTCTGAAACTGAACTTTCCTCTGTTCAGGGCATTGTAGCAAACGCTATAGTGGTTAAAGTTATCAGCGAATATTTATATAGAACAGAATACAACAAACAACATTAAGGTGAACGTTAAACTGGGATTTTCAATGTGATTTTTAATGTGATAAAATGTAACTAAGAGAATCAAGGACTGAATTCGTTCGCTCTGAAAAGGAGGTAGGAAATATAGTAAATGTTTGACTACATAAAAATGTATAACATTAATTGGAGTTAGATGATCTTTTTATATCGAATTATGTGGTTTGCATTTCACTACATATTGTGTATTTGTAAGCGTTTTATATATATATCTTTACCTTAAAGAGAATACCACGTTCAGTATGAAGACAGATTGATGACGTTAAGCCTACAAGTAGGCTATATCATCTAAGGATGATATCTATGACATCTCTTGCTTATTTTTCTAGTTTATGTTAATGATAAATGTGTTTTGAAATAAATATTGCAGAAAGGAAACGCTTCTTGTTTTTATCAGACTTAGTATAGGAAGAAAGCCTCTATAAGGAGCCTATTTGTGCACAAAATAGAAAGATGTATTTCTGGACAACTTTTTAAGTTAGCTGTTGCGATTGTTAAGAATAAATAGGCCTTTTACTACAACGTGAACTCCAGTCTTTGTAAATCCCATTGTTGCCGTGGTGAATCGCAATGAAGTAGGCCTACCCCGGGTACGTACCTTACAATCTCAACTACCACAATATTGCAGCCACTGGGTTGAGATGTCAGCATTTTATTTTTGACTTAACTCCCAACAACTAAACACGAGGACAATTTCGTGGGAATTAAGTGAGAAACTTAAAAGTCGTGAATGGATGAAATTAAAAATGTTGGACGCGGTGACTCGGCACCTCAAAAGTGGCCTGTCATTCTCTAAAAAACAAATAATAATAATAAATAGGCCCTAAAAAAAATTGGAACCCCCATCAAATAATTCTGGCTCCGCCCCTGCCGAGTTCACATTTCCACACGCCTATTTAGGCCTACAAGTTTATTTATTGACCAAAATGTTTTGAACATAAATTGATTGTTTTTCACGAGTAGGCCATTTTAAGGTTATACATGTGGCAAATTATCAATAAATGTGAACCAAAACAACTTATTTATGAGAAAAAATTGGTGCTGACCAGTGATATACCATTTTGCAGATAATTAGGAGACATTTTCAAGATAGGTATTCAAGGTAAGTAGACTTAGAGTGGCTTCTTAATTAGTATAGGTCTGTCAAGTTTGAGTAGCTTAATCGACAGCTGTATAGATTTTTAAGTGAACGCGAATCCCTTCAGATCACCCACAAATCCGGTTACAACAAGAAACCTGGCATACTTGGTTTTATCCGCCAAATCACAAAATGCAATACAACTCTAATTTGCTTGTGGTTTTACATTTTTTGATAACGTTGATAACCATCTCCGAAAGCCAAGGGCCTAGCAAATGCTCAGATTAACGTAATTAAAATAAATGGAAGAGTTGGGTCATTAATCCAAATTACTGAATAACTAATTGCTGAAAAGGAAATACCAGACAGAACTTGGAAATGTTTATCTAGCCAGCTTAGCCGCATTCCATTTAGTTTTTAAAAGACTGATTGACTTGTAGCATTTAAAAGACAAGAATTGGGGTCGTCTTGGATCGTTGAAATCTGCTGTCAATCACGTGACAGGTGTAAATAATATAGAACATGGCGGAAAGCCGCAGAACTGGGGATAGCGTGAACCTGACTCTGCATCTAAAAGCTTTGGCTGCAGGAAAAAATTGAATCTGAGGTAAATTCTGTTAAGATGGCTTTTAGATGGGATATCCTATTATTTATTAGTTCAATGCATAACGTTGTTGTTTTTGCCTTACAGGCACTCTTATCTACATGAAAATGTTTCTCCTACTACATGTAGTTTGAATGGTGAGACGTCCCTGTGTAGCACTCTTAATATACAGTAGGTTGCAAATAAATCCGCCGAAAACTAGCAAGTGCTACTTCCAGGTTTTTAAAACTCTGGTGAATGCTTTGACAGACCCACTCGCCAATTGCGACCTGTTCCTTCTTCTGGCTTTTATTTAAACTATGTGAAATCAGTGCATCTCGTGTCACGCACTCTTCTATACGGCTTCTGATGTGTAATATGTTATTGCATGAAAGAAAACAGCCCAAAAACTGTTTCATGAAAACCACTTTGAGAATCCGCCATGAAGGTGAACGTGATGCAGAAGCTCTCAGTCCTATATCTTATCTCTTATTACCTCAACTTACACCCTCCTGTACAGCCAACCATGCAGACTATTCCACTGACATCTCAAAGAAACCTTTTAAAGTCTACAGAAGTCCAAATGAACTTGCAAACAGGTGGAGAGTTTTCTCCCAGAAGTGGGTAAGCTGTGCAATAATTCACATCATTTCAGATATTTTCATGCAAATACAAGACTTTGCTAGCCTATTGATAAACTGTTACAAGATGATTAATAAATCTCTATCGTAGCTGCATTCAAAGTATATCATAGGCTTGTTTTGCAATGTTTTATGCACAGGTTGTGCAAAGTTGAAAAATGCCAATAATGTGCCATTTGCAGGGGTCAGAATCTACAGGCTGAGCAGTAATTACGTATTTAACCAGATAAAAATAGTTCCAATTTAACCTCCGGATTGGTCATTACCATTAGACAAACCCCAGGGTCTCAGATTTTGTCTTCTAGTTGAAAGTACTTCTGGGTCAGCAAAACAAAATGCAACATAACACTGGTTGTTTTCTTTTTTTTCTATAGTTTTTAAAATCTCAGTTTGAAAAGAACTTAGAAATTAGGATTAATAACCAAAAACAACATCCTGCTACACAAATATTATCAAAATCTATCTTTATTCAATACTTAGATCACATTCACAACAAGTTGAGCCAGGCTTTACAAATCCTGGGGACTAAATATGGCGGTCGTACATGAAAGAAAAACCACCTAATCTTTTAATAGTCTTTCCGCCTCTCACACGCCTCCCCACACGTCGTCCCTGCGGGGGGACAGTCATTAAATCTCGGCTCCATTGGGACGACATATGGCTCAACTCGTTGTGAATGCGATCTTAGTGTAATGCATATTGTCTGTCTTTAACCATTATTTAGTTCCAGTATCTGAGTACCTGTGATCACAAGTCAGGATTTGATTGTAAGCTATAATGTGTCATACTACACTACTACGGTATTTGGCAGACTTTTTAGGTCAAATTTACAAACAGCAATTTGAAGAAGGTGCAGTTTTGAAGCATTTTTGCATGTCTAACTGATTGATTGAATAGGTTTATCCTTTGACATGTGGACTTCATTTGAGTCATATTAGAAACCTGTGGTACTAGTACATGTATATATATACATTACAGGGAATATGTAACTTTAAAATGAGGTATTCAGCACTAAGTTACATCAAACATGAAAAGAAAAAATGCATGAATCCATGTGAGGTGGAGAAAACTTTTTACAGATAAGAGTCATCCTCTGTGAACCTAGAATGTCTTCTTAGACCCCATTCCTAAACCTAGATCGATCTAACTGGATCAACCCACCTCTGAGGGGATTCTCTCTAAATTGCATTAGGTGGCTTAGAATAAGATGTCTACCCCCTAGCAGCTTCAATAGGATTGCCAGACATTAGATATGCTTAAGCTGAATGTAATTTAGGGAGAAACTGTATGTAGTGAGAAAATATATTCTTATATATTGTAGTAGAATGCACACCATACTTTTTTCTGTATTTTGGTATTTTTGGTTACTACACATGTTTTCAGTTGATCTATTGTGACAAGCAGGTGGAATTATTTTTAGGGGTCCAGTTGCATTTTTTTAGCCCCTTTTTGGCCAGGAAAGGTGTAGTCAGAAGCAAAATTTGATGTCAGTTCTATTTCTCAAATTTCTCAAGTTCTGTCAACTAAGGGGTACATGTAAAATACCCCCCCCCCCACCCCCGCCCCCCACCCATTGCTGGCAATGTTCTACACATAATGATTTGTGTATATAAATTGGTTTTTACTAGTATCATACACCAGATTATGCTGGTAGTAGATTGGGTATCTCCCTGCCAAAATAAGAGAGAGAGACTTTCAATGGTTTGAAGTTGGTAGCTTGCCATGCAATTGTTTGAGGTCACAGATGTCAATAGCATGACCCCTGTTACCATGGAAACTGATACACAGATATTGGATCTCCCCAGCTGTGTTTAGGTGGTTGGCCACAGATTTATTGAGTGAGCTATGGGAACTTGAAAACAAACAATAAGCATGGACAAAAAGAAAAACACTTTATACTCTCCTAGTATGTGATGGTTTTAAAAAGGATGTTTATTTTTTGACTTGTATGGATTAGACTGAGTTTTTTCTTTAAAGTTTTCATTGTTTGTGGATCCATTTAAAAATTGTTTAAAAATGAATTTGTGAATATGAACAAGTTTTTTTTTTTTTTTTTTTGGGGGGGGGGATATTTTTATTATGAAGAAAAATTGTGGTTTTAGATGGGCACACTGACATAAGAAAAGCAATTTTTTCCTACCCCCCATATCAAGCCTTGACCCACCCCTTATTAACTTGGATTTGATGTCTTATCCCATTTCTAATTTAATGATTTAGTTCTTTATAGCTGGCCAGCCATGTACTAGTAGAAGAATTAATGTCATATAAGTAGCTTCGAAGGATATATAGACATAAAAAATGGCTTTGGGAAATTGTCAGACATGTTCAATGTGCCAATCAAGGGTCTCCAGGCTGCCTTGTGACGGGTTTGCAAGACAGATAAGAAAAGACAGATTAGGGATTAGCTTCAGTCTGGTATTGCTGGTTGGTGAAGACGATAGCATTTGCTTGCTCGTAAAATAATTGTTTCCATTTGACCAAAAGGCAAGTATTTACGGTAATGATAAATTGATTGATTGTCAAGATTTTCAAAAGCCAAAATGTATGATAATGACTTGATCTTCTCAATGGGGAAAATTATAAATTTTTCATGTGCATAATTTTGAAATCATTATAGATATATTTCTCAATCTGTAGCATTTGTGGTTCTTTTACTATATAGAATAGGGCACAATAAGGCAGCCTTCTTTTCAGTGTTGTTGCTACCACTTAAAGGGCATGTCCTAATTTTTAAAAAAATCTCTTTAAGAAATACAGTATCTGTAAAATCACAATTGTCCTCAGTGAAAAGTTCGTATCTTAACAGTATTCTGTCTGAAAGCCTTTTTGAGGGTGATGGTTGAGAAAAAACTTGCATCCAAATGCACAACAACATCGGTAGTTCCAGTCGCCATTTTTCTTGGACTGGAGACCCTCTGAACTACATGACTTGTCGCATTCTACTAGACTCAAAGGCCGCATTCACATTGAGAAGAGAAGAGGCTCTCCAAAGCCGAGAACTAAATATGGCAAACGTACATGAAAGGAAAGCCGTCTAAGTTTTAAATAGTCTCTCCACCTCTCACACGCCTCCCCATGCGTCATCCCAATGGAGCCGAGATTGAATGACTGTACCCCCACGGGGACAGCACGTGGGGAGGCGTGTGAAAGGCAGGGAGGATTATGCGGTTTTCCTTTCATGTACGTCCGCCACATTTAGTTCTCGGCTCTTCTCACTGTGAATGCGGCCAAATTATATTACACAGATAGGGATACATGCTACTCAACACCTAGTTGTGAAATTGTCCCCATTGGCAGATACAAAAGGGTGTGTAATAGTATGGTGAGGAGCATTTTCCACCTGATCATCTTCAACAGGGTTTTTTTCATACAGTGGCCTCATCTAGAACAGTGGACTAACTAATCCGAGGATCAAATATGGCTGACCCACTTGAATACTTCCTCACAGGGAATCTATTCAGTGTCTATTAGCGGATTAGACGCAAGCTTTCAATGGGGTGCCATATTTGACCTGCAGACTAGTTAGTCCACTGTTCTGAATGTGGCCATTGTCAGGTTTTTAACAGCTAGTAGACATCTGGTAGGGGGCATGTTCTGGTATCCTGTGCATGCAGGTTTTTATTGTGGAACTCATTTATCCATTTCATCATACACCGTCTATTTTGTCCCTTTGATTTCAGAATCAGTCTCTGACATACAGGTGATATAGACACTATTGAAAGCTTCCACACCATCACTTGTAATAGAAACTGAAAAGGTTTTCCTTTCTTGAAACAAACATGTTCTATTTGCCAAAGATGTATTGATTGTGTTGTATCTTGTCAAGTTGGCACTTGAGTATATTTGGTTTCATTGAGTTACATATGGCAAAACCTTCACAACAGATGTTTACCTTTTCCCACAGAAAGGATATGATCATTTCTCTCTCTCTCTCTCTCTCTCTCTCTCTCTCTCTCTCTCTCTCTCTCTCTCTCTCTCTCTCTCTTTAATAGAAATTCATTGTTTGCAAGTTCTTCTAGGAGTGGTGCCCANCCCCACAGGGACGACGTGTGGGGAGGCGTGTGAGAGGCGGAGAGACTATTAAAAGATTAGGCGGTTTTTCTTTCATGTATGTCCGCCATTTTTAGGTCACCGGCTTTGTAAAGCCTGGCTTAATTCGTTGAGAATGCGCTCATTGACTCAATACATGCCAAATGTTACTTATGTTTTCCTTCAATTTGGTGAGTCTTTGTTTGGTTGAAAAAGGTTCCTTTTGAAAAATGAGCAAGAGTCAGATTATTTTTAAGAAAATCCATTTTTTCTTGTTTTATGTCTGTATTATTGACCCCCTTTACTGTCATATATCAAAGCAATTTCGCCTACTAAACTTCCTTCCTCCTTGAAAAAGGCTGACATGTACTGGGTTCTATGATCTGGTATTAGGCCCTTCCTGTGTATTATTAAAAACCATTACCATGCAGAGAAGAAAGGTGAGAAAGACAAGATGAATAGGTTGTCATTTATCCTTTGGTGTTTTTCTCCAGAAAATGAAATGCTGTCAAAGAGAAAATATAGCTAAACCCTTTTGAGTATTAATGATTACTCGCATCTAATCAAGATTTTGCATGGAAATTTCCGCCGGTTTTAAAAAAGCTTATTATCAGCAAAATATAATACATGCAGTTGAACAGTCTATTAAATTGTAACAGGTTTTTTTTTTAGTTTTTTTTATATAATTACTATCCCTGCACTTTTGGGACAAACGTAGGGGCTCATGTTATCCCCCGCCCTGTCCGTCCTGTCCTGAATTAATATTTAGATGCTATTTGTTTGGATGCAAGATTAACTACACTTTCAAATTGTTAAAATATTGATAATGTCTTTAAGTTTACTTATTTTTGAAGTTGTTTTAAACACGTTCAGAACAAAATCTACAATACTTCTCATTTAACAAGATATGTTATGTTTTTATAATCAGATTAATCGTACAGGTTGAATTGTATTGGTTTTCAAAAAGAATTTTGACACTTATTTCAGGTCATTATTGGTGTAACTCGATAGGATAACAGCGGGCGTCATGTCCACAGTAAAACAGGTGGCGCTGCTACCAGCGGGCAGCCAGCCATGGAACAATGACATGTGTGCCGTGAGTGGAAACCGTTTTGCTTACTGCGCAACGCTGGCCATCTACATTTACCAGGTAAGACAGCCTCACTTTGGTTTCATAATTTCATCCACGTCAAAAGTAATTTAATTATTTTTTGCGTCAAACAAAAAAACCAACACAACAGAAAGGATGTATGGCTACACTTGTGTGTATTGTATAATGTAGAAATAAAGATAACTTAAGGTTATGACTATGTATTAGGTGGATGAGAAATAGGCATCCTGAACTTTATTAAGTCAGTGACTTCAGTCAACAAAAGTTTGATTTCATGATGGTTTTTACTGAATGAACAATGCATAGGTAACTTTAATTTTCACTTTGTCACTTGATGTAGATTTATGGAATTCATCAGGAAAAAAACTTAAATGAAAAAAAGTATACAATCGTATCAAACTATATGAATGAAATAAAAGATTACCCAACTTATACAGCAAAGTACTAACTGTCATCTACTCGGCAGACTTACTGTAATTTTAGCAGTTGCTTTTAATACATTTTTTTTACCTCATTGTTTCAGTGTGATGAACAGTTCAATGAATTCCAGCTGCATTCCATTCTTTCTGAGCACAGTAAAACCATCACTGCTATCGCCTGGAACATGAGGGAGATGGACTTGATTGTCAGTGCTGGCGCTGATCATCAGGTGAGTCGCTGACCTCCAGGCAGCCATTGTACAAAGTCTTCAAGTAAAAGGTGAAATCTTTAATTAGCTGATTTGAGCATGGGTAAAAGATTTCAGGATTATGCCTGATTAAAGGATTTTCAGTCTTCATTTTGATGTTTTTATTTTCATAAGGTCTAAATGGGATGAGAAATTGCGAGCTAGGTTTTCAAGATTTTCGGTATTTACAATTTTCACCCACGCTTTAAGCATTTATACCATAGAGTTCAAGATCATGCTTGAATAGATCTACTGTCCACATTCCCTCCTCAAAAAGTTCAGCCTTTTTAAAGCTGTATTTTAAGCATTTTTACAGGAGACTTTCAGATAATGCACTCACACTGATGGATTACATTTACATGACTTAATTACAGCATATCAATCAACTCTGTTTAAAGGGATACAATGAGCTTTAGACCTGTTTATATAAAATTGACATTTACAATAAGAAAGATGTTTTTTTTTCTTTCTTTACTATATGGAGTCTTACATGCATTGCAAAGTTTTTAAGACAGGAGGTTACAAGCCTATAGGTATCACAGAAAACAAGCCTTGAGGCGAGGATTTTGTGTTTGTAAGCATTTTGTTTTTCTAGGTCATTGTATGGGATGTAGCCAAGCAGACCATTGTTGCAAGACTGGAAAAAATTAAAGAAGTTCCATGTTCAGTTGGATGGTGTTTGCACGAGAAAGATACAGTGTCCTTTATCTGTGGACGGGGGCCATTTTTGATGTGGAATTATGGGTCTGACAAAGCAGCTGGCATAAGTCACCATAGGGAAGCCAACAGTTTCTCGTCACCTGTTTGTCAGTTTCGCTGGCACCATAAAAAAATGGGCAAGCTTGTAATAGGACACAGAGACGGAAGTTTATCATTTTTTTCCCCAGGTAATTAAAAAATAAAAATAAAAAATTTCACTGTCAGGGGTGATCAGTATATTTCAAATTTGATTTGATTGTGAAATTTGTTTTGAAATAAAACTTGTCACCTGGGTGAGTGAAGTTATTCTGAATTCAGCCAATTATTTCATTATCCACAGGAAGTAAAGCCCACAAACACGTGCTGAGACCAGAGGCAGTTGAAGAGGATGACCTTGAAGAGGACCCCGTGGATGCACTGGAGTGGGACCCGCTGTCCACAGACTATCTGTTAGCTGTAAACCGAGACTGTGGGATACGGCTGATAGATTCTGCTGGGCTGTCTGTCCTCACGCAGTTTCAGCTGCCCAGTGTGGCAGCGAGGGTGCACACGCTGGCGTGGGTGGACACGGCTCCAGGAATGTTCCTAACTGGAGGTAGGCTTTAGGGTATATGTAAAATTATCTAATGGTATGTTATATTGTTTTTAAAGAGAAAAAGCATGGGTGATTTTTAAAAAAATCATAAATTTGAAACTGTTGTAGAAAATTTTTGGCAGAAATATTGAATTGTTTATGTTCATGAAATGTATAGATGTTAAGTATTTGACTAAAATTTACCTATTTAAAGAAAGTTACATGCGAAGTGAGCGTACTTTCTCTTTTTTTTTTTTCTTCTTCTTCTTCTTCTTCTTCTTCTTTTTCTTCTTCTTCTTATGGATGCTGCAGCTGAGATCTCCCATGTCCCCTCCATACTTCCTTGCCAAACAACAGCATGGCCAGCTCCCTCACATCTGCTGCCCCCTTGTCCCTCTCTAGTGTATCTGCCTAGCTGGGTCTGGGAAACATGTCCCTTCTCATGGTGCCCATGTATTTATTTATTTATTTATTTATTTATTTATTTATTTATTTATTTATTTATTTATTTATTCATTCATTCATTCATTCATTCATTCTATTTGAAACTATATGGTGACCTTGGGTTGGATTTGAAAAAATGATTTATCATCTCGCTTCATATGCCTCATTAAAACTAGAACAAAACATATGGATTTTGTTGGCCTTGACACAGCAATTCTGTAGCCATGAAGTCATATCTTTTTATAAAGCTGATTAGTTCTAGGAATTAGAAATCCATGACAGCTGTACTGTTTTGTGGTGTATGTTGTTTGTGCCAGTAGGTGGTATGTGTTTATGTGTAATTATGTGTTAATGTGTAATTATGTGTTAATGTGTAATTATGTGTTTATGTGTAATTATGTGTTTATGTGTAATTATGTGTTAATGTGTAATTATGTGTTTATGTGTTTGTAATTATTTATAATTATAGTATAGTGTGCATTGATGTTAAAATTTATGGACACTTTGAAAGAATCCAAGCATTATCATAGAAAAGCAAAATAAACAAATGAATAAAAATAAATTAAATAAAATGTATAATAATTTATGAATTTGAAAGGAAAAGAAAAAAATTCAAAAGGCCTGTGACAAGTTTGTGAAAATTTATCAGTTTTTTTTACAATTTGTTTAATCTTGGGTGTCTGACAAAAATTGTAAATTTAAAGAAACTAATATGAAAAAGTACATATACTCTTTCTATTTAAAATTACATAATTTCAGATGCTAATACTGGTATTCTCCGCCTGTGGAATGTATCCAAGTCCACCCCAATAGAAAACATCAAGCTGAAGAAGACCGGGTTTCACTCCTTATGTGTCTACTGCAGCTGGCCCCATATCGGTACCAAAGACAACAATTTAAAATCCGCTGGTCCAGCCTCGCCACCAGCTGGCACCACCAGCACTCACTTCGCTCTCCCGCCTGCACACGCTGTATGCACATTTGTGGACGGTGGTGTGGGACTCTATGACCTGGGGAAGAGAAAATGGGATTTTTTAAGAGAACAGGTAATTTATCACAATTACATGAACTGTTCAGAATTTGGTCTAATGTGTCATTTTGATTTTTTGATTGAGCACATTTTATCATGACTTTTTTTTCTTTGGTCATTTCATTCAAATTTGCAATTTATTAAAATTTCTTTGGGTGGATTCAAAACCAATACAAACATCACACAGGTACGCTGAAATTTTACTTCATGCACTCCCTAAATTGGTACAAAAGCTGGGAATGTTTTTAGTTTGTCAAAATGCAGGGTTTAAAGATATGCAGATATGCCCTTCATATTCATTATAGCCCTGCATACTTGTGTATATTTACTAAAACAATCTAGTATACACTGCTTCCCTTCTCGTACACACACACACACATGCACGTACGCACACACACACACACACACACACACACACACACACACACACACACACACTGTATATTAAGTCTAAGATATGACAGGTCTGAAAGTAATTTTGTACAAAAAATTATATAAGATGCTGAATTTTGAGGTCATTGATGGGGCTTTAAAATGATAAGATGTGGAAAATTTGGTCTAGATCTATAATTCACGCCTAAACTTGGGGTTATAAGTAACTGATGAGAACCATTATGGGGAAAGTGCAGAAAATACAATTTATTTTCCATACCGCATAGTGGATATTTTGCAGCTGTAAGTAATCACCTTGATATTCAATAGGTTATCAGTCCGCCGTGTCCAGTCTTCTCTTTGAGTTACCCAGAACTGTAGATACATGTAAACATGTCTCTAACCAAAATGATTGTCGTCATGGCCTACATGTTGAAGATAAATTAACTTAGTTGCATGAGGGATTCCTGTGAACAGGAATTAACAAAACCTACGCATTTATTAAATATCACCTTATTTCTGCTGTTTTTGACGTGTTAATTAACAGACATCATGCGCATACTGGCTCCAATTTTCACTGAATCATATATGTTTGTTCTAATTAGTTTAGTTTCTGTTACAGCATGGGAACATGAACAAGAAATTCTTATCCACAATAGAAAGCACACAAACATATGCAGAGCTTATAACAAAATCCAATTTATTAAATAGCACCTTATTTATGTTATTATTGACCCTTGTTAATTATATTAACAGGTATCATTGACTCACAGGATCCAATTTTCACCAAATCATACCATCATACTTACATGTACATACTGCTAAATATGCTTGGTACACAAAATCTACAACAACTTCCACAGGATCTGCACATAGGTCATATAAATTATAAAAGTTTTATCTACATATACATTAATATTAGTATTTTATTTCCATTAGCCTATGTTTACATGTGATTTATTTTTATATATTATATTTCCACATAAACCTTGCCAGTCCAGAGGACCTGCATTATCCAAAATTTTGCCAATCCTCTGGTTTTTCAGATCAGACCTGCAGTTTCCCAATGTCTGCAAAATAGAATATTTTCAGTGGCAATAAAAATAAAAAATAAGCTTGTAACCATAAAATACTTACTTGATTTTTTTCAATGGACAAAAATTATTTATCTTTGAGATACATAATTTAAGTAATCATAAAAATGCATATAAATGCATTCTTGGTACTCTTACTGTTTAGAAAAGAACTATAGAGTAGCCTGCTTTTCATTTTTGTTGCTTCCACTCAATAGGAATGTTCACATTTTAAGAATTTGTGACTTAAAAATATACTATCTTTAAAATTTGCAATATACCTGTCAAGAAGAATATTGTGTCATTACCATGTTTTTAGCTTAATATTTAACAGATATGTACATAAACCGTGTCTGGGTAGCATGCACCTGGAGACTAATTTGGACTCTGTTAGATATCTCAACTTGATGTTGTCAAGGTAACAATGCAGCTTAGGTGACAATCAGTTTATTTTTTCATTAATAAGTATCTCTACCAAGGAATTTTTCTTCCCTGTGACAGTTACTAATAGATTTCAATAATAAAGATAGGTCAGAAATGGGCCAGCTTAATGGAGTTGCATAGATTTTGATGGTGACCTACTATAATGGTGAGAATTGAGCTACCTTGGCGGAGGTTTGCACTCTCAGAGTGGTGAAACTGTCTGACTATTTTGCAATATTCTCAAAGTGATATTGAAACTGATAATGTTTTCAGTGTGATTTATTGAGATATGTGTACACAGCTGTGTGTCTTAGAGCTATTTTCAGTATGACTGTTGCTACATTTAGACTTGGCTATTCATTTTCTTGTTAGCACTTGTGTCTTCATTTCTTGCAACATCTAATTAATTGAAGTGATAAAAAGAAAGATTGTTATTGGGTACCTGGCTTATTATCAGGCAAGTGAAGAAAATAGCTAAGTTTAAAAGATATGCTATATATTAGGCATTGATTAAGGAGCAGGCTGGCCGCTGAAAAGTTGTTGAGGTCCTGCCAACTCTGTACAGTAGTTTTGTATTTCCAGGGACATGTTGAAATGATATAAACTGTATAAAGTAGTACATTTTTGTATTTCCAGGGTCATATTGAGACAATATTTGACTGCAAGTTCAGTCCAGACAGTGCAGATCTCCTAGCTACGTCAAGCTTTGATGGCACAATCAAAATATGGGATGTTCATACTCTCACGCCTGTGAGTTTATTTACCACTCTAGTGGTTTGTTAGTAATGAAAAATGTAAGAAGTATATAAAAATTTTTAAGTGGCATGTTTCTTGAGAGGGGTTGAAAAATAGACCTTGCCTTTGAAAGTGACCGTAGAGTGGATGTAATTGAATCAGATGTGTGTGCCTGCATGTCTGCGTGTGTGTGTGTGTGTGTGTGTGTGTGTGTGTGTGTGTGTGTGTGTGTGTGTGTGTGTGTGTGTGTGTGTGTGTGTGTGTGTGTGTGTGTGTGTGTGTGTGTGTGTGTGAGAGAGAGAGAGAGAAAGAGAGAGAGTTAGAATGAGCAAGGGAAGATAGGGATGAATGAAGAAAGCAGAAAAAAGTGGATGAAGCATGAAATAAAGCATATAATGTTGAAACAAAACAAAACAAAAATCGTACATATTTTGCCAGGTGGCCTCCTCTCCTGGCAATGAGGGAGTAATCTACAACATCTCCTGGGCACCTGCAGACCTCAACTGTATCGCAGCATCCACATCACGGAATGGAGCATTCATCTGGGACGTTCAAAAGGGGAAAGTTATTAAACGATTTCATGAGGTAAAGGAAAACTTTTATAACTAAGCCATTAGATAACAAACTGTAGTATTTGAAGGTTGTACCATTTTTATTGTTGTTCATGGAGCAGGGTTACCCTTCCCATTTAAATTAGGATTATGTAATTTTCAAAATTATTATGTTCTTTTTTCATAAAGGGCAATATAAAAACACCCTTTTTAATATTATTTCTCTACATTTCACTGAAGAGCAAGATGGGATTCTTTTCAATCAGCACTGCTGTTTGAATTAATAATTAAAGAAATAATCAAATAATTTGCTTCTAGCATATCAGACTAAATAGCAGGCAAGCATCACTAAAGATATTACACAGTTATCTAGCCTGAGAAAAGAAATGTTGCAGGTCATTTTTCACTAATTGTCATTGATTTGGTAAAGATAAAATTCTTTGACTCATACAAAAAGGATAAAGATATGCTGAAGTGATCCTAGAGTTTATTGTTATTTTCCAGCATGGTCGCTACCCAGTCTATACCATAGCATGGTGTCAGAAAGACGCCAAGAGAATCGCTTCAGGAGGAGGCGATGGTTCGTGGTGAGCAAAAGTTTTTTTTTCCTTTTTATGTGTAAAGAAAATTGTTGAGGAAATTGCTGAGTTGTGCACAAAATGTTATAAAGATTTCATTGAGCTTCACTTTTATGCCAGGAGTTTTTTTTTTATTGCTTTGTGTTCTATCCCTCAGTTGAAGATAAATAGAGTGTAATAGACTATTATATATAGGGACAGGTTTGAAGCAAATTTTTTTTTGATATTATTAATTTTGTCAAAGGAAATTATTTTGGATTATTTATACTAAATAAAATGTCCATTGAAACTGGACTGTTAAACCCTACATAATTAAAAATTGAACACTACTTATCTGCATTTGGAAGCCTGCATTTTTAGACGAGTCATCTCAAATTGAAAAATAGAAATTATCAATCTTCATTTTCTCGTGACAACTATTTGTAGACAGGATATACCTTGGTGATTAAGGGAAAATGTTTAAATGTCCTGCAAAATTCATTTTTTTTACTACATTTAGGTTTCACGCACATTAATTGTTTGTCTTAAGCTTAAAAAAAAAGGAAAACCGAGACAGATAAGATTGACTCTCCGACCACTTCTTTTCACTTGAGAAACTTGAAGTTAGACAGTTGCAAACATCGATGACATTTCCAGTGGGAGTGAAGTGGCAGTATCTTATGCAACACACACGTCTGCTCTGATGTCATTAATACAAACAAATGAGAGTTGTGAAGTAAATATTGGATCGCATAGAGAATATTCAAATGCCACCAAGTTTTCATTTACCATTTTTGTTATCAGTCATTTGTGGTATGTGTACTGCACATTTTGTGTTGTTTTAGTTTCCCCCAGTTGGCTGTTCTTGAAATAAATTTATTGATTTCCAAAAATTTTCAGTTTTTCAGAATTTTGTTCCGTAATTTTTTATCAAATCTTTGCAATATAGCTGCATTATTATAGATATTTTTAGAGGTAGCCAACTTAATAACCTTGCTATTACATAAGAGAATCCTTTATAAGGTGTTTTTCCCATGACACAGTCAGTAAATTAATTCTGCAGGATGCAAACCTACAGAGATATCTTGAAAGTGAGGTAAATCCCCTGCAGAGTAATTACACCCACTCCAAACACCAGTACAGCTATACTGCTAAGATACACAATGCTCTACATGCATTATCAGGCCCCTAGCCAGCAATTTCTAAAGGGGGGTTCTTTTTCTGAAAAAGTGCACCTTTTACCATGAAACCTTCATGTACCTAGATACAATTTTACCCAGAAGAGACCTTTCCCAGGCAAAAAGGGGGGTTGTTTCAACCCCCCCCCCCACCCCCCCCGGCTATGGGCCTGATTATTATACTATATACTGAATCAAGTTAATAACACAGCTGAACATTGTTTTACAGTGTGATTCGTCAGGTTGATGGGAAGTTGATCATGAAGTACAGGCATCCAGCTCCAGTGTTTGGTTGCGACTGGAGCCCACATAACAAGTAATATATAATATTATTTTGTACTCTTATATTTTTACTTCCTTAGTTTTAGTAAAATATTGAGTAAATAAAAGGGCAATTCTTTAAAGAGTGGTTAGCTTAAGTCTACCACAGGTGAGAATATTGATATCAAGGGAGTATATTCTAATTTTGATTATCTTGTATTTCATCTTTGTACCCTAGTACTTGTTATTGCTTTAAAAGTATATGTATGATTTTATACAGGGTTGATGGATAACCAATATTGTGCAACAAATGATAAGCCTACTGTGTTTATTCTGTCAGTAACATTTATTTCATATTATATTTTTATCATGATTATCATAAAACCACACAATGATGGCTTCACTTTTGAAAGTTTCACCAAATTGCTAATGTAATACATGATAATTTCCTGTTCTCAAAAGTCTGTCAAGTGAATTAAGGGTTTTTGCAGTGAACACTTCACAACCTCAAGGTATTATTTTAGGGATATGCTGGCCACAGGCTGTGAAGATAAATGTGTCCGGGTTTATTATTTGGCAACGACAGCAGATCAGCCACTCAAGATATTTAGTGGTCAGTGGGAATATTATTTATAATTAGTAAAGCAGTTTAAAAAAAAAAAGAATTTAAAGTCAGTTCTTATCCCATATACCAGCAGCAATACAAATTTTAAATGAACTTAATTAAACTTATTATTTTATGTTGTGTTACTTTTAACCTGACTTGTATTAGGGGAAATTGGTCATTTTATCAACAGATCACATAGACTTTCATTTCATACTTGTGTATGGCCATAAATTATATTTATATCTTATCATTCTGCCTGTGATGTTTTTGCTGTACTGTAATAATCAGTATGTTTTTTTTTTCCATTAGGCCACCATGCCAAGGTTTTCCATGTCAAATGGTCCCCTCTGAGAGAGGGAATTCTATGCAGCGGCTCAGATGACAGGTAACCGAATATTAAAAAAAAATCCTATAGGTACCATCTGTCTACATAGATCAACCTATAAATATTGATTTTTAACAAGGATGATGAAGTGTATTTTTCACTACCAAGTAACTGCCCACTTTGCCCTTTAACAACATATTTTGTTCTTTGTATCTCTGCAGATAAAACAAAAAGCATAGTAATTATATGCAATTGTCATATACAAATGAAAAGAAAAAAGGAAAGAGGTATTCACATTCTGACTTGCTATTTTCCAGCACTATTAGAATCTGGGACTATACCCAAGATTCCTGCATTAGTGTTTTGAGTGGTCACAAAGCACCAGTTCGTGGTTTGTTGTGGAACACAGAAATCCCGTATCTGCTGATCTCCGGGAGCTGGGACTACTCTATATGTATCTGGGATATAAGAGATGGTGCCTGTGTAGATACTATTCTGGACCATGGAGCTGATGTATATGGTGAGAAGCATACATATTACTGCTGCCAGTTTCTTACACAACTCAAGTAAAGTCCCCCCCCCCCCCCCAAAAAAAAAAAAGAAAAAAGAAAAAGGAAAAGAAAAAAAAAGTCAATTGAAACTGCACCTTCTTCAAATTTCTTGTCAAGAACTTGACTTACCGCATTTATCCATCCCTCCAGTTTGTGATGAAGCACAATATGAAACAAAAAGAAGCAATGACACAAAACTCTATGGTCTTTCTTTACATTATACTATTTGAAACTATAAGGTGATATTTGGTCATGTTAAGTGGCAAAAATTTCACACGTTTACTTGCTTTAATATGCTCTTTTAACAGTAAACCCATAGGCATCTAAAAAATTGCATATGTAATTTTTTTCTCTCTGTGTCACAGTGGTAACATTTCTCAATTTCCAGGCTTGACATGCCATCCATCTCGTCCCTTTGTCCTTGCGTCGTGCTCGCGAGACTCCACGCTGCGCATCTGGTCACTTCTACCCCATGTCCAGCCCCTTCAAGTGACCGTCTTGGCCAAGAGACCCTGGTCTGAGGTCTTTGGGACTGTGGGTAGGTGCTTTAATTGACAATCGAAAAATCTCCAAGAACTAATGTAATATTAGTATTTTTCTGTAAGTGCAAAAAACATTGGGATGCTGTAAAACTTAGGGCTATTATAGCAAGATGTTATTTATTATTATTTTTTTAAATTTAATTTAATTAATTAATTTATTTATTTATTTTTCGAGGTAGATTTTCTACTACTTATTGAATAGAAGTATTCATTTGTCATTTTATTTGGACAGAACCAAAATCAAAATAAATATAAGCAAAAACTATATAATGTGTGTGCTGGAGCCCAGGAAGAAGACTCCTATAAAACAAATCCAAACCTCTAAGTGCTGATAATAATCAAAGTGTTGTCCTCACATTATTCATCAAACTACTCCATGTGCATTACAGTATTGAACACAATAGCATTGTGTGAAGATAATTAGCATAATTTTATTACACACTGATGTTACATCTAGAAAATAGGTCAAACAGAAATATTTAGATAAACATATGTAAGGACTTTCAAGGTTTATATCGAGTCACCATGATATAGATCTTTAAGAAAAAAATATATATGAATAAATAAATAAATATATAAATAAATGATGCATCTGTGTAAGTCTACTATAAAGATGTAACATCCTATCCAAGTTTTTGGCCTCTAGGCCTTCTTCAGGGATTTGAAAAAAAAAAATATAAGGATTTTCAAATTACTGTGTTGTTATTTAATCTCACTGGCTGTTGCAGAACTTGGGTCAACTCCAGGTACTTCACCGTTGCTGACAGGCAAGGCTTCCAGAGATTTAAAACTTTCTATAGATGAACTCCAGGGTGATATACATGCCAAAACACTTAGACTTTTCTCTGAGTTCTTCATGGTAAGAAATTCTGAGCTTTTTTTTTTTTTTAGAATTGTTTTTTTTTTATAAAAATCTTAAAGAAACTTGTACAATTTTTTTTAAAGTTCAGAATCTGCAGATGTTTTTGAAGTAAATAGGTTTAATTAAGACCATAAAATATATTGTAATGCATTACTCAACATTATTGTGAAAGTCTAAAAGCATGATGGCAATTTTCACCATAGCTCTTTTGTCAGTGCATTGTACATATCAATACGTATTCAATATACGTCCTTGTTTTTTGCCACCATGAAACCTTCATCACTGTAGTCGTAGAAAGGAGGCACAAGCGTCACTTTGGTTGCAGAATGAATGCTCAATAATTGTCTAGTTGTGGGCATGTAAATATTTGGCGAACCAACGAGCCCAAAAACACAACTTCCTTGGTGGAGATATAATATTGATAAATGGTACTTAGTTTATTGTGTAATACACATGACATGCCCTGGATATTTGTCTTCTAGCACCCTGGGGAAACTCAGAACCTGTGGGAGCTGATATCTGTGATACAAGGCGTGGATGACATCATGCTGTCATCAACATACAAGAAGGGGATAATGCATGTTAAACATCTAGTCCAACATAAGGGGGTAAGTACAGTTAATGTGGGGATGATTCCCATACTCTATTGTACTAGCAGGATTGGTCTATCTCCAAGGGGTTTCTCACTACATTGCATTTAGTTTAAGTATGCACGAAAGTTAATTACCCCCCTAGCACCTTCAGTGGGTGTGACAGACATTTAAGCCACTTAAACTGAATGCAATTCAGCGAGAATCCCCTTCATAGTTACATCGATCTTGCTATTATGATAGGTTTATGGGAACCCAGTCATTGTCTACTTAAAATGTGAGAGATTCAGTCTGTGGGTCTCAGAGTACTTCAACATCAGGTCATCACACATTTGATCTGTGATTTGTATGGTTGTGTTTTTCAATCAGTCTTAATTGGTTTAACACATATATATATANAAAAAAAAAGCCCCCCCCCCCCCCCCCAAAAAAAAAAAAAAAAAAAAATCAATTGAAACTGCACCTTCTTCAAATTTCTGTTGCAGCACAATATGAAACAAAAAGAAACAATGAAACAAAACTCTATGGTCTTTCTTTACATTATACTATTTGAAACTATAAAGTGGTATTTGGTCATGTTAAGTGGCAAAAATTTCACACGTTTACTTGCTTTAATATGCTCTTTTAACAATAAACCCATAGGCATCTAAAAAATTTGCATATGTAATTTTTTTCTCTCTGTGTCACAGTGGTAACATTTCTCAATTTCCAGGCTTGACATGCCATCCATCTCGTCCCTTTGTCCTTGCGTCGTGCTCGCGAGACTCCACGCTGCGCATCTGGTCACTTCTACCCCATGTCCAGCCCCTTCAAGTGACCGTCTTGGCCAAGAGACCCTGGTCTGAGGTCTTTGGGACTGTGGGTAGGTGCTTTAATTGACAATCGAAAAACCTCCAAGAACTAATGTAATATTAGTATTTTTCTGTAAGTGCAAAAAACATTGGGATGCTGTAAAAGTTAGGGCTATTATAGCAAGATGTTATTTATTATTATTTTTTTTAATTAAATTTAATTAATTTATTTATTTATTTATTTTTCGAGGTAGATTTTCTACTACTTATTGAATAGAAGTATTCATTTGTCATTTTATTTGGACAGAATCAAAATAAATATAAGCAAAAACTATATAATGTGTGTGCTGGAGCCCAGGAAGAAGACTCCTATAAAACAAATCCAAACCTCTAAGTGCTGATAATAATCAAAGTGTTGTCCTCACATTATTCATCAAACTACTCCATGTGCATTACAGTATTGACCACAATAGCATTGTGTGAAGATAATTAGCATAATTTTATTACACACTGATGTTACATCTAGAAAATAGGTCAAACAGAAATATTTAGATAAACATATGTAAGGACTTTCAAGGTTTATATCGAGTCACCATGATATAGATCTTTAAGAAAAAAATATATGAATAAATAAATAAATATATAAATAAATGATGCATCTGTGTAAGTCTACTATAAAGATGTAACATCCTATCCAAGTTTTTGGCCTCTAGGCCTTCTTCAGGGATTTGAAAAAAAATGTATAAGGATTTTCAAATTACTGTGTTGTTATTTAATCTCACTGGCTGTTGCAGAACTTGGGTCAACTCCAGGTACTTCACCGTTGCTGACAGGCAAGGCTTCCAGAGATTTAAAACTTTCTATAGATGAACTCCAGGGTGATATACATGCCAAAACACTTAGACTTTTCTCTGAGTTCTTCATGGTAAGAAATTCTGAGCTTTTTTTTTTTTTTAGAATTGTTTTTTTTATAAACATCTTAAAGAAACTTGTACAATTTTTTTTAAAGTTCAGAATCTGCAGGTGTTTTTGAAGTAAATAGGTTTAATTAAGACCATAAAATATATTGTAATGCATTACTCAACATTATTCTGAAAGTCTAAAAGCATGATGGCAATTTTCACCATAGCTCTTTTGTCAGTGCATTGTACATATCAATATGTATTCAATATACGTCCTTGTTTTTTGCCACCATGAAACCTTCATCACTGTAGTCGTAGAAAGGAGGCACAAGCGTCACTTTGGTTGCAGAATGAATGCTCAATAATTGTCTAGTTGTGGGCATGTAAATATTTGGCGAACCAACGAGCCCAAAAACACAACTTCCTTGGTGGAGATATAATATTGATAAATGGTACTTAGTTTATTGTGTAATACACATGACTTGCCCTGGATATTTGTCTTCTAGCACCCTGGGGAAACTCAGAACCTGTGGGAGCTGATATCTGTGATACAAGGCGTGGATGACATCATGCTGTCATCAACATACAAGAAGGGGATAATGCATGTTAAACATCTAGTCCAACATAAGGGGGTAAGTACAGTTAATGTGGGGATGATTCCCATACTCTATTGTACTAGCAGGATTGGTCTATCTCCAAGGGGTTTCTCACTACATTGCATTTAGTTTAAGTATGCACGAAAGTTAATTACCCCCCTAGCACCTTCAGTGGGTGTGACAGACATTTAAGCCACTTAAACTGAATTCAATTCATCGAGAATCCCCTTCATAGTTACATCTATCTTGCTAGTATGATAGATTTATGGGAACCCAGTCATTGTCTACTTAAAATGTGAGAGATTCAGTCTGTGGGTCTCAGAGTACTTCAACATCAAGTCATCACACATTTGATCTGTGATTTGTATGGTTGTGTTTTTCAATCAGTCTTAATTGGTTTAACACATATATATANTGTCATCCCTTTCAACATGGCCACAGGGCAGGCGGAGGAACTAGTCAAATATTTCACCAGTAGGGGGCAGTTCCATGACGCTGTTCTAGTTGCCCAGGTGGCCTGTGAGAATATTCTTCCTACCTTTGAGCAGAAGAATCGGAGGTCCATGAACCATGTGGATAGGTCAAAGGAGAATGGTGGGAAGGATTTGACCAGGTGGGGAAAGTTTGTTTTATATTACAAAAGCAAGTTACCTTATTTGTTGTTCTATAACTGTTGATTTAATACCTCAATGCCATTGCCTTTCAAGATAACATAATGATGTCATCAAACATCTGATTGGTCATAAAATGTGTCCTTTTCTCTGATTGGTCATAAAGTATATATGATATTTTAAGGCCAGTAATGTATATGAAAAAACAGAATGTATCAAATAGTAGAATTTTCACCTCTGATAATGGGGGTATAACAGAATTCTCATTTAAGTATACATTTAAATATTAACCTATCTCAATATGGTACCTATGTAATTGTTTGGTCATAGCCTTTGTAAAATTGTGCTAGAACTAATAAAGATTATTATTATTATTATTATTATTATTATTATTATTATTATTATTATTATTATTATAGAACCAGCTGCTATAGCCTCTCAGTATTTTGTTCGGTGGTGCGACAGAATCAGTCAGTAATAAGTTCTATCATACCTCTGAGTTATAGATATAAGATAAAAAACTGTGCTGATTACATGATAATGTCTTCATTTGTCCTCAGTCTCCTGCAAAGTGTATCTAACACACTGGCAGACTGGCACTTCAGGAATGGAGCTCCAATCAGGGCTGCCTGCTGCCACCTGGCGGTAGGGGATTGCCATGTAAGTAACTATAGGGGGCACCTTAAGACAATATGCTATGTACATAAATGGGGTAGACATTCAAATGATACACTTCAAGTTAAACAGGACCCCTCATTCCCATCTAACTCTTACAAAAAATTACTTTAGGTCATCCCTGTGGGACTCTAGAGATTCTGTCAGATGTCCTATAGGATTCATATCTAGGATATATGTCCTATAGGATTTTGGGCCAATTTTCCAATAAGACCCTATAGGATATTTTTTTAAGAGTGTAGTCTCTCTCACTGAAGCTTCCTATACTACCAGACAACTATGCAAGAGGATATTGTTACAATTAATTTTATGGTAAATAAGCATCTTGTGTAAGGTGATTGTTTGTAAGAGGGCATTACCATTGAGAAATGATTAGTGAGTGAAAGTGATTTATGTTGATCTTGTTATTAAGTATTTACATGAAGACTGACATGAAGAAACATTTGAATGCTTTTTAAGTGATGAAAATCATTTTACTGAGGAGTGCCAGGATGTCATGGGTCTGAAATTGATAATTACCTATTATTTTGTGTCTAAGTGGAGACTTCTGTTTCAGAGTGCCATGTCCAAGCTTATTCGAGGTAATGCCCTGGAGCTGGCGGTGAGTGCTGGCACCGTGTTGAAGAACGTTCCCCAGCTCACAGAGGTCGCCACCGAGTATCTGTCTCGTAAATGTGAGAAGATTGGAAGATGGTGAGTGTTCTTGTGTCACACCTAACGCAATGGGTTGGGTTCCTATGTCACACCTAACACAATGGGATGTGTTACTATCCTGCTTTCATATTGGGCTTGGTTCTTAACATTTAACTAACAACTGGTTGCACATTTCATATTATGCCAGTTGCATTGAATTACATTTGAATCACAACTAGCACAGTTTGTTGTGCTGCCGCAGCCAATCTAATTTAAATGTAAAAGCTGATATTACAGGGGCGGATCCAGAGATATTTTCTGACAGTCTTCCAAATTATCTTTGTTAGTCTATCCTCCATTTTTGACCGTCTTCCGACAGAAAAATTGTATACCTGTCAATGTAAACTTAAAAAGCTGACTGTCTTCCGGAAGACCCAGAAGACGGCCTCAATCTGCCCCTGTATTAACATAACTAACAAATGACGTGAATTTTTTGAACTCTTCATTTTCAGTTTTCAAAACCATATGAATGAAGTACAATATATTATTTTACGTTTTACCTCATTGTTGGAATTTTGTGTTTTCTTTTTTTCTTTGAACTTTTTTGCATAGGTTTGGATTTGATGGAAGGTATATATTATGATACATGTAGATCAAGACTTCTTTGTAATTACGATTTTTGTGGCATGTTCTTTATCCCTGCAATGGATTGCTCTATCCTGATGCATGTCAAATTTGGTCTGTTATTTGTTCATGTAGAAATGAGGATGGCCATGCATTAGTATTAGTAATATATAGTGGAATAGTTTTGGCAACTTGACTTCACTTTGCCTTTTTATAATGTACTTGTTTCTGAAATATTGACTTTCAGCATGCTTTCATGTTATAAATATTTCCTCTCTGTGTGATAACAACTAAGAGTGTTTCTGGACTGTGGCACTGCTTCTGGCAAATGAAAACTCAAAATCTGCACAGTTGTTCTTTGCTGTGTTTTTCTAGTTTATTCACAGGCACATTCAGAATTATACAAATCTTGAATTAGAAGTAGACTAATTAACTGGCATCAGCAGATTAAAAAAAAACACACACAAAAGAACACCATAGATTCTTAAAACCCTATGTTGGAGGCTCTGTTTAGGCTATACTGTTAAGATATAACACTCAATATGAAAAGGCCTAAAAGATCTGATAGCCTTTAGTTAGACTATTTCTGGTTTACCTGAGAGCAGTACTAAATGGGCTTTCAGATACCACAGAGCAGTAATTTAATAGATAAAACATTATTTTTACTGGCACTTATGTTGAAAGTGGCAGTTGAATGTACTGACACATGGTTTAAGGGACCATTAAAGTCCTTTGTAAAAAAAAACAAACATTTTTGTAATATTTTCATGAATAGTATCTATACAAGCTAGTGTTTAGAATTGTACAATTGTACAGCTTATTATTTAACACCACAGTGCAAACGAAAAAAAAGAGACATGGTTGTTTGGCAGTGTGTTTGCGTGTTTAACTTTTTTTGTTTTTTTTTTCTCTAGGGATTTAGCCATAGATCTTTTGAAGACCATTCCTGATAATGATCTGCCAGTCATCAAGTTATGTGCCAGATATGTGGAGAGTGCTACAGAGATCAACAGCCTGCACCAGAAGGTACTTGTATGGATAGAATATAATGCACTACATCAGGCCCGTAGCCAGGGGGGGTTCGGGGGGTTCGAAAGAACCGCCCCTTTTGCTGAGAAAAGGTCCACTCTGGGTAAAATTTGATCTAGGTACATTAAGTTTTTATGGGAAAAGGTCCACTTTTTCAGAAAAAGAACCCCCCTTTTGAAATTGCTGGCTACGGGCCTGTACATACATAGCTTTACAAGATCTATCTTTTGGACATGGAGATGTGATGAGGCATGAAAAAAATTTGTGTATGTGTATTTTTCTATACCAGTAGAAGTGTGTATGTGCGTGCATGCATGCGTGCTTGTGTGTGTGAGGAGGAGAGAGAGAAAGAGAGAGCATATGCATGTGTTTGGAGGTGTTCATGCTATTGTGGGAGGGTGGGGTACCCAAACAGAAAATAAAGAGTGATGTTTTTTAGGTTTGGATTATGCTGGTAATTGAATGATTCTAAAGCAGTAACTTGTACACATATATGGGTCTTTATACATGCTCCTCTATTGATTGTGGATTTATTTTATATATAATTCCAGGCAGGTCTTCCAAGTATGGAGGAATGTGAGAGTAAAGCCAAGAAACTGAAAGAGGAGGGGAAGATTCTAGAAAGTGTCAAATACTACCTGCTCTCCCCAACTCCTGAGACAGGACTACAGGTTGGGCTGACATTTGTCAAAGGTAAAGAGAACACAAATTACATAATATTTGTACAAAGTTATCTGGCCAGAAATATCACTAGATCTTAAACTGCCATGAAATAAGATTCTGTGCAAGATTCAAGGCAAGATAGGCTGCTGAATGTACTTAAATTTCTGACCTGTCCTCTCAGTACATCTTAGTTCAAGCATATGATAGCAGTGCAAAATGTCCATCTCCATCGTTTTTTTCCCCTAGAGGTGCTCCAGAATCCCTCCTGGCGAGTGGATGATGTGTTCCCTATGCTGGAGATACTGGGCTGTGTAAAAATTAACAAAGTACAACAAGCAAAATGTGCTAAGTAAGTATTTCAGCACTGAAAGTGAATTGTTTTTGTCAAATAAGATAAATATCATGAATTTTCAGCATTATGACTGTAAAAAGTCTAAATTTAGAGGTTAGACAAATATAATTTTCAATTAGGTAACAGTATTTTATTTATTTATTTATTTATTTTATTGTGTGCGTGAGTGTTTTAGGGCTTATGGGCTTTTTTTTCTTTTTATCAGATTGTAAATGCACATTACTGTAGAGGCCAAAATTATACTGTTTATCTTTTGCTCTACATTTTATCCAAATCAAAAGTGAAAAGGCAAGAAGTAATTTATGTATGAAATTCCTGTTTATTTTCCAGACTTTGTCAAGAACTGCTGATTTTATCTGCTTACATAGGGGCACTGGTGGCCGTAAGGCGCCAGTATACACCTGTTGTCATTCCACTGCTGAGACATGCCAAGTAAGTGCATAATAGCTTCTTCATTTACAGGCCCGTAGCCAGCAATTTCAAAGTTTTTTTTTTTTTTCTGAAAAAGTGGACCTTTTTCTATAAAAACTTCATGTACCTAGATCAAATTTTACCCATAGTGGACCTTTTCCCAGCAAAAAGGGCGGTTTGTTTCGAACCCCCCCCCCCCGAACCCCCCCTGGCTACGGGCATGATTTACTTACCAGTTTGAACTAGACTCGAAGCAGGGTTCTCAAGATGTAAATTTTGAAATACATAGACGGTTTTGTGTTGTAGTTGTTGTTAGTTTTTAATGATGACTCGTTATTTGACCATACTACCTGTTTAAAACTAATTTAAAAGCTTTTGGTTTCCTTTCAATTGAAGCCAATTAAGTATTTTTTTGTCACAACAAACATAATGGATTATGTTCCTGTGTCACAACAAACACAATGCACTGTATTCCCTTATGTAATGACAAACACATTGGATTGTTCCTGTGTCACAACAATCACATTGGAGTGTGTTTCTGTGTCACAACAACCACAATGCATGTGTTCCTTTGTCACAACCATCTCAATGGAATGTGTGTTCCTTTGTCACAACCACCACAATGGAGGGTTCCTGTGTCACAACAAACACATTGGAGTGTGTTTCTGTGTCACAACAACCACAATGCATGTGTTCCTTTGTCACAACCACCACAATGGAGGGTTCCTGTGTCACAACAAACACATTGGAGCGTGTTTTAACACACTGGAAAAATTGTGCCATCTTCCTACTAGATGGCTCATGTTCACACTCATAGAGGTTCACTTTTTTAGATATTTGAAATTTTTACCAGATTCCTACTAGAACAAGGAGACCAGTGTGACCTGCCGCTGACCACATTCAGGATACAAGAAGAACTGGAAGCCTGCAAGGCACACCAGACTGCAAACAAGTTAGTTATTCATGTCCAAAAAGTATAACATTAAAAAGAAATTAAAAAGTGCTAATAATTTGATTTATGATTTAAGTTGACAAAGTGTTTTATTAATTTCTTTTGTGCATTGTCAGATAGTATATAGTGATGTTTTATAAAATTATAAATGGAAAAAAACAAGATAGACAATCTATTGTAACATATACATTTGAGCAGTTATGCACATTCCATGATGTGTGTATAGACATGGAAAAAGAGCCATGATATTGAAAGGAAGAGATTTTTTATACATGAATTCCACCCCAGTTTTTCAGTACTTAATCCTAACCCCATTTTCATTTCTCTGCTCTTCAGCAGGACAAATGCCGATTCCTCATCTCCGTCCTCTGATCATCAGACCATCTATGCTGCACTGTTGGAGAAGTGTGGGGAGGAGACGCACCCCGTGGGGGTGGGGGAGGACAGGGTGACAGGGTGTCAGCTACCAAGCCATTCTGATGTACACTTGTCTTATTTTGATAATAAGAGAATACAGGTAATTGTACTGGTCATGGAAACTGTGGTGAAAAGCGCAGCGTGGAAATTGCTAAATAACAAAAGAATGGATAGATTTAATAAGTTCATTATTATATAGAGATTTTATGTAACTTACTTAAAACCAAGCAAGGCATATTCTAAGTGTGTTGTTTTCATTATTATTTTTCCAAAAACCAGTTTCTGTAACTATTTGTCCAAAATCATATTAAGTCATTTTTCTTTTTTCCTCACAGGGTCCAGCATTCTTCTTAGAAGATGGGAAGTCAGCAATATCCATCAACCATGCACTCATGTGGGCCAAAGTAAACCCCTTCTCTCCCCTGGGAGTGGCTCACCTTAACCCCTTCTGATCATATGGGTCATTGTCAGACCATCCATAGGCATTGTTCAAAAAACCTTAATTAAGTCAAATATATTTCATAGACTTTATCTTGTATATGAAGCTATGGTCCAAAGTTAGTTTGAAGATTTGTTATTTTGACTGCATTTGCTCATATGCTCATATCTAAGAATTAAGTTTTACCCTCTCACTGACATTATTGGATATAATTGAATATGCAACAAAATGGTGAATAATACTACATTTATGTAGTTTTTGTTTCAGTGTTATTGTAAGGGTTTGCTAGTGTATGGTTGTCTTAGATTGCATGGCACACTCAAACATATGTTTTTCAAAGATGAAGCTTGAACTCAGTATGTTAAACTTGTTATTGAATTCACTTGTGATATTACATATTGTCCGTGGCAAGATTTTAATGCTAGCACATGCTTGTCACGTAAAAAAAAAAAACAGCAGTGATGAACTGCAACATTATTTGATCATCTTATACATCAAACAAACCTGAAGCTTTGTGTGTGAAAACTACCTTCAGTTTGACACCAGCGGTTGCATTGTCTTTCAGAACTGTTGAATTGAAAGAAAATGTTAATGTTATCAGTCAACAAATACCAATTTAGGCACGCTGGACAATACAAGTACTGATGTACAGCCATTGTGATATACTACCCAGTTATATTTGTTTGTAGGTTCAAAGTGACAGTATTTAGTCACAGGGAAGGCTAAAGCATCATGATATTGATAAAAAATACTTGTGTGTTTGTAACACGTGTGATGAGTTCAAATATTTTTTATGAACGAAGAATTTGTGAGTTTTGGGTAAATGTTTTATGTTATTCAACAGACAAAAATACAAGCATTATAATAATGTTTCGTTTTTATATGTAGTTTTTTTTTTCTTAATTAATTGTGTATCTTTCCAATCAAAAATAGCATGATTTTGTATTTCCTTATTTTACACTTAAACGATGTTCGGATTTTTAAAGGTAACAAGTAGAATTTTTACCTACATGTAAAACGTCATTTTATAAGTTGACGTGCAACTTTGTACAATTCAAAGACCCAAGACTGTGTTCTTCAAGTAATTAGATTGATTTATTCCAAATTGATTTGTATTCAATGACCTATAATTGTATGCAATACTTACAACACTTTCAACTTTTAAGATCACCTTGAATTCTATTTATAATAATGATAAACAAACAATTGAAGGACTTGATCAACAGTATTTGTGCTTATTGACATAGGCTCATAATGAAGAAAACTGGTAACAGGGCTACTTGAATTGAAAATGCTCTAAAAACACAATTGGATGCTTTTCTTTCAACAAATAGAAAAGCCATGTTCACAATGAGTACTTAAGTAATTGTACATGTGTCAAATGCTGCTTTAATGGAAAAATTCTTGTCATTGATTCTCCCCTCTGTGCTTTAAAGCAGTTTGAATTTCTAGAAAAATTGTGCATAAATGATTTTTTCGTGAACGCTTTATGTTTAGCTTTAGTGGTATTTGATATGGGTTTGGAAAACATTTAAGTTAAAAGTCCTCATGGTTGAGACTATGCACTCTGTCAAGGGTAATGCATTTATGAAGAACATGTACAGTACATGATGTTACTGAAAAAATACCCAAGAAATAATTTATTACGAGTTTCACAAACTTGCACTGTACTTGTTTTTTCAAGAAAACATATCAGTATGTTTTATCTTTCTGCGTCAGTTGGTACTGTTTTTGTTTTGTTTTTTGTTTGTTTTTTTAGTGACTATTGGTAGTTTTTTTTTTTTTAATTTTGTCAGTGAACAGTTCTTTTGTCTGCAGTTACACAGCTACAAACTTGTATTTTCCCACTATTAGGTTTATTCCATCACAGAGTTTTAATTTTTATTGTTAAAATTCCTAGCATCTAGCTGGAATTCTATTTCATGTTTTTTTTAACCATTGCATATCTTTGAATTTGTGTCATTTGTTTCGTTTTCAGGCTAGGTAGTGTAACATTTACAAAGTAGAGCTAAGATATTTTATTATAATTATTGATATTAACATGAAATAAATTTAATATTAAAAGTATTTATCAACTTGTGTTGTTCCAGCAATTATTATTGGACATGGTGGATTAGTGCAGCATATTGCAAGTAACCTTGATACACCTCTGATTTCTGGGTTATCAGTAATCAAGCAATGATACCCGTTTTGCTTCTATTTCTGTATGGACTTGATTAAAATATGATCGGCTTTTGCTTTTAACTTTTGTCATCAATGCATGGAACAGGTATCGTGTCCGCAAGAATCCTTATTCTGTCTTTTTTTTTTTGTTCTCGTGAGTTCTTACAAACATATATGTACCAGTATTTTGTTATGACTGTCGCCAGTGGGCTGAAGTACGTCATTTCTGTTTAACAGGACGTGGCCATTCTACACAACTAAAGCGTTCCCTTGGTTTATACTTAACGAGGCCTCAACGTAAACTAGACGGTCATTTTTCTACCGGTGATAAGATCTACATGTAGTTCAAGATATTGTTTGGGCACACGCAAAATCTCAAAATTAGGGTCTATGTTCTCAGAAATTAGATTTTATTCTCCAGAATATTTTGACACATTCATTTTGTATCCATCCATGCAGGACAGAATCCACACCGTTGCCATGGATATATTTTTCCACAAGTGCAATCCTTGAGCTTGGCGCAGCAGCTGACGATGTAACCATAACAAGCCTCTTCTTCCCAGATACAGCTCGGTTTTGGGTCCACGTGATGTCTGCACGTGGGCCAGTCCTTGTCCATAATTAGCCCCCAGATACCTAGAGAAAATGGCAGTAAAATGTAGAAAGTACGCCAAGATAACTATTACTATACATCGGTATTCGTTGAAGTATTGAGTACGAAGCTATGCACAAATTATCCCTAACTCATAGACATTCTCTTTTAGATTTTTTTGTAGCTGACAACCGGCTACAATTCAGTTATCTACAGGTATCAACAAAAACGTTGAAAAGAGAGAGAGGAATGAAGTTTTTCATAAAACAATACTGTAAACATAGAAATTTATAATTTAAAAAAGACGTGAAACAGTTCTCTTTAGATATTTTGATTATACAATGCAGCTGCCCCTCTCAGTGACAAATATTATAGTGTTTACAATTAGGTATGTTTGGAGGTAGGCAGATTGCCTCTGATTGACGGATGAAACACAGTAGGTAAAATTGGTATTGTCGTTCGTTATTTGGCTTAGGGGGTGTCACTGTTTTATGGAGTATTTTCCACCAATGACCTGTCCTTTGGGCTTTGACTCAGGAGCTGACATAGGCCCCATTCAGAATAGGGGACTAACTAGTCCGAGGTTCAAATATGGCAACCCACTACAAAGCTTGCCGTCTAATCCGCTAAAAGACACTGAATAGATATCCCGTGGGGAATTATTCAAGTGGGTCGGCCATATTTGACCCTTAGACTAGGTAGTCCACTATTCTAAATGGGGCCTAACACGTACGGGTGCAGAGTGCAGAGCGGAGAACGCTTTTAGGAAGAGGTAGATAGTTCAGCTCCTGTCGTTAACGGCCTTTAACTGCAGAATTATGCATTTAAATAGTGGTAATGTTCTCATAAATAATGCATACTGTTGTGTATACTTAAGGCTGGCCAACCGCAGACAATGTATGTTTTCAATGATTCTTTTTTCATTTTCGATTGGTAATTTTTTTCTCAAAGGTAGAAGTAGGCCTATGTGCATCTTTTCTGAATCACGAATATCGCTGCCATTCTAAGAAATTAAGTAAAGCGAAAGAATAATAAATCAGTAGAGACCGTTTTTTGTCTTAATTCAAGTGTAAATAAAAAGGACGGATAATAAATTTATAGGGATTTTTTACTTCAGTTGGGTAAAATGTTTCTTTATCGCATCTTCACCTTCTGTATTACCTGGTGGTATGCAGAGACATTTTCCCTTTGAACTCGAAATGTCACAGCATCCTGGACCTCTGTCTCCAGGTCTTGCTTTGAACGGACATTTTGGCATGCGTTTTCCTTTGATTTCTTTTTTATGGGGATGGGACCTGACTGGAAGAGCTTGGTTCCATAGTAAAACCAGTAGGCATGTGACAATTATGAAGTACCGCATCTCCGTTGTGAATCGGTTTCGGTGCTGGAAAAGTTTGGGTTAAATTATGCAGCTGCAAATATTAATTTCGGTGTGTTAGTTTATCATTTGTCTCTTTTTCATTGAAAATAAATTTCTGTTTTATCCTTGTAGGAAAAAAAAACAAAACGGCTCTAGGGTCTGGATGCTACCTTTCAGACCACAATTCATTATACACAAAAGAACATTCATGGTCTGCAAAATTAAATATGCATTGCTTCAGTAATATACTCAACCAATAATATTTACTGATTATTCAAAAACTCTGTCTCATGAATAAGACTCACCTTTTGAAGAGAACAAAAATAGTTGACTCAGATACGTGTACCACCCAAACCCAATATAGAGGTGCATTTCACAAGTTCAAGTCTCAAAATATGAAATTGAATGAATTCGATGTATTATCCAATTTTTTAAAACTTACATGTGTATAGAACAAAAATCCACAAATGTCCCAATTTTACGCCCACGCGTTTCTGTTTTGTAAGCAAATAAATTGATAGCCGTTTGAAGTGAAAAAAGCGTAAGAAAGAACATACGTTACCACTGAATCGCCTGATATACAAACACGATCATTAGTTGAGCGCTGTGGAAATTTGTGCAAGCTAAACACTATAAGAACTCTATGAGTCATTAATAATGGAAAAGTGATAGGAAAATACATTTAAATTGACCAGATCTAGGAAAATTACTTTCAAACTAAAGATCATTTTTCTTTACAATGTCGACGTTGATGACTCTTTCAATAGCAGTAATTGTCAATTGTATAGAGAACTGAAAACTTTGTTACCTAAAAGTTATCTACCACCGGTCATATTCGTCGTGAATTTAAAACTCATTGACAGTTTCAAATTTTGGGTGTATTAGTTACAATACCAACTACGCCTCGCATCCTACGCATACCANACATTTGTTTGTAGGTTCAAAGTGACAGTATTTAGTCACAGGGAAGGCTAAAGCATCATGATATTGATAAAAAATACTTGTGTGTTTGTAACACTTGTGATGAGTTCAGATATTTTTTATGAACGAAGAATTTGTGAGTTTTGGGTAAATGTTTTATATTATTCAACAGACAAAAATACAAGCATTATAATAATGTTCCGTTTTTATATGTACTTTTTTTTTCTTAATTAATTGTGTATCTTTCCAATCAAAAATAGCTTGATTTTGTATTTCCTTATTTTACACTTAAAGGATGTTCGGATTTTTAAAGGTAACAAGTAGAATTTTTACCTACATGTAAAACGTCATTTTATAAGTTGACGTACAACTTTGTACAGTTCAAAGACCCGAGACTGTGTTCTTCAAGTAATTAGATTGACTTACACCAAATTAAAGGCATACCAGTCAATTGATTTGTATTTAATGACCTATAATTGTATACGATACTTACAACACTTTCAACTTTTAAGATCACCTTGAATTCTATTTATAATAATGATAAACAAACAATTGAAGGACTTGATCAACAGAATTTGTGCTTATTGACATAGGCTCATAATGAAGAAAACTGGTAACAGGGCTACTTGAATTGAAAATGCTCTAAAAACACAATTGGATGCTTTTCTTTCAACAAATAGAAAAGCCATGTTCACAATGAGTACTTAAGTAATTGTACATGTATCAAATGCTGCTTTAATGGAAGAATTCTTGTCATTGATTCTCCCGTCTGTGCTTTAAAGCAGTTTGAATTTCTAAAAAAATTGTGCATAAATGATTTTTTCATGAACGCTTTATGTTTAGCTTCAGTGGTATTTGATATGAGTTTGGAAAACATTTAAGTTAAAAGTCCTCATGGTTGAAACTATGCACTCTGTCAAGGGTAATGCATTTATGAAGAACATGTACAGTACATGATGTTACTGAAAAAACACCCAAGAAATAATTTATTACGACTTTCACAAACTTGCACTGTACTTGTTTTTTCAAGAAAACATATCAGTATGTTTTATCTTTCTGCGTCAGTTGGTATTGTTTTTGTTTTGTTTTGTTTTTTGCTTTTTTTTAGTGACTATTGGTAGTTTTTTATAATTTTGTCAGTGAACAGTTCTTTTGTCTGCAGTTACACAGCTACAAACTTGTGTTTTCCCACTATTAGGTTTATTCCATCACGGAGTTTTAATTTTTATTGTAAAAATTCCTAGCATTTAACTGGAATTCTATTTTTATGTTTTTTTTAACCATTGCATATCTTTGAATTTGTGTCATTTGTTTCGTTTTCAGGCTAGGTAGTGTAACATTTACAAAGTAGAGCTAAGATATTTTATTATAATTATTGATATTAACATGAAATAAATTTAATATTAAAAGTATTTGTCAACTTGTGTTGTTCCAGCAATTATTATTGGACATGGTGGATTAGTGCAGCATATTGCAAGTAACCTTGATACACCTCCGATTTCTGGGTTATCAGTAATCAAGCAATGATACCCGTTTTGCTTCTATTTCTGTATTGACTTGATTAAAATATGATCGGCTTTTGATTTTAACTTTTGTCATCAATGCATGGAACAGGTATCGTGTCCGCAAGAATCCTTATTCTGTCTTTTTTTGTTCTCGTGAGTTCTTACAAACATAATGTACCAGTATTTTATGTCATGACTGTCGCCAGTGGGCTGAAGTACGTCATTTCTGTTTAACAGGACGTGGCCATTCTATACAACTAATAAAGCGTCGACATTCCCTTGGTTTATGCTCATCGAGGCCTCAACGTAAACTAGACGGTCATTTTTCTACCGGTGATAAGATCTACATGTAGATCAAGATATTGTTTGGGCACAAGCAAAATCTCAAAATTAGGGTCTTTGCTCTCAGAAATTAGATTTTATTCTCTGGAATATTTTGACACATTCATTTTGTATCCATCCATGCGGGGCAGAATCCACACCGTTGCCATGGATATACTTTTCCACACGTGCAATCCTTGAGCTTGGCGCAGCAGCTGACGATGTAACCGTTATGGTTACAGCCTCTTCTTCCCAGATGCAGCTCGGTTTTGGGTCCACGTGATGTCTGCACGTGGGCCAGTCCTTGTCCATAATAAGCCCCCAGATACCTAGAGAAAATGGCAGTAAAATGTAGAAAGTAAGCCATGATAACTATTACTATACATCGGTATTCGTTGGAGTACGAAGCTATGTGCAAATTATACTTCACTCGTAGACATTCTTTTTCAGATCTTTTTGTAGCTGACAACCGGCTACAATTCAGTTATCTACAGGTATCAACAAAAACGTAGGAAAAGAGAGAGAGGAATGAAGTATTTCATAAAACAATACTGTGAACATAGAAATTTATAATTTAAAAAAGACGTGAAACAGTTCTCTTTAGATATTTTGATTATACAATGCAGCTGCCCCTCTCAATGACAAGTATTATCATAGTGTTTACAATTAGGTATGTTTGGAGGTAGACAGATTGCCTCTGATTGACGGATGAAAAGTGGGTAAAACTGATGTTGTCGTTCGTTATTTAGTCTTAGGGGGTGTCACTGTTTTATGGAGTATTTTACACTAATAACCTGCTCTCTGGGCCTTGACTCTGTAGCTGACATAGGCCCCATTCAGAATAGGGGACTAACTAGCCCGAGGGTCAAATATGGCGACCCACTAAAAAGCTTGCCGTCTAAGCCGCTTATAGACAATGAATAGATATCCCGTGGGGAAGTATTCAAGTGGGTCAGCCAAATTTGACCCTCAGACTAGGTAGTCCACTATTCTGAATGGGACCAAACACGTACGGGTGCAGAGTGCAGAGCGGAGAACGCTTTTAGGAAGAGGTAGGTAGCTCAGCTCCTGTCGTTACAGACATTTAACGGCAGAATTATGCGTTTAAATAGTGTAAATGTTCTCATAAATAATGCATACTGTTGTGTATACTTAAGGCTGGCCAAGCGGAGACAGTGTATGTTTTCAATGATTCTTTTTTCATTTTAAATTGGCAATTTTTTCTCAAAGTTAGAAGTATGTGCATCTTTTCTGAATAACGAATATCACTGCCCTTCTAGGAAATTAAGTAAAGAGAAAAAAATAAATCAGTAGAACGTTCTTTTGTCTTAATTCAAATGTAAATAAAAAGGACGGATAATAAATTTATAGGGATTTTTTACTTCAGTTGGGTAAAATGTTTCTTTATCGCATCTTCACCTTCTGTATTACCTGGTGGTATGCAGAGACATTTTTCCTTTGAACTCGAAATGTCACAGCATCCTGGACCTCTGTCTCCAGGTCTTGCTTTGAACGGACATTTTGGCATGCGTTTTCCTTTGATTTCCTTTTTATGGGGATGGGACCTGACTGGAAGAGCTTGGTTCCATAGTAAAACCAGGAGGCATGTGACAATTATGAAGTACCGCATCTCCGTTGTGAATCGGTTTCGGTGCTGGAAAAGTTTGGGTTAAATTATGCAGCTGCAAATATTAATTTCGGTGTGTTAGTTTATCATTTGTCTCTTTTTCATTGAAAATAAATTTCTGTTTTATCCTTGTAGGAAAAAAAAACAAAACGGCTCTAGGGTTTGGATGCTACCTTTCAGACCACAATTCATTATACACAAAAGAACATTCATGGTCTGCAAAATTAAATATGCATTGCTTCAGTATTATACTCAACCAATAATATTTACTGATTATTCAAAAACTCTGTCTCATGAATAAGACTCACCTTTTGAAGAGAAGAAAAATAGTTGACTCAGATACGTGTACGCGTGATCATCAGAATTTATCTGCAGATATCAACCCCTTCCATATTTTATTACTCCTACTTTGTGTTTACATAAATGTATTTTAATATATTATAACTAGGGTCTCCCCTCAATAATGCCATTACTATTAATTTGACATTCAAATAGTTTGCGTTAGAGGACTAATATGTAAAAATGTCAAATAACGGCGTAGACTCAAAGGGATACCGATTTTTCAAAATCTCCTTTCTTTACAAACGCCCATTTTTATGAGGCTTTTGAAACAATTCAGGCCTATCTAAACCTTCAATGGCCTATTGGTATTTGCAAACAGCACAATGCAAACACTTAAACACCATTTTCTTAAAACCAGCACAAGTCATTATGAGTAATTCAGAAAAAGTCATGCGCAGTACGTTACCAGTCGGCCTGTCCCACGTGATTCCTACGGCCACGCCGCTTCATTTTATCTATCCAAAACAGAAACATCAAGTGGTAGAAGACTTAGACATCCAGTGGGAAAACTGGTGAACTTGTATTGTGGATCCTCAAGTTTCGCCCCAGGATGTATGTGTGTCAGGCGTTGGGCAACTAGTAAAGTGGCCGCGGAGGTGTGATCGAAACCCAAAATGTGATGTACAAACTCAGCCACACTCTGGACAAGAGTTGGTTTGTGTAGGATCATGTTTTGGGCTCTTCTTTTCGTCTCACTTGTTGACCCCTCTCCTTAAATTCTTGTGACTCTTGTGGATTACCAAACCCAAACGCCAGACACTCCGGTCTTTTGAAAAATCTTGCCAACTATTTAACCTAGCTATAGACGTAAATATGACAATTTTGACTTTATCTGGTCATGAGAGTCTTATTGATATGATCACATTGCATGTATTTCACCTTACACTAGAGTATAACCCCTTTTTGTCTGAGACATACTGTATTGTACAGATCACGGTGACGTCACATTCTCATGCATTCCACGTCACATAATCCTGGAGATCACGGTGACGTCACATTCTCATGCATTCCACGTCACATAATCCTTGTGTTATCTGCGCATGCTGGAATTGTATTGTACTGAACACGGTGACAGTGACTACTTCTGTGAAGTTAAAACTCGTCAAACATCAGTTAGTTTAATAATTAGTTTAAAGGAAGCTCATTTAATTAAATTTGTAAATGTATGTACCCGAGTATCAAATGCTGTGTCCACCAATTATCGATGCTACAAACTGAATGCATTTCTTTATTTAATGTTGGAAATTTAATAACGATATATCTTGACCATAATAACGTTAATTCTATATGGTTTTTGTACGGTTGGATACAACATAATAATACACTAAAATTTCTAGATTAACTGTTTTTTTCCTCACTCTATTCAGCACTGAAGTGAATACGCGTTCGAAAGAAGGGCCCAAATTAAATTTGTGTGCTATTGCTTTGGACATGCAAAGTTAATGTTTCAAACGATAAAAGAAAATCAGGCTTAGGGTAAAATTCCAAAAGCGTCTGATCACCAATTCATCTTATCAATGTGAAAGGTATAATTTCTCTTCGTATGAAATCTATATTTCACAATAAAAACATTGTAAACAACTCATAGAAATATAATATATTCTGTTTTACCACAAAAACGGCAGTTATAGCTGTTATTCTGATATCTGAGCTTGTCATCGGACCGCGTGACCTCCATAAATGGCTATACTCCGTATAAGAGATTATTACAGAAAAACACAAACTTTGTTAGAAAAAAAAACAGGGACTCACTTTGAATGTAGAAGTAGATTCATTAACCATAAGTAAGTATGGGAAACTGTTGTTTACTCCGGGAAAATGAATTTTTTGGCCACAACGAAGTTATTTTCCCTTTAACATCCCACTATGCATATCTGCAGCGATATTATCAGTGAAACGAAACTACAGCAACCTGAAGAAAAATAATGTGTTTTTATGGAATGTTACATAGGCCTAATTCACATCGTATAATCAAGAAAAAATCCAATAAAAGCCTGATGAACATCTACAAATAGCTCAGTTACGTTAAAAGACACTGTTTACAGTTGCTTGTTTTATATCGTCTTGCGTAAAACCCGCGTCTTGACTCACATTCTCTTTTTATTTATGCAAAAATCTTTAGCGAATGTAAATGTTGCCATATGCCATATCGGGGTCTCGTTTATGTCCAAAACAGTCTCCCAAACCACATGGATCATGCACCGGACAGTACGTTATACAAGTGGACGCCCGAAAGAAGTAATACGCAGACGATTCTATGTAGTATGAGTCTTGAGACGTAGTTAGAGCCGGACCTTCATCATTCAAACCAGTAATGGTTTGAGTATAAGTGGCGTGCAAGTACCTGGGAACAGGGTCAACGCACTGAAATTCGTCTTCGACAACAGTTTTGACAAGGTAGCAGTCAATTGGCCCATTTATGAATTCTACCAGCTTGCTGCCATTACAGACGATCCAATTATTGATGGTTGATTTTACCATAAATTGTCGGTTACCGATGGAGTTCCACAAGTCAAAATCCACGGCATTGAAATCTGTTTCGTTCAAGGGAGGGGTAACAGATATGGGAACATCTCCGTTAGGCGCTAACCAACTTGGTCTTGGTGTTAGGGCACCTATCAAATTTGAGCTAAAATTTGTGAAAGTGTAACTCCAGACGAGAGTCCAGCCCCCTCCATCAGTGTCCATATCACAATAAACCTGCATACAGAAAAGTGCAATTTACACAGATTATGTCTTAAAATTATTCTGTTCTCAGTCATAGTTTTTATGACAGGTATGTGGGACGAATATCTGAATACCTGTAGCGTTTTACCATTATTGTCACAAAAGTTACAAAACTTGCAAGCCAAGACTATCGAGTCAAGACAATGCAAAACAAAAAAAGGTTAATTTAATGAATTAATTGGTTCATAGAAGGCTAATATATTCCTTATGGTACCTGAAAAGTTTGGTCCTGTGTTGAGATCCAGTAGACACCTGTCACTGCTTCTGGTTGGGCTTGCAGAATGTATGTACAGTTAGCACCAGGGATTAACTCAGAACCACCTAAATTATTGAGAACAAATTCAGATATTTTCTATTTGAACCCATCAGTCATGAAGTAGAAATGTATGATTTTCTTTATGTTTTTAATTTTTTCCGAAAGTTTTAGTTTTATTTTAAGACTTATTTTAAGTGGATTTTGATTTCAATCATATACATCTGATGCAGTTGTGAATATGAAACAAAACACAATCAACATTTACTGAAAGTGATATATTTAGGGTGATCACATTCAATCCACTCTCTCCTGGCCTACCTAGTTGACCAGAAGTAACAGGGTCTGTTGAAGATTCATTGGTAAGTATACTGCCTTCCGACGTCAGTGTAGTTGATGAATGAGGTGCTGACGTCACTACCGTAGACAGCAATGGCGTTGAGGGTAGTTGTGAGGTAAGTGAAGTAAGTGTAGTAAGGGAAGCTGATGGCGTTACTCCGACAGACGTGGGTGTTTCCGGTGGCGTTACAGCTAACAGAGGTGGTGTTTCCGGTGGTGCTGCAGTTGACAGGGGTGGTGTTTCCGGTGGTGCTGCAGTTGACAGAGGAGGTGATGGCTTCAGTGCGGTGGATGAAGCCGTTTCTTGCGTTGCAGTGACATTGGCCGTGTTGGCAGTACCATATTCTGATAGGTCATTGTTAGACTAGAAATATGTTTGAATGCATATACAGTACATGGCATTTGTTTGTGTATGAGTAAAATAAATTAAAAAAGCAGTATATTAAATCCTATTCAGTTTTTACAAGTTTTTTAAAATAGATAAATAAAAAAATGAGACAACATCAATATGAACTTTACCTTTATCCCATCACAAGAGAACTTCATAAGCACACAGTCGTTATCAACCATGGCGTCTTGTATTACAGCTGGAGTTAACTCAGTTCTAAAAACGGTGCACATCCCCGGCGTGGCACAAAACTGCACAGATTTGGCCTCAGTTGATTTTAATTTCATCCGTGCACAATCTTGAAGAGCTTCTTGGGGTTCCTGCATTAGGATGTCTCGGTTGGTGTCCGAGTTGCCATCCCTCCTCAAACCATTTAAGACTGTTGTTCTACATGATGCTACTTTAACACCTGTGACGATCAGTGTAGAGAAACCACAAATGATTCCTGAAATAAAATGAGAAATGAAATAAAAACAATTATAACTTAATTTTCTCCAGGCAACAGCAGATTTATATAATGGTTCAGAAACTATGATAATTTTCACTTAAAGAGATAACAACTCTTCGTATGAGATATATATTCCAAAATAAAAACATTGTAAACAACTCATATAAATAAACTATATTCTATTTCACCACAAAAACGACAGTTAAAGCAATTATTCTGAAATTTGTGCTTGCCATCGGACCATGTGACCTCCACAGATAGCTATTCTTTTTCTTTCTCAGCGAACTTTTTAGAAAAAAAACAGGGTATAACCCTGATTGTAAAATTGGATTTATTAACCATTGGTAAGTATGGGGAATCGTTGTTTGCCACAGGAAAATTCGTTTTTTCCAAAATGAAGAGTTGTTAACCTTTTAAAATCTAATTGAAGTTGACTTAGACTACAGCGTTCCACTCCACTTCTGTATTATAAGTAGTGGCATGTCTCCAGCAAGACCAGCAGTACTTCAGTTGGTATGAATATCATGTAATATTTTGCAATTATTTTCTAATTATTTCAATTAACTTCTGGAAATACCGGTATATCTTTTATAATGTGTCTGGTATAACTCTTTCTTTCTTTAAAAAGTCATTGAAATGATGTTTATGTTAAAAGCCTGCATTGCATACATCAAACTCCCCTTAGAATCAGTAGTTGATTATTTTTCATAATGGCTTCGCACAAATTTCCCACTTATTTTATAACATATGAAAGTATTTGTTTGCGTTTCTTCAAGTAGAGCTGTATATGCACATTTAAATCAATATTTGTATATTTCGTTGTTTACGTAATCAATTAAGTTGTTCACTTACCAAAGACAAGGATACCAACGACTAATTGCGACACGCGAGGCATTTCGAAGTTTCAGAACAAATCTGAACTGTCTTCTTCTGGAACTGTTTCTTAAATGACTTTTAAACGTAGATTCGATCATTAAAATTATGTATTTATTTGCCCATCACCATATCAACTTCGAGGATTTACGATGTTGGGCCCAGTTGCACCAACGGGTAATAAGTTTGTTCCGCTACGAGTGTCGTAAACTGGATTTGCAATTCAGTGATCATCAGTCCTTTGAGGCAACGTGTCCTTGTCGTTCCAAAGTATAGCCCAGGCTTCAACATTACTAACTGTGATTTCGAAATATTTGGTAATTTTTGGCACAAAAAAAGCAAACACTGGCAATGGTAGCATTAAGGTCACTGTTTCGTGAAGACCGACACTAATGTCATGGTTTCAACGACAAAATTTTAAAGAACCTCTCATAAAAATAGAACATGAGATATGTTCAAAACTGTTATGTAAAGGCGTAAATGCGACATAGGATAGGGATGGGTGCGACATAGGATAGGGATGGGTGCGACATGGGATAGGGATGGGTGTTCAACACCCACCCCGAAGGTGCACATAAATTTGACAAGTTGTTGGAAAGGCTTTCCTTTCTTATATGATATACACACAATGGTCAATAGAAGTGTCACCCCTAAATCAAGAGTATTCAAAGTAGCTGGATCTTGAGTAGTTATAATGCCTGGTCTTCTTATAATGTGACTAATGAGTATAAAACCGCTGTACCATGGAATTGTTTTGTTGGTCTTTTTGTAAAATTTGGTGTAAATGAAATGATACCAGGAGCATATCATTCCATAGTCATTTATCTCCCCCCAAAGTATTGGTTCAGTAGGGGTGACACTTCTATTGTCCAGTGTGTGTATTTCTAATTTGGTATGCATCTCCCACACACTTTTTTGCACAAAAATTTACCTACACCGTGTTTCTAACGTCTCAGTCGGGAGGAGAGGGGGGGGGGGGCTATTGCAAAACCATACCGTTTAGATGAATAATCCCCTACCCTGGGTTATTAGACGCACATTTGATAAATTGGTGTGTAATATCCCACAGTCTGCCGAGTTAAAAATTCATAAGCTCCCCGGCAAAAAACATCATAAATTCACCCGTTTGGGGAATGTTCACATGGTTGCTCTGTCGCACTTGAAAACTTTGGGAAATAAAGTAATTGCTCTGAGCACTTGGCGCACTTTACTGATTATTTTCCAATATCTGCCATCAATTTACACTTTAACTGATCACTTATCGTTTATGAAGTATTTATGCACCCCTATCAGCATATGCCACTGAACAAAGAAACGAGAACCCCGTTAGTGACGATCAGTGGACAGAAACTACGTACGATTTCTGAAATAAACAAAAAGGGGAACTGAATTCCCTTATTACTTCGGCCAGCAACATCAAATGCATGATACGATTCAGAAACTTAATTAATTTGATTTTTAAATATAACTCGATTTTAATCATAGCATAAGAAATATAAATATAACTCGATTTTAATCATAGCATAAGAAGTAATAAACGTCCAACAAGTCGTATTCAACCTGTATTATAAGAAGTATTCAATCTTTCTTGCTTTTCTTTCTTGCTTCAAAACATCACTTAAATGACGTTAAATCCTGTGTGTGTGTGTGTGTGTGTGTGTGTGTGTGTGTTATTTCCAATGTTTTGACTTAATTATCTTGTCATTTATCAAGTTTACTTTTATTCCATTTCTTTCATACTAAAACTAGTTTATCCTTCAACTCAAATTTATTTTAAGATCAAGATCACAATATTTCGTTGTTTATAAAATCAATTACTCAGATCACTTCCCAAAGACAACAATACCAACGACCAATCGCGGAACGCGAGGCATTTCGATGTTTCAGTGCACAACTCGTCTTCTCCTGGATCTAACATAACTTTTAAACGTCGATTCAGTAAAAAAAATAATATATTTGTTTGCCCATTGCCATAACAACGCTGGAGTTGGAGGCAACCGCTGCGCGTGAGTTACGACACGTTATGCAACAGGGCCCAGATATTTCTTTAATGAATTTCTTTAATGAATTCTGACTGTCAGCAGACGAAATATTGGCTGGCGAATCTCAGTTTTCCAATCTTTCGTCATCCATTGACATATGAAACTCTGTTTGTTTATTGCATGTTTTTGTTCAAAATGTTTCATAAAATGAAACGTTCGGAATGTCATGCTTCCCAGTACCTACCTGTATGTATACCTTTCAGAAAGGTGACATCGACATAAGTAACTTTTAATTGAGTTTTTATCGGTTTTAAGCTCTAAACTGGGAAAAATAAGTAGGCTTTGCATGATATGAAGACAAAAATTATCTCCCTTGGATATTTTCAAAGGAAGGTACAAGCTTACATATTATGCCTGCTATTTGATTTATTAATGTGATATATCAGTTTCATATATCGTTATTTGTATTACGTAAATGTAGTCAACCTTTGAAGATATATTAGTGTACGATCGTTATAATCCTCACTGCGTGTCTGCAATCAATCAATCTTTATTAAGCAATATAACTTTAACCTTGTGGAGGAAAAAATAAATTTACGTTTTTACAGTTTGTGCAATAACCTACCCTCTAAAATTTGCAGGGTTAATACGTTTATCAAAGTTAGCTCTTTTAACCCTCCTAACCGCTACCGTTTTGGCGGTAAAATGGAATTTACTACATTTTACGCATCGTTAACAATGCATTTATCGTGAAAAATGGACCAACAAGGAGTTTCTTTCGAACCTTCCTTTTTGTCGGGAAAAGGTTCCCTTTAAGTAAAATAATATTTACGTACATGAACGTTTCATGATAAAAGCTCCACTTTTTCAGAAAAAGACCCCCCCCCCCCCTTTTGAAATTGCTGGCTGCGGGCCTGGATCTCATACGAAGAGTTGATATACTTTAAATGTAAGATACTTAATCAGGCCCTACTAATTATCAAGATACAATAAATAATAACATTTGCTTATCTATTATGAATGCAAAAAGGCCTTTGCGTACAGTATATGTTATATAAATACTAGTACATATCTGTACACCAAAATTTCGCTGTAGTTTTTAACTTGCTTCAAAATGTACAAAGACTTGTTTTATTTAAAATCCAAGCCCACCGGTTCATCGGTCTTCATTAGTAGCTATACATTTTTCGCCTTCAAAGGTTCGACAATAAAATATTAATGGTTTTAGGTTACTTGCTCGGCTGCTGTAAAGTAATAAATCAGGACATGGACATAATGTTGTTATGTCCATGATCAGGATGTATCTTTAGATTTGGTGCTGAATTGTATAAAATACCTTTTCAGTGGCTGACTTCCACCGCAGAATAAGTCAACATTTTTCTATTTTCATTATTCTATAAGATCTTTCCAGGTACAAAATGTATAATGAATGTGCACCGATACTATATGTAAACAATACCATCTAACATCTGTTACACGGAAGTTATATTTAGACAGGGGAAGTACAGGTGACTCATAAAAATTTTTATTGGTTTCTGTTCAATCCCAAAAAACTGAGACATCTCACGAAGGAGTGCGTTAAAGACACATATATAACACATGCTGAGATCTTCATATGTTTAAACCAGAACAATTACCAGTACCTTTAAAGTGTGTATGCCGGGTATGTAGTTCCAACCATTAGGAACTCGAGATATGTAAGCTCGAGTACAGATGGCCTGGTAAAGCTGAACTCATCGAATTTACACATAGCACGCGTTTACATTGAATTTATATTTCGCTTGGTGTAAAAGAAAAGTGGTTGCATGTGCTGGTGTGTAGCGGGTTCAAAAGAAAGGTGTCCAAAATATCCCGCTGTGTGATCTCAGTCGATTATTATAATCAAAACTGAGAAGATATCAACAAATACACGCAGTACTAAGGGAGGAACATTATATCGCTGTACAATGGAAGCGGTGTGGAACTCAAGACTGAGTCCGACCATGAGGAGAGACTGGGACTCGTATTGTAACAATAACGAATCATTTACGGGAGGATCCCTGCCCGCCATGCTGCTTCAGTATATCCAAATGATTCCCGAGTGTGGAGATTCCTTTCATCTCACGGACATTAAACGGTTTTTGTGCTTTAACATATTGGTCCATTTGTTCGTAAACGGTTTGTTCAAAGATTCCCCTTCCATTCTAAGAGCAATTATTCACGCCGGCATTCTGATGATACAAACATTTATACTGGACTTGATAGGTTTTTTTGACTGGTTCGATGCATTCACCTATGGTTTTGAACATTCCCAAATTTTAAGGAACCAGGTCATCTTCTTCCTGCTCTTGTCTTTTAAACTCCTTAGTACGTTTAGATGCAACACTATCATGGACAATTTATACGATCGGGCAATATGTGTTCTTTTCATACTTGGCGGCTCAATTTGTGTTTACATATATCCTGTGGGTTTTGTACGCCGACAGGATATAGACGAAGATACTTACCGGTTGCTTACGCGTGTTCTTGGTGTAATATGGGCAGTACCTACCGCAGTGTATAGCTTAGCGTGTGCTCATTTTTACTTCGTAACGGAACCCACTTTGGATCTGGAGGTAGGTCTTAATCGGGGGTTTGCTGACTGTTCTTTTAAGAAAATGTTTAAATATATTTTGTTTTAAACGTTCAAGCAAATAACCCAATACTTGAGAGCATCTACAATTAAGCGCGTTTTGAAATACATGGGTTGCTTGTTTGAATGTTAAATTTGAATTTAGGTAAATAAATGCTACATAAGACAAAGTCGCACAATGTGTATGAACCATGTGTATGAAAAATGAATTCGAGTTTAACTATTAATCAGTAATGAATTAATTTTAGTTTCTTTGACAGTTTGAAGTGGATATTTTTCACGTGATTCATTTGAATTTGTTTCAGGACGGTAAGAATTGCTATGTCGCGTCCGCTACTATATGCATAGAAAGCACAGTCAAGACTATGTATTTTGACATGCGCAGCTCTGTTGAGAATGAACAAATGAGGAGGAAAATAACAAAAGCGTTTGAAATGGACCCTGGAACAAAAATGCGTTTTAAGTACAAGGGACAGGAGCTTGACAATTTTAAGCGCATATTTTTAGATTTCGATCCGTTTGTCGACGTGGAAATACACGTTATCATTCTACATAAGCTAAAAGTAAGATATTTCGGTAACCAGTTCGTTAAAGTCTACTGTGGACGAGATGATTTGATATCACGGCTTAACACAAATATTGCTGAAACTTTACAAATACCAAGAGCGTTGGTTCGACTGATGCAGAATAAAACGAAATGTGAAGAACACAGAACATGTGCCGATTACGGCCTTACTGGGTGCTCTGATACCCATATTGAACCAAATTCCATAGCCATACAGCTTGACAGCGGACTGATTCACAAGGAAGACATAAATATAAAAGCCAGCTTAGGTGATTACTTGAAGGCCCTTCACCTCGAAAACTTTAGATCACTAGATGTTTTTGCAATACATTCAGAAACTCAAGAAAGTCAAGGAAACCTGGATCCGGCCACGCCCCTGTATAACTTTGTAAATCCTGATGCTGATATCCCCACACGGATCTTGGTTATGCACGGTGTCATTCGGGTTCAACTAACTTTCCCGTCACCCGAGCTAAGGTACCTTCCTAGTCAGAAACACTGCCTTGTTCACGTAGAGTCAACAATAGGAGCCTTGAGAAGGCGCTTAAGAGCCAGTCACATTGTATTTGACAATAAGGACCTTTCTGATGATGCCACTATTGCCGAATGTGGACTGACAGACGATGCGTTATTATTTAACGACTCGACCCAGAAATTCTCCGTATCGACCCCGGAGGGGAACAATCAGTTTTTCAAGTTAAGAGTGAGCAGTACTGTTAGGGACCTCAAAGAAAAAATACATGCAAAGACGAATATTAATCTCGAAGAGCAAAATTTAACCTACAATGGGGAAACGCTGGAAAACGACAAAAGGCTTTTTGACTATAAGATCTATGGATGTGGCCAATCGATAACTCTGTCGAAACAAAGTCTGAGCGTCGTAGTTTCTCTCCCTGGCAACAATTCCACCACAGTCAAATTTCAACTGCATGATACGGTTCAGACGCTAAAGCGCTCTATTCATGAGAAAACTGAAATATCGCCAGAAGAGCAGAGACTTTACCTGGACTCTCGCGAGATCTTTGACGACAGTGTTCTCTCCGAGGTAGGGTTAACATCCGATAAATCCATCACGTTAAAGAAAAGAAAAGCCCTTAAGTTGAAGGAGGAGTGGAGGCAAAAAAGCATACGCTGGAAAAAGAAATTTGAAGATTTTGTTCAGTTAACTGAAGATGACTTTGAGGACGTTGCTGGGCTTTACTTGTGTACCAAAGACCCGAAATTCCGTATCAGCAGCGGGTAGGATTGACTTCGTTGGGTTTATAAATAACATTTCATATTTCTTAATGAATTAGACATGTGAACTTTTTAAGCTGTTTTAATTATTGTACTAAGCTCTTAGTTACAAAGTTCTTCACTCAATATTTAATATGTAAAAGGCAAATCGTAGTTTAAATCCTCTATCCAGATAATCCAAACGTTTACCTTTTTATTCATAAATTAACTAATATTTCCAGAAGCGAAAGCACAGAAGTGTATTTAGGCCTTCTAGGCGACGGGACCGAGGTTGCCGTTAAACGGTATTTGATAACGAGCTGGACCCTGGATAACGAGCTGGACCTGCTGTTAGTGCTGGACCACCCACGCATCGTGCGCTACCGGATCGTGGTTCCCGACAAATCCTTTGCCTATCTGGTGCTAGAATTGGGGGAATACACACTAAAGGAGTACATTGAGATCTTAAAACGTAGCAATCGTTTGAAAGAAAAAGGTCCAACGCTCGTTCGTGAGATTATGGAAGGATTGGATGTACTGCACAGTTCTGAGCGGAAAATACTGCATAGGGACTTAAAGGTGGGTAGTAAATCGGCCCGGGCGTGGATTGTTTTTATACTAAACAGATCCATTTCAGTGTATTTACCAATAGAAAAACCCAATTCCTTCTTTGTCTAGAAAATATTCATGTCATTTACGTTAAAGGATGTACATTTTATAAAATTGAGTATTGTAATTGATTAGATTTTGTAAATTTTAAAGATCATAACACATTTAAATCGTTCATTTAGGCGATATATATTCCGTTTACTGTTTCTGCTTCAGCCTCAGAACGTGCTTATTGACTGCAAAGGACATGCGAAATTGGCCGACTTTGGAATCGGTAGGAGACTGAACGCCGACCAGAGCACTTTAGTCACAGAGGCAGCTGGTAAGCCTTCCTGAAATAATGAACTATTCAAGCTTATTTATGATAAAGAATCTTATTTGCCTGAAATCCTCTGTAGTGAAAGTTCTAAAAAGCAAGCAGTTATATATTTCATGGATTGTTTGCCGAAGCAACTATTCCTAAGCTTAAGTCCAATATAACATTAAATTACTTAAAAGTAAATTTTAAAATTTTAGGAACTCTGCGTTGGCAGGCAAAGGAGACAATAGTTAATTCACAGACAGCGCC